ACAAGATGCATTTAATAAGGAAAGTAGCCGATTTCTACTCAATCTGATACTATACTTTTAATCTTCCCAGGAACACCACAACAACATTTGGTGGCAATTCACCCCCTTCGTTCATGTCATATATACTACAATCTACACTATGGTGGGCAATAACATTCCACTTACAGTACTTGTATCATTGAGGATTTGTGTTTAGACCAATAAAATATTAAGCTTTCATGCTAACAACTAGTCCAGGGTGATGGGATGGATTACCACCCGATACCATTGTGGTGCTACAGGAAGTATCTAAACTCAATGAGTAGCAGTTGCATACTTCATGTGAACCCTATACTTATTGTGAACATCCTGGCTTGGTTGGAAAAGCAATGGCTTCACATTTTACAGATCCAAGTTCAAATCTCCAATGATGCAAGTGAATGAACAGTATAGTACTGTACATATTTATTATACCATAACAGTCTTATGAATAAGGTCCTCAGGTTTTGTTTTAGTAGTCTGGCCAAAAAATTATTAGATATTTAACATTAATTAGCTTCTTATTTAAACATCAAATTTTCATGCTATATATGCTGGTTCATATAAGTAACTGTTATTTCCCTGACTAAAATGACACATGCAGTATTAAAAACTTCTTGAACCTTAAGGAAAATGCTAATTAACATTTTAACATGCAGATATTTTATCCAAATACGGTATACCCTATATAACAGGCATTTTTTATCTAAATGAACTCTATCAGTTTTGCATTATGTTAATAAATAAATGAGTTAGAGAAATAATTTGAAGCCTAACAGAATTGTAGCAAAATATTTACCTGTCAGTAGGGCACCAGTACGTAAATACATGCAAGATAACTTCTCTATTGCAGGATGTTTATTTTTTATTCACACATCCCATTTTCAGAACTACTTTAGTTGATAATCCATTTGAAAAAAAAATTGTGTAAGACTGGATTATGTCGACTTACTGCCAGGAATATGTTCTGGAGGATTTAACAAAATATAAAGGCAGGAGAAAAGGTTCTTTATTTGTTCATAATTGTTTCCCAATTAACATTATTTCTCACTCCTGCACTCCAACACTTGTGTACATCACTGTAAACAAAAATGTAAAAGACCAATAAACAATGACGATACTTTTCAAATGAGGGTTTTGCATTAACCTGCTCAGTAGAGGCACAAAAACAAAAAACAGTTGATCTTGTCATTTAATATCATCACAATGGGAATGGTAGTTTTACAGGGATCAAGTGACAAGATGCTGGCTTCACGTACATCTTTACAAACGTCAAGTGTTTTTATCTAATTTGATCTAATATACACAAGTTTATCTAAGATAACAATTTATAACAATTTATCTAAGATACATAACAGGCCAAAAAGTATCTATTTTGTGAATGGGTTTTTTAATTGCAAAATCTCTCTACCGATCTTTAGCTTAATAGTAGCAAATGATATCTAATAAAATTCTCGGAATCCAAAGAAGCTCCTAGCAGAGCAAGAGTACTATGACTATTTTTCCATTTCACTCTGGGTTTTCATGCATAATATATGTACTCTATCTAATATGACATTGTAAATGCTCTCCATCAATCCACGTGGTGCAGTGGTAACACAGTTGCCCCATGTTTTGGGAGTGATTTGACAGGGGTTTGTATGTTGGCCAGGAAGAAGTGACTAGGCACCAAACATTTACTGTATGCCTCTGATCACCCAGCAGTGAATGGGTACCTGGTTGTTAAATGATTTGGCAGGTCGTATTCCAGGAAAAATTAGTATTAAGGACCTGCCTGAAATGCTATGCGTGCTAGTGGCTTTACAAGAATGTAAGAACTCTTAGAAGAACTTGCAACTATCTTGTGTATTTTTTGGAATACATTATTGTACAGTATTATACCATTCAAGAATTTTGCATTGTGTGATTGTAAAATGGCAGGTATATTTAATATTATTATTCAGGTACTGTAGATGTCTTACTGGGAAGTATGCCTTTTTTTTCTAGAATTTTTTTTTTTTTTTTTTTTTTTTTTTTCTTCTTCAAGAATGTAAGGTGAGACCCTACGAAATGCTGAAAAATGAACCTTACGAAAAATGACCAAATGCGAATTCATATTTGTGTTGCTCACATGGGCCCCGCCATGTGAGGTGATTCGATGGAATATTTATGCCCGAGTTGACCCCTGAGCGCTGTCGGATCTTGGAAAAATAGTCTCAAGACTACCAAGATTTTTGTACAGTCGGTGTGGTCTAGTGGTTAAGGTAGTTGGTTAGCTACCTATTTTTCCACAAAAGTTAAGTATGCATTGTGCAACTTTGCTCTGCACCAGGTTCCCAGGAATACATCCCTCACACAAATCAAGGGCTGTCTGTATATAATACTGTATACAGTACTGTAATAAATCCATGTGTGAAGATGTGTATCCTTGCAGTCTAAATTACATGCACATAAACTTAAGTGGATATGCAGTATGTAAACTGCTCATAAATTTCTACTTGAAATCTTTAATAAGGTGTTAACCCTTATTTGATTATTGAATTAAATTATACTTTACTGTATTGATTAAATAGAAGAGCATCGTTTTAAACAAATTAAATTTGTTGCTTCATATGCATATGCCTGTTCTTCCAATTTTCATAACTAGTAAAATAGTCATTAGCTGCCATTCTGACACATAAGCAACAAAATTGTCTCACTGTGCCCATCGATCAACGAGACAATTTTGTTGCTCATGTATCAGAATGGTACAGTTCATCTCAGCCTTCATCAGTTGAAGATTTTAAAAATGAGCTCACAGGTACTATCGAGCAGTTTATGGAATCACTCGATCCATCGTCCAGGCCACGTAACCCAAATTACACTGGTCATAGCACTTATGCTTATTATAATTATTCTAAATTGTATGCACTAAAATGCACTGCCAGAAGAATTGGACTAGCTTATAAAAGAACCCGCACTGCTGAAATGCTTAAGCTCTTTCAAACGGCTCTGGCTGAGGCCAGGGAATGTATGGTAGAGCTGAGGCAGACAGACTGGGGAAACTTTTGTCAGTGGTCTCAATGATCACACGCCACTAAGTCGGGCATGGAAGGATATCAACAAGATCAAAGGGAAAAATGCTGCAGAGATCTTGCATCCTAATCCTCTGCACAGAGCAAATGAGCTTGTTGATGCTTGGCCCACAACATCCAGCTTTGACAGTCTTCCTCTCTCCACACAGAATGAATTAAATAATAGATATGCTGATAGAGCAAGGATCCTTGACTTCATGCTTCATTAAGAGGATGACTGTGACATGCTTTTTACCGAATACGAACTAGACTCTGCTCTACATAAAGGCAAAGCTACATCACCCGGGGAGGATGGAGTTACTTACGGCATACTGCGTATGCTTCTGCTAGTTCCAGGGAATCCCTTGCTTGAATTGTATAATATGAGCTATGTAACTGGGGAGCTTCCAAAGTCATGGACCAACAGTCTTATTATTCCCATTCCTAAACCAAACCAGCAGAGTGCTTTTTGCCCAATCTCCCTCACTAGTTGTCTCTCTAAGTGTCTTGAGAAGATGGTTCTCAACAGTCTCCTTTACAGAATTGGTCTCCCCAGATATATGGCTTTACGCATGGAAAGAGTGTAGTAGTAGGCAGCCATCAGTCTCGGGAGACTATGGAGTTGCGCTCTGGTGTCTGCCTGGTCTGGAGTGGCCTCACCAGGGCGCAGAGCCAGGGTAGGTTGATTCGGGGGAGTGTACATCACTGTATTACCACATTCCTCACCCTGCATACTGATAGGTCATATACCACTTTCCTAGATCTTAAGTCAGCCTTTGACATTGCTAACCCACACGTCATTCTGAGCGAACTTGCTAAAATGAATGTTGGAGGATGGCTTCTACAGTGGATAAGAGGCTATCTATCCAACAGGAAGTCATCTGTACTGTTCCAAGGGCATAGGAGTGTAAAGAGAGATTTTGAACTTGGCACTCCACAGGGAGGTGTTCTCAGTCCTACTCTGTTCAATGTGTTAATCAATGCACTTTTAAACTCGGTAACTAGGAGACCCAGTGAACACATTATTAGCTATGCGGATGATATACTGATCCACACCAATGGGTATACCAGTACCCACAATGTTCTGAACTCTGTATAGCACACATGTCAGGACCTAGGCTTGGTCATCTCAGTAAAGAAAACAAAGATCCTGAACTGACGCCCACCCAGACGAGGTGGGGCCGTTCGCAATATGCAGTTGCATGATGACTCTGCTCGACTATGTAACCAGATAAAAATACATTGGTCTTGCAGTTCCACTGTACCGCAATGTTGTAGCCAGACTGGGTCACCAATGTAGAGAGAGGCTCCGTGCTCTCAAGGCTGTGGCAGGCTACCATCCAAGCTATGGTGCAAATGTGAGAATTGTCAAAATGATGTATCTCTCATATATTAGGTCTCTGATTGATTATGCTGCACCCATGATTGCTCTAGTGCCTGAGAGAATGCTTGGAGGGCTGGAAAAGATGCAAAACGAAGCCATGAGGATAATCCTCGGATGCCCCTGTACCCTCTTGTTGATCACTTGTGACACAAAAGATTATTGGTGTGTATTTGTGTGGGTGATTAAATATGTATGTGTATACATATATATATATGTACATGTATGTATGAGAATGTGTACATGTATAAATAACATTAATAATTTTGTAACTAGTGTCAAAAAAATTATTTGCTTAGCTAAACGAACTAGAGGGTTCAGTTCCTGAACCGATTATGTGCCTCTGTAATCCTTTACACCACCTCCCACGGGATGGGTATGGGGTGCATAATAAAGAAAGAAATTGAATTGCCACTTGAGCTGTTCTAGCATTGAACTTACAATACATTTACTTTTTTTATGCATAACCACATGAAAACAAAACATAGTATGCCATAACTAGGCATTTAGCCTTTCCTTATATGTCGTATAATACACACACAAACCAGCAGGAGAAAAAGTAAAATGTCTTTAACATTTTGGAAGGTTTGATATATTTACGCATTATAAAACAATTAAATTATGAATGAGTTTACTAACAGTGATTAAGATGTAAAGTACTGTATAGGCATAATAGGCTATATCCTGAAATAAATAAATAAATAAATAAATATATATTAATATATAATATATATATAATTAGAATGAACAATATTCAGCAGTAAGTAATGACAAATAATATTTTGTAGCTTTACAATATTTAGGTTCCCATTCTTCACACAACCAGAGTAAACCATGAAAATATTAACAACACTCTTTACAGAGAAGTTTTTTCAGTACATTTCTTTGCTACAAACCTGCTCTTGGTAAGAGATCTTTTTTGCCTTAGTAATTTTGTGTCAATTTGTTTTTAATAAGGCACAATGTTCACAAAAATGTAGACACATACCAAGACTTTAAAGATGAGATTTTGTCTGAAAAGACGTATAGGAAAAAACATCATCGTTCATAAAGGTTTACTCTCAACTTTGGGTTTTATCTACACAAGAAGTTGTATAGTGTCGCAGTCCTTAAAAAGACTACCAAGTCAGTGTTCTAGTGTAAATTTTAACATTTTGACTATAATTATTTAGTTCATAATTCAATATGAAATCTTTATTCTTTGGTAAATATGTGTTTTAGTAATAGCAAATGAGGAATAGTTTATAATTTATGTAATGAGGTATAATTTCTTCCTTAATTTAGGTCAAATGAAACCAAGCAGCATTTGTATGCAACTATGGTTATACTGTAGCATAGCTATGTGCAACTTTATAAATAACAATTCATATACCCGGTACATACACAGTATAGTGTATATTGTAGTGATAAGCCATAACAAAGTTAAAAGCAATTAAAGAATAACTAACTATGCAACAGAGAATTTTTTCTTACATGTGCTCAACTAAGCCAAGAATGTTCGTATAGCTTTCTTTTTCTTTGAGAAATAGTTAAACAGACCAAAGTGATGTTTACTTGTATTAAGCTTTCCAACACTCTACTGGTCCAAAAATGAAATCAATTCTCATAAAAAGGCACAATGGCTGACGAAAAACAAAAATTCTAAGACATTATTAAAACAAATAGCAATACACTGTGTCAACATTATGGACACATTGTATCTAGTCTTATACAGGCACTGGTAGTTGTGTGCGCGCACTAATGCTTCCGGACTATAATGATCCCCACTTGTCTTGAACTTTTTATTATTGCTCAAAGAAAACCAAGTTAGCATAACAAATGGCACAAATAGTTCACATGCATTTTATGTAAATGAAGCACAGAGGGCCAAGTTTACTTTATGAACTACAGAAAAATTAATGAAATTTTTTTTTTAAAAAGATTATAGTGACTAGACATATAGTTACTATTGCTGATAAAAGCTTATGGCAGCATTATTTACAAGAGGAAGGCACATTCATCCATCAATATGGCAACTCGTGTATTGTACAGTCATCTACAAAGTTACATGGTGACACATGTACTTTACATTTAATAACCAACTTAGGTTGTTAATTGCGGAAAACTACCTGAAAAATTTCATTGGAAAGCATTGGTCATTACGAGTCCTTCCAGTACTTTGTGGAAGTCTAACCAGTGATCCTCACACTTTTTCGGTTTTCTCTGGTTCAATGTCCCTGATGCTATTATTAAAATGACTAGATAAGCAAAATACTATTCTGAATGTTATAAAAAATTCTGCCAAGCTGCCTGCCAAGCTGCCAAAAATGCCAAGCTGTCAAAAAAAAAATTTTGACAGCTTGGCATACCAGCATGTGGTACTGCAAGGTGGTAGAACTTGGCATACCAGCATGTGGTACTGCAAGGTGACAAAGCTTGGCATACCAGCATGTGGTACTGAAAGATGGCAAAGCCCCATATACAAACCTTTGGTACTGGACTACATGATGGAAAAATTATAATAGTATTACTCTAATCGGTATTAACTGGCTAAAACTAATACTATACTAAAACTAGTACTATAACTCATGTTACAGTACTAGTACCCTCTAATTAGAGGAGAGAGAGGGGGACGCATTCACACTGAGTGATTGATTGACTGAAGATTACCGATACTGACTGATTGAGAGACTGAGATTACCTATACTCTAATACAAATACTGTTAATTTCTTACCTTCTCCCCAGCATGATTAAATAATTGTTGAACACAAATAATAAGACAAGAAACATATCAATATAATTCATGTCCCTATGTTTGTAACCTTACTGAGCCTGTATTTCTTTAAAAATGCCTTGTGTAAATATACATCAGATACCAACACTTACTGCACAGTGCATATTGTATCTGAAATACAGACTGGGGAGCTTTGTTTTATTTAGCTCGAGTCAATCTTCAAAATTCTGAGGTAAGTATATTTGTAAGTTTTTATATATCTACTAAATGACTTTGTTACAGCATTTACAAATTCCCTGAATTTGTGATAATGTAATAACCATCCCATTAAACCTATACCAGCTGGTGGTTTTACAACTCTACCAACACATTCGTCTAAGTGGTTTTGTAGCTCTACCTACATACTCGGCCAAGTCGTTTTGTAGCTCTACCCACATATTTAGCCTACCTTTAGGTTTTGTAACTCCACCCACATATCTTGCAAAGTAGTTTCATAACTTGCATATCCAGCTGGAGCTTTCATAACTCCACCCACATATTTTAATACAGAATTACCACACCATATAATTATGGTTCCATGTTAGGATAACTATGTATTTTCTTTGCCTTTTGGAGTTGACGTGAATATCTTTGGTGACTGGGCTTTAGCTTTATGTCTACGTGCACGTGCTTTGCTTGGAGTGCCATCAACATCAGTGATAAAGCTGACTTCTCCAGACCCTGACGGCACTGCAATGACCTGTAAGAATTAGATTAGAGTAAATACTTTTCACTCTCTTAATAGATATTGATGAAAATAAAATTTAAACATAAACAAGAAATTTTCAAAATAATAATATAAACTTCTTGTTAATAATCTTCCTTAATAATGTACTTGCTCTAGTCTTTGAGGTTAAATAAAAATTGACTGCCTCCTTCTGAATCTTATGTGTGCCAACCCTAATGAGGGAGTCCAATTTGGTTATTGAATTATCATACACTATCTTTATATTTTTACTACATTGTTTCTGCACCTTTTTGAGCAAGTGCTTCCTGTGCCAATTGAGACACTTCTTGCCATATAACGTTATAAATACAGTGGAACCTTGAGTGACAAGCGCCTCAATCTACGAGCATTTCGAATAATGAGCGCGCCACTCGGCAAAAATTTGTCTCGATTGATGAGTTTTCGCTTGATTAACGAGAAAAGCACATGGTGTTTCCTAGCGTTCCCGCTGGTTCTCGCAAATTCTCGGACACCTCCGATGCAAATAATTTTTTGTTTTGTTTTAAAGATGCTAATGATGCTGGAATGTAAAGGGGTGACTGCTGTAATGTTGCAAAGCATTGATTTTGTTTTTTAGACAAGATTATAAAAAAAAGACAATTTGAAAACAAACAAATGTCAAAAAGGTTCGTTCAGTGTATGTCAGGTAGGAAGCTCCATTTTGTATTAAAAAAATTAAAAATTAAAAATAAAAAGTTGAACAAATTTGAAAAAAGGAAAGATGTCATAAAAGTTTATTCAGTGTGTGCCAGGTAGGCTGCTTCATTATTAATAAAAAAATGGAAAAATACAAACCAAATTGAACAATTATGAAAAATAGAAAAAATGTCATAATGGAGCATCCTACCTGACAAACACTGAACGAACCTTTCACTTTCTTTTTTCAAATTTGTTCAATTTTTTTATTTTTATTTTATTTTTATTTTATACACAATGGAGCTGCTTACTTGACGATCACTGACCAAACATTTTTCTATTAAAAAATATGAAAAACAAAAAATTGAACAAATTTGAAAAAAGAAAAAATGTCATAAAGGTTTGTTCAGTGTATGTCAGGTAGGCTGCTCTATTATTTAAAAAATCAAATATCACATCAATGTTTTTCAGCGGTAGAATGAATTAATTTTATTTCCATTATTTTAAAGAGGAAATTTGTTTCGAAAGACAAGCATTTCACATGACAAGCTCGGAACGGATTAAATTAGTTAACTGAAGTTCCACTCTATGTATGTATGTAATATATATACATATATATTATATATATATTTATATTATATAATATATGCCCACACACACACACACCCACAGTACCACTACTACTACTGCTAATAAGAAGAAAAAATCCCTTATCTACCCCCTTATCCAGCTAACAACCAGCTCTACTTTCCAAATTTCCACCCTTCCTTCCTTCCTTCCTTCCTTCTCTGTCGTGTTATCTTGCAAACGTATGGTAAAGACTGCCATTTGCCATGAGTTAAGGCATAATCTTTATAGACATTTTGCAAAACCTTGGTCTGAACTTTTAACATTTTTAATTGAAGTGCTATAAATACTCCCAATGAGAAATGTGATTCACAAATATGTATTGTACTTAAATTCAGCCAAGTGATAACCACTTTATTAAAAATACAATGCATTCCTTGTTTTAAGTATTGTACAGTGCATTATGTAAAGAACTGTCCTTAACTAGGTATCTGGCTCAGACTTTTGTTGTTTTCCGCTCAACTTACAAATGGTGATGTGAATAAGTCAGCTGGAGCAAAGCTGATGCTCTGGCGACAACTAACTATCCAAAACCATTCTTAGGTTTCGTTCTTTATTAGAGTTCTGTAATTCCTTTCCAAATAATTTGTAAGTTGCATCATCACAACCAATTTCCGGCAGGTTTTTCTTGAATGTTTTTCACTTGTGGAACAATTTAAAAAAACTGTTAGAACAGGGAAGTTAACACCCATAGTTAAAGCTCTGGGTGTTAATAAATTACTGCAAAGACATTCATATGTAAATTTTGGAGAATTTATTATAACCCATTCAAAACTATACATGTTTAATTTGAGTGTTTCATCATATTGACTACTACTAATATATGGGCAGACCCATTTATTAATATGCAGGAATGCAAGACATGCAAAGCAGAATGATATTTCAAATAGGGATATGTTTAAAGCCCTTCCTGAACATTCCTCTCATGCCTCACAAAAGAATTAAAGGGAAGTTCAAAGCATTAACCAACATTAGATACATCATACAATTCTAGCTAACAGGGAAAAATTTAGCTTTGGGTTAACTTGCAATTACAAACCGCATGGAAATTAACCATACATTTTCTATCTAATAATGATAAATAGCATACTTTTCCTAAATCCGTTTCATCTTCCTGCTCTTGCCTAAATCCTCCTGGCAGCTGCTGAAGATACGACGCAGGTACAAGGCCTACGGTCCTCATGTCTGCCGTGCGTACAAGCCACCAGTCTCCATTAGTCTCTTGTACTACTATCACATAATCACCTGTAAAATATGACAGAAAAATCCCATGTTCACTGTAATCCCTATGTTGTATCTTGATACCATTCCTTTTTATAGTAATACAACTGCATTCATCCCACATGTAGGTGACTTGCCGACATCACACGTTGTCAAACATATTTAAAAATAGTCATGAACCCACCTATCTGTAACAATTTTATAGTCACTTAATCACTACCTTGCCTTTCTGTATTATAATACAGTATGCCTTTACACGCCTATGGAGCTAATAATTAAAATAGTTCCATTACTTGGCCTAAGGCCTTCCAACCCAACTCCTATGAGAGGTTAAAGAAAATTATCCATCCCATGTATAAAGGATAAAGATAGTATATAGAAAATTTGAATAAATAGTAGCAGTGGATCTTTCAAACTTAAAAAATCATAAGAAAAAACATACTTATTACCTTGTTTAACTGACAGCTCATCTGGTTTAGTGCTGTGGTAGTCATATAAAACTGTAGCAAGTTGTCCCAAAGGTAAAACTTCATCACTGAAATTATAGAATGTTAATTTAAAAGTTACCACAGTGTAGTTCCATCACATCATTTATTTAGTCATCTTGGTACCTTGTCAGGTGCAATGAGCATTCAGGTTTTAAACTGAACCACATCATCACATGGTACACATGTGTTAAAGTGCAAATGTGTGCGCACAAAGGAGTAAATGCATTCATACATGTGTTGCATTGTCAAACAAAAATGTGGAAAAATAAGTGATGGGAAGAGTATAGAATCTGCCAGGTGCAACATTATATATATATATAAAAAATTATGTATGAAATATCAAGAATACTGGGCTAATCAATACAGAGGTTAAGTTAATCTCAAAACATATCTAACCTAATTAAGTCAACTGCAAATTAAAACATATTCTTACATGATTTTGTCATCACGCATGTTTAATGGATCTTCGCTTGCCATCTTCAGCACAGAATCTAATTTCTTTAGTATCTTATCCCCATGATGGTCCCAGTGCCTTCTCCCATTCAGCATCTGATCAGTATCCATCAAGTACTGACTGCTTAGATTAAAGATTGTATGCCTTTTATCCACGACTGATTGACTATAAGTAAAACTTTGTATTTCTGAGTCTCTTTCCTCCCAATATTTTAACTTAGATTTTGATGGAGAAGATTCAGATTTGAACATAGTGTAACTTGGGTCTGTAAGACTTAGGGATAAAGGCTGTTTCAGAGGCAACTGATTGGGGCTTGGGCTTCTTACTGCAGAAGTTTGTAAGCTTCTTGAGGCAGCTGGTTGGACAGACCTTCGGACAGCAGTATTAGCTGGTTTAGGTGCTGGATTATAACCCAAAATAAGAACAGGAGCTTCACTGGAATAAGAACACACAGCCATCATGTGGTCATTTGGATGATAGTCAACACAGGAAATAGTTCCCTCTATTGGTAGGTCCATAAGAGCTGAAATCATATCGCCTGTATCTGAATTCCACACATAAAGCCCATGATCTTCACTACCTGAAAATATCAATGTACCACAAGGACTAATACAACTTCGCATCTGTTCTCGAACATTTAGCAATCCTCGAAGTCTGTGTGTTATCGTCCAATGTTTGTGATTAAGAAGTCTTATCTGACTATCTCTTGTATGAACAAGCAAGCGAAACCCACCAGGATGGAATGAGATGTAGTTGATAATGTTGCCAGCAATATCACTGATCTTAACTTCACGTTCCAAAATAAGAACCTTTGGTTTTTTCTTCCCTTTACCTTTTTTTGAAACATCAACCTTCCACACCAGAATAACACCTTGTTTATCTCCAGAGAAAAGAATATTTCCTTCTGGATTAAAGCACAATGCATTAACAAAGCCAAGATGATTTGACAGTTCCTGAGTAATAGAATAGCTGCCATTATTATTACAAGACCAAATCCTTAGCACATGATCATAGCAACCACTCACAATAACATGAGATTTAGCAGGCACAAAGCGAGCAACATAAACGTAGGAAGGATGAGCCAAAATCTGACATTGTTCATGTTCATTTGTAGCATCTACATGCCAAACTCTTGCAGTTGAATCAGCTGAGGCTGTTAATAGCAGATGATCATTATCACTCCAGGAAATATCATAAATGAGCCCCAGATGACCAGTTAACGTGTGCTTTAAATATCCTCCCAAGACATCATATATAAGGATTTGCTTATGAGTGCCACATGCAAGTTTCAGACCATCATTTGAAAATTTAACTACCAAGCATCCTTTCTCAGAGTGTGACAAACAATGCTTCACAGAATTGAGGATCCTGCAAGATTGGTTGGGTTTACGTCCCCAATTCACCACTGGTTTGCTCTGATCAGAAGAGGGGTTCTGATTTGATCCATTAGCCGAACACTGATCCAAGAGATCCATTAGAGCTGCTCCTCCTCCTTGTTCTTGTTGAGTAGCAAGCATGGATCTGTCGACAGATTTTAACATGTTAATGACATTTATTTGTTTCTGGTAATGTATTTATGAAGTTTATCCAACAGCTTAGCCACGTCTTATTTATATACATAAAAATGCTTTAAATAGTATGATGAATTTATTTCCCCTTGTAAATATATTCATAACAATGGTCCATCTTCATCAAACAATAATGTCTGGATATACATTACTGTACTCTTAAAATTAATCCAGTAATACCCAAGTGCTGAATGACAACACAATTTTGACCACATCAACATGTATAAATTACCATAACTTCCTAAAAATGGTTAAAACTGTAACTGTTTTCACAAATGCAAGATTCTTCAGTTACAACTAATATGATAAATTATAAAATACACTGCTTAAAGTGTTACATTTCACTAATGCAATATATGTAGTGCTGTTAAAAAACCCAGAAGATTTGTATACAAATAATTGTATTTCAATATCCACCATTTTTAGGATATTGGAAATTATATTTGAGTAACTAAACCTTACCTAAGAGCTGGATGAGGATTTTGGGGAATGGAAACTTCCTGAAGTGTGACATATAGTGTTGAAGGATATTTGTTCCTATTCCCACTCTTCCACCAGCTATGAAGATCTTGAAGGTTTACATTGGAGGACTTTCGGGGCCTCCATAACTGCAGCCGGAGCTGATGACCAATATTTATGTGATTATTAGCTCCTTTAATTTTAAGAAAAGCCCAAGCAAATGTTATCCATCCACAGTTGTTTGATGGAATGCTAGAGTTATTTCTTGATGGGGTTGGAAAATCCATCAGCTGAAAGAGTATTAAAACTTGAGGATCAAGTGATGTGAAGTGGTTGCTTGGTTCATTGATTATTAGTTGTTCTTCCCACTTGCAACAAAGACTCCTGAAATGAATTTGGAAATGGTAAAAATCACTAATCATGTATTAGAATTTTGTATTTGTTTTGCTAAATGGTTTATTTATTTATATATAATGTACCACATGTCTAAGCAAACATCTTTCTCATTCACGTTTTCTTGCTCTTACTGTACCTGTTGACTACCTGTTGAAGATCCCAGGGATCAATGTCCTTGAGTTTTTCCCATCTATATGACTTGTGTATAAGTTCCAACTTAAACATTAACATCACCTTTTCTTAGAAATTACTAATGTCCTAACTAGGTCTTTTACACCATGTCATGTACCGCTTAATTATTAGTTAACCTTGCCTTCAAGCTAAATTGAAAAGTTGCATTTTCATAAAACTTTACGTCACACCAGAGAAATAATTAAAGGCATATTGATAATCTATCATGTAGTGTATTGAGAGTAGAAATGCAGCATCAACAGTAACAATGCTTAAATTAACAAAAGGCAACTACCTGTATATGCAAGAGAAAGAAAAGGTGAGCCACATGGGAATACCCAATCACTTCAAAATAATTTTCATTCTTTGTATGTTTAAATCACAAAACACTTGTCTGTATAATGTTATATAATTAATGCTGAGTTGTGATATGCTCACAGCAAAGTTTTCGATAATTTGTTAATATTTAAAATTCAATTTGTATTATTCAAAAGTTACATTATCCAATTTACCTTTCCTTTTTTATATCATATGGTTGAGTCATGATGGGCATGATGTAGTCAACTTCATTCCCCTCATAATAGGATGTTGCTTTACGATCCTTACTTGATTTCAGGAGCCAATGGCCTGTATCCAAGTTACTAATGTGCACCTGAAACATAATTTGCATTAACAGGTGAAATATTTTATACCAACCGGTGATCTCTGGGAAAATGAGAAAAGAATATATTATTATGTTCTATTAGTGCACTTGATGTGAAACTGGAGTCTGAAATGTTAAAAGGTCTCAAATGCAGATACAGTACTGTACTTTATAAGGACAATCCTAGATAGTATGGAGTATTAGATATATATACTACACAGATACATTAGAATCAATATAATACTGGCACTGTAAATGATGAACAAGATTGGATCTAACCTGGACTACAGGATGGGGAAGTAACATAGGAGATCCTTCAAAACGGTCAGCACAATGGATTGTAACACCCAATACCTTATCTGGAAAAAATGCATTCATTAAACTGACCAATTTTTTCTTAATACTGTACAGTAATATCATTATTTTGTATTCTTTTCTCTATACTTTTGCTATACTAAGTGAAGTGTGTATTAGCATTCTATAAATAAAATCTGGAACATATCACAACTCATTAAATGTATTCACTAGAGCATAAAGACACCTTTCATGAAAGAAGTTTTCATATAACATGGATGGAGATTTTGAGACGAGGCATCAGTTTTTCTATGATGCACATAGCTAAAACACCTGCGCATATTTCTTATAATTTTTTTTAAGTTAACATTGTTAAGTCTTTTGTGTCTATGTATGTTGTCCCTTACACAAGCCATGTGGATGATTCCCATACCGTCTAGTAATTTTTCTTGCATTAGGCTAGTATTTAGAATTCCTTATAAAATAATTAGGGGCCACCTAATTCATGCGGTACATCATGTGGTACAATGATCGGAATTGCCCAGTGTAGCCCAGGTGGTGGTCTCACTCATGTCAAATATTGTATAGCTAAGTTTGATACAGTATTCATATTTGTTACTAAAGTTTATTATAAATCCAAGCCCCCTGCTTGCTTTATTTTGTGCACTGATGCATTGCTGTCTTAGCCTAAATTTTATCTACCAATGACTATTATTAATGCAGTACATGACATCGCCGGCTTTCCTTTGAATGTATGTTAACAAAATGTTGGGTGAAAGCCTTCTAGAAGCTTTGACAGTGGAGTCATACGACTATCTTATTCAATCAGGTGCATACAGGTAAAACACCAATTGATAGACACAGACATGAGCTGTCTTGACAATAACATTATGGATAGACAACAATGGGCCTTGGTCTTGTATCTTCGTCTATCATTCTGTTGAATAACTAAATAACAGGAAAGATACAATTTCAAAGCTAGTTTAGATTGTATCCCATACTGTATATTGACTTTAGACTTGGGTTTTGTTAACAATAAGGTAAAGCAGGGTAATTTGTGACTGAGAATGCTGTCAAATATTTGCTGCAGATGTTTTGATGTGTGTTTGCTCTACCTACAGTACTGAACATTTCCAATATCTATACCCTAATTTGCATGCAGTAAATTCACGAAAAATACATCAATATTAAAATATACAATCCTTGGTTTAATACAGAGGATCTAAAATCTTTATCATACGCAGATGAAGAAATTACTACACAAAAAGAATTCTCCTACCTGAATCTTTAGTAGGTCTCTTGGACTTCTTGATATGTTTCTTTTTTGGCACCGAGACTGCCTTCAGGTACTCTGTAGTTGAAGTGCTAATACTGGGAACACAGAGATTTTCTTCATCTGGTCCACTTTCATTCTTCTTGATAACCTGATTAAGCTTCTTAGTAAGTCATTTGGGGAATGCAAATGAGTATTTAATCATCTACCAGTACTTCAAGATTTTGTATCAGTTACTAAACACTAAAAAGATGAATTCATAATTAGAAAGATTGATTCATCTTTTCCTGATTAATTAATGCAGAAGCAAGTAAGTAATTATCAAAGAAGGCACCAAGCCGGGAAGGCCATGTAGCACCAATGCAGAAGCAAAAGCAGCAGTATTGATAACAATGACAAGATTTGAATAAATGCAACAATATCAACAATAGTGCCTTCAGTTGCACAAAAAAGCTGTATAGCACCTACTTTACTACTAGCAATGACATAAACTGTGATAAACATATGCTATGAAGTGTTTTAGCGGCATGCCATATGGACAAGGACGCAAACCCCCGTACACTCCATAACAATAAACCCCAATCACCCCAACCACAGGGGCCTTGCAGAAGAGTCAAAGAGTCTTGCACTACCCAGAGTGAGGCACTCTGCAGAGTTGTATGGCCTCTTAGGGGTGAACTCCCAAACTCACCAGAAAAGTCACTGTCAGAGCTGGGGCAACAGAAAATGAGTGCCCTAAATATAAGCTTTCATACTTCAAGTGAGGCTTGAGAAACATGCTCATGAAGCAAATATCAAAGTCAGAAATAATAAGCAAGCAAATGGACCCAAGGAGAGTCGGCTGGTCTTGCCACCACAACCAGGATGTGACACTGTCGAACACCTTACAACCCGCAACAATGAGAACAAGCTGGTTTAGCTCCCCCCCCCCCTCCACAGGACAATGTACAAAGTATGCCCTGCATTGATCTTGAAAAGATGTGGAGACTTACTACCTCCAGCAACTCTGGGAAGTCTGAATTCACAGACATTAGCAACATGACAGATGGCATGAAAGCCAGGAGCTCCTGGTGGGCCTGCCAACTACAGTACTGTATTGGTGGCCAGTCGCGACTAAAGGGATTTGAGCTATTTTCTAAATAGCTCAAATTTGCGGAGTCATGTGGCTGTTTCAGTGCTACACTTTCTTTGAATCTTGCACTTGTCTGTATTGTTTTGCTTACTTTCTGAAAGTTTTCTCAGTGAAGATGATCACAACAATCCCCTGCTCCCTTTGCCTTTGTGAGGGGGGCCAGGTTCTGGCTCTGAGTCCCTGGTAGACCATACAATACTCCTATTGCTGACATGACTCTGTGGAAGAGGGGAAGGGTGAAGAGAGGGACCATTTCAGTGAGATAGCTTCACCATTAGGTTTCTCCAGAAAAATTATCAGCTGCTAAACCTCCTTCAAATAAATAAGTACTTATAAGCAACATGAAACACACACGTCAGAGGGACTTATAAAGAACACTGTGCGAGGAGCATATGCGTCATTTTGCAACTTCAGAATCATTTTTAATTACATGGATGGTGAAATGCTAAAGAAACCATTCATGACTTGTAAGACCATAATAGGAATATGCAGCAGTTGTATTGTGCCCATACCTCAAGAAGCACATCAATAAACTAGAAAAGGTGCAAAGGCATGCTATAAAATAACTTCCGAAATTAAACAAAAACAAGAGTTACGAGGAGAGACTAGAGGTGTTAAACATGCCAGAACTAGAAGATAGAAGAAAGAGGAGATATGATCACCACTTACAAAATACTAACAGGAATAGACCAAATTGACAAAGAGGAATTCATAAAACCAGCAACTTCACGAACAAGAGGACACAGATTCAAGTTAAGGAAACATAGGTGCTGAAAAAAATATTTGAAAATTTTCTTTTGCAAACAGAGTGATAGACAGATGGAACAAACTAAGTGAGAAGGTGGTGGAGGCCAAAACCGTCAGTAGTTTCAAAGCGTTATACAACATAGAGTACTGGGAAGACAGGACACCACAAGCATAGCTCTCATCCTGTAACTACACTTGGGTAATTACGCAAACACACCCCAATTTTCCCTCCTGTTGTACCTTTTTCACAGGAAGATGTTCAGCTGTAAAATATATTGTCACTAATCCATCAATTTCATACTTTTAAGCAAAACCCCTAATCAAGTTGGGCATGTCCAAACCTCATTTTCCTTAGATGTCAAATCTTGTATTTGTTCTGCAAGATCCTTTTCCCTACGTTTCTTGAGATATTCTTCAACATTTTCTGCCTGATCATCATCTTGCCCTTCATGTTTTTTATTTTTGTTCTTATAACTTTTGATCTTTGTGACTGCTTGCAGTTCAACATCATCTTGTGCAACTTTTACCGTATCTTGCTTGCTCGTCCTCTTATTAAATTCCCTATATTATCAGAAAGAATTTAATACCATTATAGGTTACACTTAAATAAGCTCACTGAAATAAATAGCTTTAAAAGAGAAAATTTACAATACAACACACATATATCACATATATATGGTACACATACATGTTACGCTTATTTTTAGGTCCCCCATGGTCAAAGTACTGACCCTCCCCAGGATGCAACCCCACAATAAGTTGACTAACTCTTGGGTACCTATTTACTGCTAGGTGAAGAGGCATTAGGTGATAGTAAATGTGCCCAACCATTTCTATCCCATCTGGGATTCTAACCTGGGATTCTTGACTGTGAGTCAAGAATGAGGGGATGTTAGACTTCACTTGACTGTGAGTCAAGAATAAACCCGTCTGTACTACAGTCCTAAATGTGAGAAAGAGGGCGAGAGACTGAGTGAGAGAGAGAGAGAGAGAGAGAGAGAGAGAGAGAGAGAGAGAGAGAGAGAGAGAGAGAATGAGTGAACAAAAGAGCGAGAGCAAGAGAGAGCACACATGAGCACATGCGTGCATGCATGTAGATCACAGGTTCACCTTAGAGTGAAGTCTAACATCCCCTCCCCCACCCTCCATTCCATTCCCCCACATATTTTAGAAGATGTTAGCAGTACATAGGTACCAATTGCACTGCTGATGGATCAAAATACAGCAGCAAGCTTGGTTGGATTTCGTGTAAATCAAAGTACAATATATAGCATACAGTAATATCTCGTATAACTGCAAATATATCAGTGATTTCTATGAGTTATAGGTAGTGTTTTGCTTGGCCTTCATTAGTGAATTTTCTGTGGATGAAAAGATAATTAGATCCTCTCATATCGAGTCTGATGAACCCAAGAGCTGTTTAACAAAATGACAGAGTTGAGGGGCAAAATGAACAACTGAATTTTTTTTCTATGTGCTGTAATTTTTTTATTTATTTGTTCATTTGTATTATTCAGTTCTTTTATCATGAAATATAATCAAATATGTGTTTTTATTAGATTTTAACAAATCTACTATACAAATTTAACAAATTGCTATATTATTTATGATATAAATACTGTATTCAATATTGGTTTTTCTTTTTCTATATTTAAAAATATGAAAATCATATGCATTGTATAGAAAGTAAAGCATATTTTGGCATTACTGAGATGATATTACCATACCTGGAATATATTTTTTTCACAATATTAATGTTGTCAATGTTACTTCTACTGTACACTTAAAACTAAGCGTTCAAATGAAGGAGGCAAACAATACTTGCTCTTCTCTATATGTACAGTAGCTTCAAAGTATTAGAAGAATGCAGCAGCAAATCAGTACTGGTATTGTTCTTCACTTCTTAACTTTTAAACTGTTCTTCAATTACCATAAAGAATTTTCAAATAAGGATGTACTCCCCTAGTTGTGCATGCAGGGATTGAGCTTTGTCTCCTTAACTGCTGAGTAAGCGAGACCAATCATATGGTGTACAGATTCCTAAGCCTATTGGGCTCTATCATATCTACATTTGAAACTGTGTATTGAGTCTGCCTCCATAACATCACTGCCTAATGCATTCCACCTGTTAACTACTCTGACACTGAAAAAGTTCTGTTTAACGTCCCTGTGCCTCATTTGGGTACTTGTGTCCTCCTTGTTCATGTATCACCCGTGTTCTCACAAGTTCCTGATTCAACATACGGGGCAGTATTTAGTGCAGTTGGTTTGCAGGCAAATAATCCCAAATTCAATACCCAAGCAGTGCAAAACATTCTGGCACTTTTCCTTAGACCTTATGCTTTTATTTACCTAGCAATAAATTGTACAAATAGAGTTTGTTGACTGTTCAGGATGGCATTCTTGGGATGGAAAACTTTGATAATCACTACAGGCTTCCTGTTCCTGACAATGGCAAGCCATACCCATAACTTTCTCAAGTTTGCCATATTTTACTTACTTTACGTCTTGCAGTTGGTTAGTGTCATTCTCAGTATTTGCTGCATCCTTCTTTTTTTTGCTCAGTTTCTGCAATAATACATGCATTAATTAGCAATTAAGTGTTGTGGAAGTGGTAAAATGGTGACAGTAATAGTATTAGTGGGAGCAGTGATGGTGGCGATAGACTGGTAAGTTAAGAGGGAGGGGGGGGGAGGTAGACCTGCCAGTTAACTACATTCACCTTACAGTACAAGGGCCGAAGTGGATGGAAGGGAATGTCAGTTATGTATATATAGTATGTATATACACTGACCATATAAAACTGTATTCCAAACTAAACAATAGGACCAAAAATAAATGTTTAATTTTGATCAAGTAGAATTAATCACAATTCTAGAGCAATTCTTGAAATTGCATTCTGTGATAGCCCAATCATGAAATTATTAAGAATTTGCAATTTCCAATTATTCGGGGTACAACAATGAAAATTTATATACAAATTAGTAGTACACATGGTATGGTTCTAAAATATACATACTGTATTCAAAATATAAATTATCTTAATGTCTTTGCTAAAACAAATAAAACATAATTACATTGATTACAAAATTTCCTTGGATATCATTTGTAAAAGAGATTACTGTACCATGATTATTTCCTAGCATAAAGATAAATTATATCTTGTGCAGATATAATTTATAAAGTGCTTCTCAAGTCATAGTAAGATCCTATCATAATCGGGATGTTCCTCGCACAACTGTATACAAGTCATAAAATATTTAAGCCAATATGTAAATGCGTTTTGCATGTATCGCAAGGACACTACTATAAATATTTGAAAACAAAAACATAGCTTATAGTATGCCACTGAAATAATTTAACTAACTTTTCAGGGGATACTTAATAGGTCAACTGTTATCCAAGTAACTTTAGATCTAACTTAGTATTCAAATTTGAGACAACCAGATTTGCTGTTTATCCTTGATAATCCGAATCATTCGGGGTCCACCTTATTCGAGTTAGCCAAACATTCAACTTAGCTGAATTTCTTATGAGGAATGTCCAAAAATTAAAATTGTCATTTTTTATGGATAATGGTAACCAGGTAAATGGTTACCATTAACTATGTACCTGGTTATACAATGGCTGGTTACTCCAGCAATTTACCTGGTTACTTCTGCCAACTGCCCAGTTACTCCTGCTATTGTTGCTACTACCCTGTTACTCCCACTGTTTACCCAAAAACAAAGTATTAACCTTTAAACTCGTATTCCTATTTGGGTTAAAATGTCAAGAACTCGAATGCAAATTCATTCAAGTTACCCAAAGATTTGGGTTAATGAACTTAGATTACCAAGATCTTACAGTACAGTACCGTGTACTGTACTTACAATAAAGTAAACTCAAGTTACTATTGGCACATCGGGTACCAATTAAGTATATTAATATATAAATATAAAGTGAAATATAATATACACTATTTACCTTTCCAAGTTTTCTCGCAGCATGTTTATGGAGAGCTGTAGTCAAGATGGCATTGAGAGCATCTCCAGAGTTCTTTTCCTGCTCTCTCTCCCCTCCATCTTCATGATGTGTTTTGGTAAGCGGCTCCAGGTCTTCTACTGCCATCTGGTAATAATTTATTCTCATTAACAGAAATTACCAGTACATATATATATATATATATATATATATATATATATATATATATATATATATATATATATATATATATATATATATATATATATATATATATATATATATATATATATATATATATATATATATATATATATATATACACACACAGATATATTCATGTATAAATGTATATACAGTATATATATGCAATTGACGATCACGAAACACTGATCATTTGTATGCGGAAAATTCACAGAGAAATGGGAAAGGAAGATGACCGTTTCACCCGATGATCAGCCGAAGCCATATATTATTCGGTAATAATATAGAGGTCTTAAAATCCTCAATAATTTTGTTGAACTTTCCAAATGCAAGGTTTCTCTACCAGAGAAATTATCCTTTCAGCAGACCACACACTAGAAAGTGAAGGGACGATGACATTTCGGTCCGTCCTGGACCATTCTCAAGTCCATTCTCTCAATCGACTTGAGAATGGTCCAGGACGGACCGAAACATCGTCATCCCTTCACTTTTTAGTGTGTGATCTGGCCAACATACTTCAGCCACGTTATTGTGACTCATCGCCTGCATATCCTTTCAGCCTGTGAAAGCCCTTTTCTCAGCTAATTTATAATGTTACATAATACTTCCAATATAAGCACTTCTCTGAATACTGTACTCTCAGATCACAGCACAATCTTGCACAAAACACACACAAAAAACAATGCTACCATGAAATATAGTTACTTGACCTGCCTTACCTCATGGTTACCTTGTGGGGATTCCGAGGATCAATGTTTCCCCCCCAAGCCTGGTCTCTGACTAGGTTTCCTGGATAAGATAATCAGAAGGGTTAGTTCTCTCAACTGATTGGTTCTAATGTCATGTACATTACTATGAAGAGAAATCCAAACTAACATAACATGCTATCAAAACACCCACCTAATACTGTGCTACATAAAAAGCACTCACCTGATGACTGCTAGTAATGCAATGCCCAATGAATCATCTTTGCCACAGGTGAGATACCAATTATGACAGATGTGTTGACTTCCCCACGGTTTTGCTTTTCGTTATCCCCACTGTTGAAAAATTTTAATTATATCACACAACTCGTGCTAACTTCTGACAATCCATCGGGCTTCCTGTCCCTATTGAGGGCACTAGAGAGAGTGGCACTCAAGCAAATTCAGGTAAAACAAAATTGTAACTAATATTTTTCTTAAGTTAGGCTTGGTTAAGTTTTGTAAATTTCCCAATACTACAATTGTAGATAAGGTCGGGATGGGCTGGATTGATTTAGGTATATTTTAAGAGTAACAATAATATAGTCAGTTCAAACTTATTATCTATTGTCTTTGGCCCTACTTAACAAAAGCTGTTATATCACACTGTTAAATCTGTATACAATCGTTTTGACAAAGCTTGTATCTTCTGTGTTTATTTCTTATATTAATGTCTTACAGAAATACACACTTTACATTATAAAATGTTGCGTCTTTGTTGTTTGATTAAGGCCACGACGGAATTGGTGTCGGAGTGTGAAGGGTAAAAGGCAGAGTCTTGCCTTACGGATATACACGTCGCCTGTCAGCGGAAACCGTTGTAGTTAGTATATGAAGGGCAGCAACGGGATTAGGTTGTATGTGATGGGAACTAACGCGTCCTTACGGAGAGTAAATATTTCGTCTTTGTTGTTGTTGTTGTAATGGGGTGGGGGCAGCTACAGCACTGGTACATTTATTTATTTATTTATTTGTATATATACAAGAAGGTTTACATATGTACATATGATTAGATAAATTATTAGATTATTTATTTATTTATATATATACAAGAAGGTTTACATATGTACATATGATTACATACATACAAGATTACATATGTACCCCGTCAACCCTGGCATGAATTAACGATGTCTCTAGAATCTCCCTTGTATCCCATTGTTGATGTGACGACTTATACTGAAGTTTGTAACTAGCTCATCGAGATTGTAACTTGCTTAGCTAAATGAATTGTGGGGTTCAGTCCCTGAGCCCATTATGTGTGTCTGTAACCCTTTCCACTACCGCCCACAAGATGGGTATGGGGTGCATAATAAATGAACTAAACTAACTCCCTTGTATGAATACCATCTCATATAATTGTTGTCCAATATGATGATACGGACAAGGCAATTAAGCTAAATGTGTATTAAACTTGAATCTGGATTAGATCTGCATGTGTTTTCTGAGGGAAGAAAACGTGTCTGGGGAGCTGAGTTTAACCGCCCAAGCTGCCCCACAACAAGCCAAGGTTATATAAGCTCTGCCTGCAGACTGGGTGGGCACACGGGAGACATCTCCCGTCACGCAGGGTGCAGTCGCACCTCCACAGATTGGTAATGACTCAAGAGGGCCACCACTTACGGGCTATTCATGCCCGTGCCACCTTTTGGATGGCTTAATCTTCTTCAATCATTCACTGGGTGGGCACACGGGAGACATCTGTCACGCAGGGTGCAGTCGCACCTCCACAGATCTACAGTATCATCTACTGATGCTGGTTATGGCTCAAAAGGGCCACCATTTATGGGCTATTCATGCCCGTGCCACCTTTTGGATGGCTTAATCTTCATCAATTGTGTGGGAGACATCTCCCGTCACGCAGGCTGCAGTCGCACCTCCACAGATCTCCAGTATCGGCTATTGATACTGGTAATGACTCAAGAGGGCCACCACTTACGGGCTATTCATGCTCGTGCCACCTTTTGGGTGGCTTAATCTTTATCAATTAATCATCACTGGGTGGGCCCCTGTTCTCGACAAGCAAGCAGCTGCTCATTTACAAAAAAAAAAAAAAGTCCCCCAATCTGAGCGCGTTTTCCCGAGACCGCAGAAAATGGGTATACCATATACGAGTATATGTGGGCTTCGCGCCAGCCGCCCTTTAAAATTGGATCTAGAATTGGATCTTTATACGCATGTATACCACATTCATCATACATACTCTTTCAATGTTTCTGCATGCATGTAGCGTGTCTCATCATTTACACATGTAATGTTAGACACCTATGTAAGTGGGTAATTATAGGTAATTAATAATGTTAATTATTTAGGATTACTTGTACATAGGCGATATGCATCCTTCGTTATTATTATGTGCACCATTTATCATTCTGGGATGACTTCTCAAACCTTGTATACTTTATTTACGTATTACTACGTTCGGGTGCATGTGCCCCTACTTACGTAGAATAGGTATACTGTACAAGTACATAAGAACAAAGGCAACTGCAGAAGGCCTATTGGCCCATACGAGGCAGCTCCTATTTATAACCACCCAATCCCACTCATACATGTCCAACCCATCATATACATGTCTAACCCATGTATATTGATAACTGTACAAGTACAGTTATTACGGTAACTTAACATGTATCCCTGCACATGCAACACCACAGGCTGCATCTTATTAATATTTAAAATTAATAAAACATATCGCCTATGGTGTTTGTTTCGGGTAGGTCCTTATATAATCTAACATAATTTTTAATTAGGTTCCTAAGTTTACATACATACAGTATATCTATCTCTATATAATGGCGCATATTATAAATTTGTGAAACTGGTGCACATTTTAAATTCCACAAGGCAATAAGCACTTCATTCACGTGACCGTTGGGGTTCACTAAGGAATTCCGTGAGTGAACACGTCATACATATTGTACAACTTTTGATTTAATCCATTTAATAACACATATCATATAATGCATACAATCGAATATAAATAATACAAATTAGTGAAATAGAACTTTTATCGTCATAATAATGTGAATATTTTAGTATATGATGCGAATTTGCCGTTTATAATAGTTGTCAGTGTGACGTTTGGCACCACCGCGCACCCTCGCCGTTGGCGACGAGGGATTAGCGGCGAGTTTGAAAAGGTAAACATACACCCCGAGGTGGCCATGGCAGCTAAACTCTCTAGGAGCTGGTCGTTTTTCAGCGGGCGTCGCCCCCACAACGGCGAATGCCTCAGCCAGGACTACCAGCCCACCACACCCGGAACCCGGGTCAATCTGCAGGATAGATTTAGCCAGGAGAAACACCAGGAGGGAAGATGGCGAAGAGGGCCTTTACTACCGCCTCCTCCTCCACCACCCACACGCAAGTTAGTCATCGGAAACTTGTTTTAGCTACTGACGTCACCCCCTGTGGGCTTGGAGGGGCTGATCAGCATATAGATTACATCCTTGACATTTATAGTGTTGGTAGTAGTGAGTCTGAACACTTTGCTCAAGATAGATCCAGAGATAAGGAGATTAGGATACAAGGAAGCTGCTATGATGCCTGGGGTTTTGGGCTGCCTTAATTGTATGTTGTTTTGGCCACATGCAGCTATATATGAGAATAACTTTGTTCCTCATGCTGTTAATGAGTTAACATGACTATAAATACAATTATTGCGGTGCAATGTTCCTTATGTAATATATTTTCGTGTTCAATAAATTATAGATTTTTTTAAGTAAGAATTTGGGGGATGAATTCTAAATGGTTTCTTTCATTGAATAGAATTAACCAATAGTTTTCCAGATAGATTTTCAATTAGTTTGGTTTGAGTAGTAAAGGTTTTCTAGAAAATCCTGGGATTGTTAGCATTTGATGTTTTAAAGAATAGTGTGCGAGATAGTTTTTGCACCATTTTATTTTTGAATACTGTAAAAACTTTCACAATGTTTTATATTTCTAGCAACACATTCAAGCATCATGGAAATCATGCTCCTGAAGCACCCGAGCACCACCCGACTAATCCTAATAATGGATGTGCGGATAAGGAGCATTCTTCTGGGCAATGTGAGGATGAGGAAAACGGTTATGAGGAACCATATGAATATCCATCAAATAACTCAAATCTGCAACGAAGCCATCCACACCATTCTCAAGATTGCTGTGATAGCAATAGTAATCGGCCAGCTGGAGCTGCCCCTTCCTCTGTACCCTTTCCACGGCGCTCGCTTCGCAAGCTGCCCTCCGGTATAGCGCCCCTTTGGAACAACATCCAGGATAATGTTTCACAGCTGAAGCCACAAACTAGCAGATTCATTAATGAAGGTGGCAGGAAGATGAATCGTGCACTACAAGGGGTTAGGACATCATTTTCATCATTTACACAGGTATATTTTTTTTCCCCTAGGGATGTACTGTACTTAAAATTTATTTGCTTGGTTCACCTTGGCATGCAAATACTGTATATGTGCATATAATATAATGTAAGAATATGAAAACCCATAGCCTTACCTTGAGGTTACCTTGAGGTGCTTCCGGGGCTCAGCGTCCCCGCGGCCTTGGAGAAGGAAATTTTACAGAAGAAAGTTTCATAAGAGAAGGAGTGGAGAGGAAGCTAATTCCTATAAATATTATCATGCTGGTGCTTTAATATTTGTTTGAATTTTGTTGGGAAAAAAATTCCAGATGTTTCGAAACTCTACTCGGCGGCGGTATAAGTTGGATGGTGGAACACCCACTCGTACTCCAAGAAGAACTCCTGGCAAACTTTATTCCCCTTTTGACATGAGTACTCCTGCCACTCCTCACAGCTATGCCAAGGGACCTAAAAGGCTTCAAAATGCTTCTGCTAGAAGGTAAGCTTTATACAGCACAGTACGGTTATATTTAGTTACAATAATAATTTATTGTGTTGGGGGGACAGGCAGCCAGTGTATATATACATATTAGGCTTGTATCAAGTTTCCCTCTCCCCCCCCCCCTCCCATGGTGACATTACTGACCCTCCCCAGGAAGCAACTCCTAAACAAATTGACTAAGTCCTGAATACCTACTAGGTGATAAGAAATGTGCCCAACCATTTCTGTTCCACCCAAGATTCGAACCTAGAATTGAGAGTCGAGAACGAACCTAACTGTAATATCAGGACCCTAGTTATCAAGAAATTTTTTCAAACTAGAATTACTATTCAAAGAGTCAATTTTAATTATTAATTGCATATATACAAATATATAAAACTAAGACAGAAAGACTATTTACTGATAAACTGTTCAATAACTTGTGCAAGTATTATTTCACCACTTCTAAGTGCAGTATTGTTGATTGTTGTATAGCATTGAAACACTATTTTGGGATAGCATTGCTTCGCCTATGGGATAGAATTGCTACCTACACCTGTGGGGACACTATAGTATTGCTGCACCTGAGACACTATTGGTACACTTGTGAGATAGCATTGGTACGCCTATGGGACAACATTGTGATGATAATAATAAATCATTGTGTGCAACCACACAACAACTTGACTAATTCCTGGGTACTTATTTACTGCTAGGTGAACAGGAGCAATAGATGATAGGAAACGTACTCAACCATTTCTGTCCCGCCCTGGATTTGAATCCGAAGATCCCAATTGTGATTTGAGAACGAACTTGACTGTAATACCGGTACTAAAAATTACTATTACTACTACTATTATGTAGTGGTAGTAGCATTACATGGAATATCATTACTGTTGTGATATTGCATTTTACAAATGTAAACACCATGACAATTAACTAATTGTTATGATGTTTAAGTACATCTGGTGTACTTTCAGAAAGTAATGAGTCTATAGAGTATAAAATATTATAAGGGCATATGTCACCCAATTTATTTCTTAAATTTGGAGTAAATGGTGAATGTTTCATTTATATATAGAAATTATTAATATTTGTTATATGTTTTGTCCCTTGCATCTCAGTGTGAAATTCTAGGTAACTTTGTAGTGAAAGTGTTTAATGTGTAAGTATGGCATGGGCAAATTAAAAAATACTATGGGGAGAATGTTCCTAATGGTGAGTCTTATGCAGTATTTTGAATTCAGCTGAGGTTTACACCATTTGTTTTTTGAATTTAATATTAATTTAAATTTTACAGGAACATCTATGGTAATGAAAATAGAGGTGTTATACGATTGGCTCAGCATCATGCAGGTTCTCCGTTGGGCCCTCGTCAATGGAATCATTTCCATTCTCCTTCCCAGGCTTTACATCGTGATATCACGGCTGTGAACAGAGGCCTGAAGGACCTTGAACATGTGAGCAGTGGAATCCTTCATAATGAAAAAGAAAAATGGATTCAGTTTCAGTAAATGTAAGCCCTTGTATTGACTGAACCTTTCACACAATTTTACACAATACACAATTTATTGTATGATAGTGTGGAGGTATTCACTGTCTGACTTTATGATGAAGCTGAAATCTGTGAATGGGGATTTTTGAACTCCTTTGTTACTTTACAGTGCTTAGAAAGAGTTTTTAAATAGGGAATTTACTTTTTAATCAGCAAATGTGTTTAATTCCATTCATGCTCAACATGTTTTCCAAGTTCAACTTTGATGATAAAATATATATAATGTAATTTTATATATATATATACGGTATATACACATACCTATCACGCTTTGAAGTTCAAACGTATATTTCATGGATATTATTTTAACTATCGGTAAAATGCACACGTTATTTTTGCATTTTCATGCATTTAGTAGTTTGCAAACTTTGTTTTATCAAGGATGTAATACTTATTAGCAGAGGCAGCTCTTTGTTATACTACATACCATAACTAGATTATTGTATAGGAAATTTTTCTCATTCATTTAAAACTGTGTGTTTGAATTGTTTCTTTACACACTCCATACTTAACCCGTGTCTTCCAAGCTTCACTCGCATACTCTGTTTTCCTTTCTTCACAAATTTCACATATTCATTTACTCATTTCTTGTGTTTTTATACACTCTTTGCTGAAGCATGTGTGGCATTCACTAACCAATGTGCTAGCATGATTCTTGCTAGCTAGCAAGAAGACCTTACCTTACTAGGTAAGGTAAGCTAGCATGCTAGCATCTTGATTAAAAAAATTTGACACTTCATTTACCACAAAAGAAAACACATCTCAATCTTAACTCGTGCACTTCATTTTTCATCCATTTAATTTTCAGTGCACTTAATATTTTATTTTTATAAAAAAAATTCCATGACTTTTACATTATGTTCGATTTATTTTTCCAAAGATTTGTATAAGTACACGGGGATAATTTTAAGTACAATTGTTTGATTCTCTTATACCCTACATTCCAGTTTATGATTTTCAGCTTTATAACTGTAGCATAAATTTCTTTCGAGCCAGTATTACTGATGGGAAGTTTTTCAGATAAAATTTGTGTTTTTGAGATATTTATGGAAGGGATTTAGGATGAAGCATCTATAGATACAGTATTCATTAGTGGGGGTCAGTGTACACAAGACATATCGAAGCTCTCATGACTAGTTTTTTAAGATTATTTTTAGAGGCAAGGTTCTCTTTCTGCCATAAATTCTTTAAGTACAAGTAAATGACCATTTTCGTTTTGTTCTGATGAGAATTTCTCTTAAGCTCTCAACGAATGTTATCTACCAGTGGGAGAAGACTTTATTTGTAGATTAAGCTCCACTCGGAGGAAAACTTTCGTTAAGAAAGTTCTCGGTGAAACCTTATTTACCAATAGTTTTTTTGTTTGGTATTTCTTCTCATCATTATCAGTCCTTGGTGCTTTCTCTGTAAAGTTCATGTATTCTAACCTGTAGAGATCAGCAATTTAAGACTGGACAAGGAAAATTACTGCTGTGTTTATATGCATATTTTAGAGTAATTAATGATACTTAAATGGGCATCTTTCACAAAGTGAATTTTCAAATGCATTTGAGTTTAAAACTTTTGCTATTTTGAAGAGACAAGGTGTACTATTGAGTAAATAGAAAATTTGCTAACCCTATAGCCCTATAGTTCTCTTGCATTAATTTTTAGTTTTGTCTGGATGAGGTATTAAGTGTCTTTTGTTTTGGGGAGGTGGGGGCTTGTTTCTTGCACGTTAGTACAACATATGCATTCACAAGCAAGATATTCATGTGATTGTAACTATGTTGTCTCAGTAATGCAGGAGGTGTTCCTCTTCTGTACGTTTATATATATATATTTTATTATTATTATTATACAATACATCTAATGGTTTATAATGAAAAATAAACTAGAGATTATTATTACATAAGACAGTTTAAATTTTGGAGTAAGATAATTATAGGTCAAAATTTGAACATTGAGGAATAGGAATCTAACCGACTGCTCTCTGAACATTTAATAGAATAACCATAAAGGTACCTGTAATGTGCTATATATGGATTATGAAACACTTAACTTTACAGGTCTCAAGAAGATTGCATGGATTTGTCTAGGGTAATTAAGTTTGTTGGTATTTGCATTAATACACTTGTGTATAAATATGTACTGTATATTACAGAAAAGCTAAATTAACTTACCTCAGAGGTATTGCATTATTCAAAAGGTAATGTTGAATTATAGAATACCATACTAGTCTAAACAAAATTTACACTAAGGTAAATTATTCTATGCTGGTTATATTTTGTTAATCTTATTTCTGGTCCATGTTGCAGCAGTGACTCGACGATCATTAATGTTCATGATGGGTGTCACAACTGGGTACTGTTCTCATAAGGAATGAAGGGGAAAATTATTTATTTCTCAGAGAGTTAACTATTTAAGTATTAGGGTTTAATAATATGGGGTTCCGTAGGCAAATGATTTTGTAGTGTTGTAGGTAATCCTTGGTGCCACTAGAAAGAAACGTGCACGAATGAGAAAAATATTACCAGTACAGTATTAATATTCAAGGGAGTTGACATTCATTATGTCGAATCTTGGGCGAGATATTTTAACTTTAACATTAAGATGCCACAGTGCCAAATACAGTGAAATATTCATAATCAGGAGTAGTTAAAATGAGACTGGGTATTGGGGGGTCCCTCTGTTCTTCCTCCGTGATCTCTTGGGTAGTCGGATTTTGTGATAGATATTATGTTGGTAATGATGGAATTTGATCTTGCTTTATTGCTCATATGATATTAAATAGTAATGGGATATTTCTGTGGAACCACAAATTTCTGTGGATGTGTAAAGTGTGGTTTGGATTTTTGTTTCTCTCGTATTAAGCAAATCATGGAATAATTTTTTTGTTTGGAATGAGCCTTGGTTAACTTCTGTAAATATATGCATTCTTGAACAGATTCCAAAAATATTTGGTGCTAATCTTATTTTTTATTTTTTTTTTACTTGAAAAATTCACCTTTTTATTTTATTACTTATGTTTGTGAGGAAGTACTCGTAATTTCTACACATTGCGTGTTCTTTTCATACATTTTTATGCTTTTCACCATTTTTTATGGTTCTCTCTCTTTAGATATTTTACATTTTATCAAATGTTCTTAATTGTCACATTAATTTCTCATACTTTCAACATATTCATGACACAAGTTTTACATATATTCATACTTCGTGCTTTCCACACTGATTCCCAAAGCCTTCCACACTCATTACTCATGTTTTCCACACATGCATTCCTCAGGCTTTTTATAAATTCAGGCATTTGCACACATTTATCATTATTTACATATTTCAGTGCTCATTCTTTCTATACATTACTCATGATTTCCACACACTCCTCATTTTCTTATTCTCTACATATTTCCCAATATAGCCACACATTATCTATACATTATTAAGCTGTGCAAGTAAATGGCTTGACTTGTGTTATAGCCAAGTTAGCATGTGTAGAACTTCAACAGATGCTTCAGGCGGTCTTTAAACTAGGAACATTACACAGTTGACCGCAGCCAATGATTTTTTTTTTTTTTTTTTTTTTGTGTGTGTGGGGGGGGGGGGAGGGGAAGTCCACCAGTCCATTTTGGAAAGAAAACTTATCTAGTTGAGCAAAGCATCAAAGATAGGTTTTGTTTTATGTATTATTTTGGGAGCCAGTTGAACATGTCACTTGACCTGTTGTACTGTATGCTTGGCAGACTTTTACTGTATTGGGAATGTAGTATTTTTAGCAGTGCGAGCTACATTTGTTCTTTGATGGTTATGATTTTATGTGAATATCTAAAATGGCAAATTATGGTTATATCCTGCTTATATACAAGGTTTGCTTATACAGTATAGCCATTATATAACAATTTTATTTTATATTTATGTAATATATTTGTTAAATTACACTATCTAATAGTGAGAAGTCCCCATCAACTGGATCAGACCATGATGTTCAACTATACTGATCATAAAGTTATGAATTAGTCATTCACTGAAGTATTTGAAAATGTATGACCAGGGATCTTCAGTATAAAAGTGCTGATTAAACAAATATATTAAAATGTTACATGAATTTTCCTAACTGAAATGAAAGTCACTATCAAAAACAGTTGCTTATTTATACTAAACATGGTAAATGATCAGGACGGATTTAAAATGTACTGTATTAGAAAAGTATGCTAAAGTGAAATTGTTTAAAATAGTGTCCGTTAGCTAAATCTTCCCACCGAGATCACCTCTAAACGGTATTTTACTTATTAATGTTGCTATTAATTTCTATACTTTTACATTATTTGGAATTGACCTGATTTTTTGTTCAGAGGTAAAATATATATTCTATATATATATATATATATATATATATATATATATATATATATATATATATATATATATATATATATATATATTGCTTCTGTTAGTAAACTAATTATCTGTGATTTATATAAAAGAAGTTGCAAAATATCTGCTTAATACATGAGCAGGTAATTATATTTTCATTATGTAGGGGTTAAACATTTGCTGTCACAACCTATACACTGCAGAGCTATTAATAGTGTTGTACCTTAAACTATTTACTGATGTTGCTTTTGTTATGCTAAATGTGTTCAGCAAAATGTTATTCTACAATAGTATAGGTATTGTACAACTTGTAAGGTAATGATTTTTGCTACAAAATCTCTGGTTGAAAGGGATTCAGTTATTCCTTTTTTTAATTTTGGCTTAATTTACATAAAGTATATTGAGTGAATATGGTATCTGAAAAAAAAAATGTGTGTGTATTTCACTAAGCATATCTTCCTGGCTTAGTGCCTTCTTTTGAGGATTTCTTACTTAGGCATGTCCATAATACTGTACAAAATTGCTGAATATCTTTTCAATGAGATCAGCTATGGAATGAGGCAGGGGTCGTTCATGGCTCATTCACTTCCATAAACCACTTGCATAAACAAACAGTTCATTTCTTATGACTTGTGCCTTACTGTCTGTACCGCACTTTCCCATGTACAGTCGCACACCTTCTCATGGTGTTTTGATTTTCGGGGTGATTAGAAGCCTTACTTTTACAATGTTCCTTTGAGTCACTTGTCCCTCAGTAAAATCGTTGGTGACTGATACTTTTAGCATCACTGTCATTTTGCTCTAGTATTGGCATCCAGAATGATTTCTGTTCATTTTTCACTGTTCTGTGCTATAGATGATGCTACATAGTCTTACTGGCTTGGTGCCTTCTTTGATAATTACTAACTTTAAATACTATATTTTTCCCTCCAAAATATTTTACTTACTTATTCATCTCAAGTTAACCTTTTTAAAGGGTCTCGATGCTCTTTTTAAAGGATCTCATTGCTCTCTAATAGTTCTTTAAATATAATTTTTGTCTTAAAATACAAGTACTACCTAATTACATGATTAAAAGGCAACTGTAAAAAATTACTTTTTCAAGAGATCTGACTTGAATATTTTAATATATAAATTAAAATGCTACTAGCAGCTATTACAGTATATACTGTATTGCAGTATATTTTATATATTTATATATATAATTATTGTATTTGTATTTTAAATAAAATTGTGTAAGTTACCCTGTTTATAGTTTGTTATATTTCCATATTTGCTTTAAAAAATTATCAGAAACATGTAATTGGCAATGGTGGTTGAGAAGTTTGAGCTTATTTTCTTATTAGTTCTATTCACCTGGGAGTTAGGCAACTGTTGTGAATCACATGCTGGGGAAGGTATATCCTTGTCCTAGGGATATCCCAGTAAGCTTAATAGATTTCTTGTCCCCAACAATAGGAAACAAAATTTAGCGGATAGGAAAGGCTTAAAATAGGAGGCTGTTAAATTGCATCTTTATTACTGCACTATAATTGTGATGTGCCCTGCTCATTGAATATAAAGATGTAAGACAGCAAGCAAATATTTATCAGGAAATATCAAAATAATTAGTAAATTAAATATATTTAAAAAATATGCTTCTTAAATGTAGCATAATGTTGTATAGTTTAAGTAATAGGTCCTGCCCATTAAATATATAAGCACCATATTAAAGAGAAAGCAATTATATTTCAAAATATACCAATATATTTACCAAACAAAGCATTCTTTAGGCTGAAATTTAGACATAAAGAAGACTCCTAGCCCTCATAAGTGGTGTTCTCATCTGAAAGCTAAAGGTATTGATGTTCGAGTATAATCTTTGTATAACTGAAAAAAAGATGATTAAAACTTAAAATTTCTACACTTCAAATGAAATGAAAACAAGTAACCAACTTTGTTGCAAAGGAAACTTGATATGCAACTCCCATCAGTTTTATTTAAATTTTATTTCTGAATGCACCAATATTTTGAGTAATTTAATTGCTTAGTTAAGCAAATCTGTACATACCTTAGCCTCATTACAAGTAATATTGTATCATCCTGCCTTTTGAAACAGGAAATGATAATACAGTGCTGTATTGAAATTTCAGAAAATACATTTATAAATTGATCAAAATAATCTTAGGGTGTAATTAAGTAACAAAGATGCTTACCTCTTTATACAATGTTTTAGATGCCACTTCATGTGATATACCTTGCTCAATGATGGTATACCACTATAAAAGATGAAATGATCATTTAGTAAATATAAAAATATATTAAGGAATAGATATCAACACCCCACCCTTCTTATGCCAGTTTTAAGGTGCTACTGTTGAGTTAATACACCTTGTTCTTTAAATGCTTTAACTCTATAACATGTATAACATTAAATAAGCAATTGTCTGAAAAGGAAATATCACCATATTAACCAGCTAAATGATCACCACGCTTGCTCTGTATATAGATGGGTGTATATACACAAAGCTTACTCTAATCTTGGAGTATGTGAATTATATTTAGTACAATAATTCTTGATGACTGGTCAATAAGGTATAATGGCCTTACTAACCCTCCTCCAGTTGATAGGTCTTGAGCCTAACACCAAAATAAAGGTAAAGGAAAATGGTAGGGCATACTAGGAGTGGTTTAACTCTTGCTAATAGTAAGACACACTAGGAGTGGTTTATCTCTGGCTAATGGTAGGACTCACTAGGAGTGGTTTACCTCTGGCTAATGGTAGGACTCACTAGGAGTGGTTTACCTCTTGCTAATGGTAAGACACTAGGAGTGGTTTACCTCTAGCTATCTGTCAGAGGTAAAGATGTTGAATCTTTCCAGAACAATTAGGATATTGGTCAAGACACCACTTTTAAAGGTCAGATGTAACACAAGGAACAACGGTTTCAAGCTCAACAAACCACAATGTAGGACAGAAAACAGATGCTTTTTCACCCACAGTGTTATAAACCCATGGAACTTCATACCCGCTGAAGGCATACCTGTCAAAACACTGTTGCAATTAAAAATCCAGTTCGATAAAATCATCAGGATAAATGGGAGGGTCCCCTTTGACAACCCGCCGGCTTCTTGGCCTTATCGGCGCCACTAGAATAGTACCCCCTAGGAAAATTCAGGTATATATACAGTACAGTATATCTATCAGGCTGTATTAACATTCAGGGGTCAAAGGGATAGGTTGTGAAATAATGCAGGTGTATCAACGATACAATATAGCCCTTGACTTTTCCTACGAGTAGAATATTATAATACTGGACGCATGCTGTGTCTTATATACCCATTCATGTATCTATTTCATAAAATATATATAACAAGTTATTATTATGTGTAATAAATACACATATGCAATACATTGAATACACAATGCATTTGGTAATCAAAGTTGTATTAAGTAAAAATGTATATATAAATAAAACAATTTTAAAATAAATTGTCATTTTATATGGCGATTTTCAAATAAATTAAAATGAATTTGATTGAAACTGAAATTGAAATAAGTTTATTGAGGTAAAATACACACAAAGGGATGAGGTAGCTCAAGCTATTCTCACCCCGTTCAGTACATCGAGTTAATACATACATAAACACACATCATAAGCAATAAACATATTACCAAACATTCTGAGAGATAAACATATACATTTCCTACATGTTTATTTGATTAACACTGCAGCATATCGAATACCAAAGAAAACGTACGTTTGAATGTGGGAGTATAACCGAGCAACAAAGCCCACAAAACGACCCACAACAATGATACTTTCCTCCAGCTGCTTCGCTCCCTGGAGAACCCTGGCAGACAACACCCTTTACCACTACCTGACGTCTGGCGCTCTTATATCAAGGATCAGAGGCCTTAATAATACACTCTGCTAGCTGTGAAGAGGGAAGCCAAGTTATTTTATGCTTATATCGTGTTATGAACACCCAGCTTTGGCATATATAGTAGGCAATATAAACAATGTTTATTTGCTCTTGAAATAAAATACTGTCAAGTTTTATCGGCGAGTCAAATGGAAAAATAAGTCTATCATATCCTTGGTGACAGGAAGAAATGAATAATAGTTGCTAAATCACCGGACCCGAAGCAGTATTTGTGTGTACTATGTAACGGGTAAGGGAGATTTGTATGGTCCAAAACCTTAAATATTCATCTACTGTTTTATACTATACATTCATAATATTGAAAGTAATCATTGGTTGTACTTGGTTTTATTGTCAGCATTGTCTTTGTGGTATATGCTGTAAACTAATGACTTAGGGCAGTTTAGTTTAGTTCATTTATTATGCACCCCATACCCATCTTGTGGGCGGTAGTGGAAAGGGTTACAGAGGCACATACTGGGCTCAGGGACTGAACCCCACAATTCATTTAGCTAAACACTTAGGGCAGGATGACTCATTCTCCTAATTTAATGTCTATAATGTAAATTAAGTGCAAAACTATTATTATTTTATATAATGGTCAATAATTAAAAAAAAATAAGTTTTAGTGATATACAGTAAGATTCTATAGCCAATGACCACAAAAATCCCTTTGAGAATTAAGTTAAAACATGTTATTTTAAAGCAGTCATAATGTATCCATTCCAATAAACAAATCCACAAGGGACTTGATGAAGGTTCAAACCTACGCACAGGATGTTCCCAGACGCGCTTTAGTCAACTGTACCACCAGATGGTAAAAGAATTGCAACCTGGAATGCTACTGCCCTCACAAAGAACATAATGAGTAATGTTCTGTACTTTAAGAATTGTATCATCTGCAAACATCAAATTTATTATCATAACCATGGTAAAAACCCTTCTTTTAAAACCATATTCCAATCTTGACGTCACTTTGTCTAATGATCCCACCCCACCCATATATTCTTAACTACAAAAAGAATATTATACAACCATGATATACTCCCAAATTAATATAAAATAAATTGCTTATTACTCCATTGTCAAGAAAGAGTAGAGGATTCAGCTGAATCGCAGGTTGCATTGCTTTTGATCATGTCATGGCCGAGTTGTTTAGGGCACATGCTTGGAAGTACCCAGTGTGCAGGTTTGAATTCTTATCATGGCGTCTACCAATTTTCTCATTGATACATCACATTAATGTGTTTCTTTGTACTTTATATAATTATGCTAAAAAGTTTTTTATTGTACTGTATTTTTATTTTATATAATGGTTAATAATTAACAAAAACTCATGTTATAGTGATATACAGTACAGTAAATGTCTATAACCAATGAACACACAAGTCCCTTTGAGAACTAAGTTAAAACATGTTATTTTAAGAATAACATGAATGAATACAAGAAAATTGAATTGCATAAATACAAGTAAGTGTGTGTACGTTGTATTCATGTGTCCTATTAGCACATTTTATTTATTTCAGTGTGCCTTCACCATGGCTTGGAGACGTAACCAATTCCAAGGCCAATTTGGAATTAATGAAACTCCACTGACAGTTGCCATAGAATGTGGAAATTTTAAGGATGCAGAAGAGATTATTCAAGCCACCAGCGACCCATCCTTTCTGAATGATGGACAATATGAAAGATTTCCTCTTCACATGGTATTGACTAATAACCACTACCACACAGAACAGAGTCGCAACCTAAAAATTGCAAAATTGCTTGTCCAAAAAGGTGCTAACCCAAATCTACGGATACCCTATGAGGATCTGGATCGAGCATCACCTAGCCCTTTTGAAGAGCTTGTAGTGTACCATGAAGTGCTTAAATCTTACGTGGATGGTAATTCTGAAATTCTATGTGAAGAATTAAATATGTACTTTGAATTAGAAGAAATTAAGCTAGAATTTATAACTAACACCATAGATTTTGAAGGTACAAAGTGTATGCCTAACATTGAAAGCTGTAATAAACTAGTCAAGCAGACCAGTGACTTAATCGATGTGTTTTTAGAGTATGGTAGTGATCCTAATGTTATTACAACTTTTGCCCACAAGACCCTCTTCCACTGGGTGATTGAACATGAGGATATAGTCTTAGCAAAGTGTTTCCTGAACACTTGTAGAGTTAATTTAAATCTATGTGACATTCATGGGACTTCACCATTAATGGATGCCATATTGAGAAATGATCCAGTAAATTCTCTTCATTTGTACAATGTCATGTGTGATACTGTTGATTTTATTGATGTAAACATGCATAATTGCTGTGGTGAAACAGCACTCTTTAGAGCAGTGTTTGTTGGAGCAGTAGATTTAGCCACAAGACTGTGTAAGTATGGAGCACACACACAAACTAATGTTTCTCTCTCTCAAGTACCAGTTACATATCCAAGTAAATGCTTTTTCTGTTCAAGTTCTCACATTCAGCAAGTGCCCATTTTATCAACTCCTTTGTTAGCACCGTTATTAGCCGATGCTCCAACCAGACTTCGTTACACTCATGTCTCTTCACAAGATTTTGATATTAAAATTGTTCGTCCACATAAACACCTTATTGACAAGATTATTTCATCATCCATTTCTCCCCTTATAGACACAGGATGCTTGAATAATCAGACTGTTGCTTCTGAGGTGACACCTCTTTTGTCTTTGAGTAATTTTGTACATTTAAAAGATGGAAGAATTCAGCCTACTGATTTGATAACATTAATGTTTGGCCAGGTGTCTGCAGGTCTTCGGCAACTGTGCATTAGATCTCTCTTTGATTATGTTTTTATGGTCTCTGACATTCCCAGAAAGACATGGCCTGATTTGGTTCTTCATGAACTATGTATCAAAGACTGCAAAGGGGCATTGATGGAATCATACATGATAGAATTAATAGAATTACTTGGTCTTCCACAGTCCTTCAAAATATTTTTTGAAATTGAAGCTGCTAAATATCAAATTTCTAAGTTAATTATGGGTCTTCAGAGTGTGGATTGTGATCAAGCATGTTCAGCATCAGATGAATCAATGTTTGATGAAGATGATGATGATAATGTGTCATATGATACTTCATTATTCTCATCAGATTATGGAGATTCCCTTCTCCTCTTCTCTTCTGACATGCTCAGTGAGGAATCATCAGAGGAGGTTGAGGATCTCTCTGAAGAAGATTTCTCTGGAAGCGAAGAGGATGAAAAAGAGAAAAAGACTGAAGAGACTAAAAAAGTGAATGTAGAAGCGAGTGCACATAGGAAAATTAAATGTGAATTAGAGAGCAGCTCAAGTTGTGCTTCAGACGACATCAGGGTTGTTGTAGAATCTTTGTGCGAGGATGTAGCTGAAGATGTAGCTCATCATGCACATTCTCTAGAGTGCTGTGAGAATTATCAAAGATTCAAAGATGAGTCAACAGTTTCAAGTGTATCAGATGCAGATTTAACTGTAAGTGAACCTTTGTCTGAAACTTTGTCAGATTCATCATGGTAGCACAGGTAACCAAGGGAGGAAATGAAATACAAGATTTTGTAAATAATAATTGTCAACATAAATCTTATGTACTAATCCTTGTATAGCAAAATGAGATAATATGTAGTTAATGTAAACTATAAATATGTGCTCAGTACTTGTGTGTGCATGGGTGGGTGAGGGGTTCTGTATTTGTTTTATGCGCAATATTTTAAAGGCTTAATTTTTTTTGTTAACATTTAGACATTTAAAGAATATGGGACTAGGCATGTGCTGGAGTTAAAATATCCCATCAAACTTTCTAATACAGTACAGATTTATAAGCAGATACAGTAATTTTTTGCAAGGATATTGCCATAATTTTACAGATGCAGTACAGTAAATTTAGTGCTTTCCTAATCTATAACCAGTAACTAGACATTGCATGTACAGTATTTAATAATGCAATGTAGTCAGCACACGCATTACGAATTTAATAGAAAAATAAAAAATACCTGACGACTTATATCCATCAATTAATTTTTTTAGGTTCATTGCTTTTGTTGTACAGTATACACGAGATTTGCTCTCCTAATATGTCCTAATATGTGTTACGTAATTAGCATTGTAAGCATACATTAGAATACTGTACTATACTCAAAGACTGCATTCTGTATCACTACAGTATTATATAATTTGTATAGCGTTAAAATGGGACGGAAAGGAATCCATATTATTGTATATTAATACTGTACTTGTATAATGTAACCATGATGTTCATGAATTACAAGGCAAGAGGACCAAGTGATACCAAAGTTGCTGTGTTAATTTCTAGGGTCCACAGGGTTAGCATTCCCAAAGGAGCTTCCATATGTTCATAAATTATTTTGTCTCGGATTTGTCTTAAGCAGTTTTAATTTAACTCAAGATATTGTTATTGGCTATCAGAATGTAATGTGGTTATAATATGAGAACTTTGGATTTACATATCTATGTTAAGAACCCGGTGATCTGAGAAGGCTACATAATAATATAATAATAATAATAATAATAATAATAATAATAATAATAATATTTTATTCATACAATGTACAATCCATTTGACACGTTAAAGCAAATGAGATTGATCGAGCTCAGAGGTACTTCATTGATAATCTCTCTAAATGGGGACAAATCTTGTATAAAGCTTTAAAGTAAATTGTGTAGCATTCATCATGATTTTACTTGCACGATATAATAAAGCCCACTTATACAGTAATTACAATCACATATATATTTCATCATGGCTGCAAACATGCTTTTTCCCACCACATAGAATGTCAACCTCCAAAGTTTATAGCTACAGTGCTGTAGGTTAATATTTTCCTATTATTCATGTACAGACATTAATTTATAAATATTCGTAATACTGTACTGTACTGCATATGATATTATATACGGGTACTGTGTGTATTGTATATATTATACACAGTACTGATATATTAATACTGTATACATAGAGTACTGTATTTATGCTGTATAATGAAGTGATATATTGCATTACCAGTATGTGTAATCTTTTTACACTTGGTTTAAAAATAATTGATTGATAAAGCACTTGGCAAGCTGGTTGAGTGATGAGGAAGGATGCCTTTCTTGAGTTGTATCGATTGTCTGCCTAAGATATCCATAAAAATGCCTTATACTGTACTGTAATTTTAAGTGCATTAAATTTGTTGATTTACAGTACTGTAATTCAAAGCTTTTATTTAGATTTTAGCAAGAGCTATATAACTAAATATATATTTCTTTCAATTAAGATCTATATTTTCAATTGAATAAACTATCAATCAAAGATGAATAGTAAATTAATATTTGGAACAAGGCATATAATTTGTTGGCCATTAATAGTATTATTTTCCTTGAATCATATCTATAGGATTCATTTAGCCTATAAATTTACAGATCTGATTTATAAGTCATCAAAATATAACTATCATCAATATAGTCAACATGTATGCTACTCTAGATGTTAGTCACTGCCTAGCATACTGGGCCTATATATTACATTTCAGTCATACAAGTGAAATATGATACATGATAACAATATAAATTTATTTTACACACACGTACGTACAGCATGTACATTCTAAATGCTACATTTGCTTTCAGTAAATAAATTTTTTCTCATTCTAATAAATTTTTGTTATATCCTTTTGAGTTTTTAAGATTTTCAGAATTTTCAGAATTCTGAAATTCTAACCTTTTCAGAATTAAAAGCGTACAATACCTCCAGGTATTGTACACTTTTAAGGCTTGAAAAATTTATCAAGATAAATTTTGCATACATTCAACATTAAAATATGTAATTGAAACAATTACAATGAATGTTAATTATGCACCAATTAAATTACATTGAAAGTTGTCAACAGTAATGAGAGAAAAAAAAGAAATAACTAATACTGTAGTAAGAGCAGCAGATATGTAAAGTTTTTTTATATTAATAAACTTAGATACACACAATTCAATTTCTTTATTATGCACCCCATACCCATCCCGTGGGCGGTGGTGTAAAGGATTACAGAGGCACATAATCGGTTCAGGAACTGAACCCTCTAGTTCGTTTAGCTAAGCAAATAACAATATTTGACGCTAGTTACAAAGATACACACAGCAATGTATTGTTATATTTTATATGAAGAATTATAGATCAAGAGATAGATACAAGTTTATCAAATACTGTATCCCCATCTCACGGGATGGTTGGTCATACATGAAATCGGGGAAAACCTGCAATGTAAGTCTAGTTTACAAGTGTGAACTTGAAAACTGTGTAGAACACAAGAATATCGCAGTATTAGTGCGTATATGAAGTAATTACAAAGTTCAAAATTGAAATGCTCGTAAATCATGGATAACGGCACTCACATGTATAGTGTTAGTGTGTGTCCTACCTCATGTTTATATAGTTTATATTTGGAATGCTCACTGTTGGGAGACATCTCCCATCACGCAGGGTGCAGTCGCACCTCCACAGATCTCCAGTATCGTATATTGATAATGGTAATGGCTCAAAAGGGCCACCACTTACGAGCTATTCATGCCCATGTCACCTTTTGGGTGGCTTCATCTTTATCAATCATCAATCAATGTTGGGGAGGTGTGGTTTGGCTAGGAATGGGGACAGGTATTACATCATGTGTTACATTACATCTGGTATTACATCACGTTTCTGCCCGAAACGCTGCGCGTGCTAGTGGCTTTACAAGACTGTAATTACCATATTTGTATCCTCACATTCCTTATGTACATTCTTGTATATGCATAAATAAATAAATAATAAATAAATAATAATAAATAATAAATAATGTGGCAGTTTCGAGGGGCTCAACGAAGGGGAGTAGTGAAGGGCTGTCCTATTAGCACATCTCGAACGACGGGTCTGAATAGTGATGAAAGCAGTCCTCACCTCACTAAAGGACCTTCTGGGGCTAGATTCACGAAGCAGTTATGCAAGCACTTACGAACCTGTACATCTTTTTCTTAATCTTTGGCGGCTTTGTTTACAATTATTAAACAGTTAATGAGCTCCGAAGCACCAGGAGGCTGTTTGTAACATTAACAACAGTTGATTGGGAGGGTTTTATGCTTGTAAACTGTTTAATAAATGTAAACAAAGCCGCCAAAGATTAAGAAAAGATGTACAGGTTCATAAGTGTTTGCGTAACTTCTTCGTGAATCTTGCCCCTGGCCCCAAGTACTCCTGACGCGTGAAATAGCCCTCGTGCCCTGTTTCCCCTCAAAGTCGCGGTTTTCCCTGTGCCACTGATTATTAATTCATTTATTTATTCAGATATAAGAAAGTACAATGAGTTGTGAAAGTACATACGCTAGTAATTTAGCAGTACATTCTTGCTAAAGCCACATAAACACGCACAGTGAGACACCTTCCAGCTTATATATTTTGCATCTACATCTACGCAAGAAAACAGTGTAATTATAGTTGTTATTTTAGATTCAGCTACTCGGAATAAAACGTTCTAAGTAGCACGGTCTATGGTGATCCCGTAGTTGACTTACCTGGCACAGGAGCGGGGCTGTAACTTGTGTGAAAAAACGTCTCGTGATGATGTTTTATATGTATGTGGCAAGGTGTAGTGCAGTGTAGAAAAATAACTGTAAAACACATTGGAACTGAAAATCTGAGGAAGGTCAGCATCCTCCCTCACCCTTGACTCGGTCGCGACAACAGCCTTGCGTACCAATTCGGTAAGGTCGAGGTGATTTGTTGTAAGAATGATTACCTGTATCAGGAGGGTGGTGAAAAGGCAATGGTCGAAGGCTTCATCTCACTGTGTCATAAGGTCTCCGTCTCGGTTCTCGCTCTCTGTCTCTGTCTCTCTCTGTCTCTCTCTGTCTCTCTCTGTCTCTCTCTCTCTCTCTCTCTCTCTCTCTCTCTCTCTCTCTCTCTCTCTCTCTCTCTCTCTCTCTCTCTCTCTCTCTCTCTCTCTCTCTCTCTCTCTCTCTCTCTCTCTCTCTCTCTCTCTCTCTCTCTCTTTTGTTGACAAACCGCCGGCTTCCTGTCCTCGTCGAGGCCACTAGAGAGATAGTGGCCCTCAGGTAAATGAAAGAGTAATTGCAAACCACTTCTTGGAGAGTTAAAATGAGATCAAGACTGGAAGCTGTATGGAAACATTTACAAAGATTATCACTGAACTTGTTTAAAAATACGTGTCAAGGACAAAGGAAAGAAAGAATTATCAAAATGACTTTCCATCACTGTAAAGTAATATATTATTATTCATAGAAGTTTGTTACTAGCTTTTATTATAATTAATTGTAAGTTGTGCAGATAAATTCCACAAGCCAATGTAAAATATATTCTGAGGTCTCATTAAGATCTTTTGTGTGTTCTGTAATACATTTGAAACTACTCACAGAATGAGTATATATATAGTGCACAATCAACTAGCTGCCGTTGGCAGCAACAGTGAAATTATTGCTATTGATCCTCTCTCAACCAGTTTAAGATAAAAACTAAAAACTACCTAATAAACTCCAATGTAACCTACCTTACCCCTAAATGTCAACCCATGTCTTATTATTGTAATCAATGTTGTTTGTTGACCAACTTGTATAATTGCTATTCTCTGCCTTGTTCCCCCCTACCACCTTTTTTTATACTTTTTCAACGCAATTTATACTTTAAGCTCAATTACTATTAAGTTTTAGTCTAAGTATTTTTCCGCCCTCACCTTGCCCGAAACGCTACGCGCACTAGTGGCTTTAGGTATTGTATGTACTAGCTCTATCTTTAAATCCATCATTATGTATGTAACTCAATGGATGTACCTTTACCTGAATATAGAATCTGAATCTGATTGCGTCCGCGATTGGCGTTGAGTTGTATTGCAGCCGCTGGCAATAATGCCAGGAGAGTTATCAACTATTTTTGTAGCGTATAGATCGCTTCTGCGCGAATTCCAGTATCATAGTATTCGTGACTGTCTGTGTGTGGGGACGATGCCGTGGCGTGCCGGGTATTACCTTACATGTGTACAATAAGTGTGTGTGTGTGTGGGTGTGGTAACTAGTGTATGGAACGTCAAGAGTCAAGATGTCTGTATAACTAGTATTTGGATTTAATGCATTGCTGATCATGCTAGTTTTCTGCATTAGGGACTGTTCTTGACGTCGGTCTAAACCACACTGTTGACGTGACGATGTGTATTGAATTTTGTAACTAGTTCATCAAGACTGTGACTACAGCAGTATGAGGGGAGGCTATTACAGTGAGAAGATCTGCCACAATATGGGAAATACTGTAATACTTAACGCTACAATGTGGGGCTACTAAAGTGCCTTGGATTATGAACCAACATTGTATTTACTAAACAGGTTACAGCACTCATGAACTAGCTACAGAGTTTAAAATATGTCAAATAATTTCTGGGTCAAGCGACCCAGCAAAGCAAATTGTAAATTAGCAAATTGTAAAACAACAAATATAGAAGTTAAATGTACTAACTCATCATTAAGTTACACATAGTACATGTGTAACTTAATGATAATTAATTGTCAATAATAACAATAGAATACATGAATGAACCTCAATAATCACATATTATCTCGGGCACTTAGAACCCCCCACGCTCCTTGGGTAAGCCCTCCAGTACGACTCTGCTAAATCTGCCGCTGGTGTTGTACACTCCGTCAGTGGTCCCTCAGAGAGTCTCCTCGCTGATCTTCAAGCCATAATAAACTACTGTAGAAGATGATCTTCAGGCACTTCAAGGATGTAATCTTCCTGGTTGTCATACTGAGCATGTTATTTTGGTTTACATTTGTGCCGTATTTAATTGGCATAACCAAATGGAATAGCAGCGACCTTCCCAGCAAAGGAGACCACGGTATGTTGCTTACTTCATGTACTTTAATCTCTAATATTTCATTATAACTTGGCAAATTGATAACTATATTATGTTACAACTTTTCCACCTGGCTATTGCTTCCCCGTCGCGTGAGAGTGGAAAACAGGGCGATGCCAGTCTTTAATATTATCTTACGCGAGCGAAGCACTTGTCTCGGAAGTGTTCGGACGTCATCAGTTGTTAGTCGTGTGTAAACCGCTTTTCATTAAAAAAAAAAACAGGTGGTTTGACGGCTGGATTAACGAGCTTTGATCTTTGTATCCGAGAACGAGCTGCAATGTTATACTAGACCATTTGGGGTTTGAAGCCGTCAATCACTTAGCGGACCAGCCAGATAAAAACCTTACGGCAAAAGCAAAAATATCACTTAAAACAAAAATTCAGAACCTCGAAATATTGGATATGGTGATTGTATTTGTTAATTAGAGTATTGGTCCGGAATTCGATTCCCGGGCAGGATGGGACGTTTGAAAACGTTTCTTTACACCTGAGGTTTACAGTTAGGAGACTGTTGTGATTGATTGATGAAGATTCAGCCACCCAAAAGATGGCACGGGCATGAATAGCCCTAAGTGGTGGCCCTTTTGAGCCATTAACAGTATCAATAGCTGATACTGGAGATCTGTGGAGGGTGCGACTGCACCCTGCGAAGAGGTCGTGACCTCTGGACTGTTGTGGTTTGCATCCTGAAGAAGACCAATCGTTGGCCCGATACACAAGAAACAATACAATTATCTTGTCAGATATACTGGGGACGGATCACCATTTTATGACTAATTTTTATAAGTGTAATTCTGATGGCGTCTCCTCAACCCGCAGACTTTGAGGACCAGTACTTCCTGCCTCTCATGGATGCCTTCCGCTCTGCTAGCCAGGCCTCCAGCAGCGCCTCTACACCTGCACGTAGGTGAGCCCCCGCGCCCCCTCCCAGTCATTGTCCGTGATAGTGTCAACACCTGCACATAGGTAAACTGCACATATGTTAGTGGGGGGGGGGCTCCCCCCACTAACTCCCCCCAGGTGTCTACGGAACGCTCAGTTTGAGCGGTAGAGCAACGAGGAGATATACGTGGATATATATATATATATATATATATATATATATATATATATATATATATATATATATATATATATATATATATATATATATATATATATATATAATGTGCGTGTTTGTGTGAGTGCACATACTTTTCTCACTCTGATTCATGTTTTATCACTGAGAAATTTCTTAAGCTCGATCATATCTTAGGTCGTACATCCACTTAGAGAGTTCAGGACAGCGACAGTCTCGCTTCTTGCAAGTCGACGTTGAGTCCTCGATGGTTCAAATAGATGAGCCTCATTCCTTAAGCTCGTCGTCCAGTCCTATTGTTTCAATTCTGTCCTCACATCCCTCTAAAATGCTTAGCATTTTCTCATAATTATCTTACCTTACCTACCCCCTCTTAGGTCCACTCGATAAGAAATATCTTTCTCATTTGCCTCATCTCTCTCTCACAGGTTCAGGTCTGGTGAGGTTCCAAGATTCTTGCTGTGGTCCAAGCCGTATAACCACGAGTTCTGGATGTCTCAGCTCACTCACATCTCCCGAGGTCTTTGTCCTCGACCATGTAGCTTCACCGTCAATGTCTCCCAGGTACGTGGAACACAGTTCTGTGAGGCACGTATGTAGACTGTTGTGTAGCATGGTCCGCGCGGTGTGTGATTCAGTCGGTTGTGTGCCTTACATCCCGGGGTCGTTGTATTCAACGTGTTCACTTAATTATGCTCAACACGCGTTCACACACATGTATGTGCCACACACACACACACACGTGTGCCACACACGCACACGTGTGCCACACACACACATACGTGTGCCACACACACACACGTGTGCCACACACACACACACATGTGTGCCACCTGGTGACCATGCCCCCAGACTAGTTCCGGAATTGAGAAGTATAAGCTACGAGGAAAGACTAAGAGAGCTGAATTTCACGTCCCTGGAAGACAGAAGAGTAAGGGGAGACATGATAACCCCTAAAAATATTTCAGGGGAATTGACAGGGTGGACAAAGACAAACTATTTAGCACGGGTGGAACACGAACAAGGGGACACAGATGGAAACTGAGTACCCAAATGAGCCACAGAGACATTAGAAAGAATTTTATCAGTGTCAGAGTGGTTAATAAATGGAATGCATTAGGCAGTGATGTGGTGGAGGCTGACTCCATACACAGTTTCAAATGTAGATTTGTTGAGCCCAGTAGGCTCAGGAATCTGTACACCAGTTGATTGACAGTTGAGAGGCGGAACCAAAGAGTCAAAGCTCAACCCCCGCAAGCACAACTAGGTGAGTACATAGTAAATAGGTACCGAGGAGTTAGACAGCTACTATGGGTTGTTTCCTGGGGATGTGTGTGTTAGAAAGAAATGTATGTAGTAGATATAATGGAGTAAAAATAGATTGTTAAGAAAGGCGGGGTCCAAGAGCTAATAGCTCGATTTTGCAGACACAAATAGTAAATACAAATAGTAAATACACACACACGTCAGATGTGTACGCGTCTCCAAACTAATTGTAAGTGATTCTCTATCATCCTTAATTACGCTAAACTTTTATTGTTTAATGTGACTTTTGACTTTGGGTCCAAGAGTTAGAGCTCGATCCTGCAGACACAAATAGGTGAGCACACACACACACGAGGCGGAAGTAGGTGTTCCGCGTCGTGAGCTTGAGTCCAGGAGCTGTGTCACACGCCACCCCACCCTCTCCAGGTGCCACAGCGGACAGACAACGGTGTACTGAAACGCGCCAACCTAACCTATCGACCAAACATAGGAAACGTCACTGTTTGTGAGCCGCTCTGATACTCCCTCTTCGTGGTGTAGTGGTAAGACACTCGTCTGGCGTTCCGCGAGCGCTTTGTCATGGGTTCGTATCCTGGCCGGGGAGGATTTACTGGGCGCAAATCCTTAACTGTAGCCTCTGTTTAACTCAACAGTAAAATGTGTACTTGGCTATAACAACGATTCTTCGCGGCGGGGATCGTATTCCAGGGACCTGCCCGAAACGCTACGCGTACTAGTGGCTGTACAAGAATGTAACAACTCTTGTGTATATCTAAAAAAAAAAAACGCAGTGTATTACACGAGAGGACAATACTCTTCTCTCCGGTCGCATACCCTAGCGAGCTTCTAAAAACAAAAATGTACAGAGGCATATGGGCCAATTCTTGACATCCGATGTACATTCACTTCCTATATCTTAAGGTTACCTGGCACATGTTACACCTACCTTGCTGTTACATTTGGGAGCCTGTTAGGGTTCAGACAAGAATAGAAGTACCATCAAATGGGTTAGGATAGGCCCGGGCACTCAGCACACATTACACTCAGCAAATATCTCTCTCAGAAAACGCTACACTCTCCTAGCTAATGTTAGCCTCAGCCAGGCAAGAACAAGTATTTGAGGAAGACCCCGTCATTGTGGTGGAGGCAAGTGACGGAGCAACGGATATTGCTTCTCACTCCCTCCCCCCACCTTAACTCTTTCTCCATCCCCCTCACGTCTCCCTCCTCCTTCCCCCCAAGTCTCCTTCCTCCTCCCTCCCATGTCTCTACCACTTCCTGCTTCCTGTTCCCACCCACTATATTTTTAAGCCATATTGATGCTCTGTTCACAGAGCACTCCCTCTCTCTAACCATGTACATTGATGGTTCCCTACACCACCCCATTGATGCAACTGGAAATGCAACTGTCTTAAAGGCAGCGGGATGTGCATATAGGCTTGCACCGAGGCCTTGCCCCTTAACTCCTATATAATAATGATAATAATTGTATTTATACAAAGTATATATAGAGCATGTTCATGTGAAAACAGACTAACGATGAGCTTAATCTAATTTGTCCTGGGGTCAACATAAGCAATCTTAGGTCTAATTTAGTACACAATGTACTAAATTAGGAGTTAAATTTGGTTACCTTTTTTCTCGGGCCCTCTACATAATTAATAGTACAAAAGTATATCTACGTATTATCAGTTTTGGAAGACAACTTGCAATATGTAGAGTTCATTTTCTATAAGATTGGTGGCGGGAGTGGGTTGAACTGAGAGACAAATTTTTGCACTGCAGATGAGCAGCGTTGACGCTGTGGTAGTGTACCTGCGAGGCATTCCGAGCAGACAGCGCCTTCTGCAGGAGCTGGCGCCCCGCGACCCCACCCAGCCTTGGATCATCAGTACCTTCGAGGCGCCCCCCAGAGCCAACAGTATTCACCACACCGACTACAGAACCCTCGGCGGCATCTTCAACCGCACGATGCTTTATCGCAGAGACGCGGACGTAGTGGTGCCTCACGGGTTTATCGTACATCAAGACGAAGCCGCTCTTCTGCCCAGATCGTGGCGAGTCCCTCCACCCATACACCCAGGCAACTTTCACGCGCGTAAGATGGTCGTGGCCTTCATCTCTAATTGCAAGGCAAACAGTGGTCGTCTAGAGTACGCAAAAGCCCTCCAAAAACACATTTCTGTTGACATTTATGGCAAATGCGGCACTCTGGAATGTGGTCACTCCTTGTACGTCGACCACAGATATGACCCGACGTTAGATCGTTGTTTACAAGCTGCTGGCGAAGGATATCTCTTCTATTTGGCCTTTGAGAGCTCCCTCTGCACTGACTATGTAACGGAGAAGTTGTACAACCTCATGTTCTACCCGATTGTGCCCATTGTGCTTGGGTCTGCTAACTACTCGGCTGCCTTGCCACCCAACTCCTACATTGATGCTCAGCATTACAGGCCCAGGCAACTGGCGGTCAAGCTGAGAGCAATTGCAGAGAACCCGAAGGTAAGATATGCGTGCTTGGTTCATTTGTAACGATAATAGTGAGATAGCGACACTGAAACAAAAATAACAAAGAGAATTTTGTATACTATGAATTTAAATTTCATAAAAATTATTTTACAAGTGAACGGTACAAACTCAACCTAAAAATATGCATTAATGGTTAATTTACTTTCAATGTTTACATAATAAAAAATTATTTGTTGTTTATGTGATGATATGCTATATGTAGCACAGTAGTCTACGTCCTCGGCTCATAGTCGAAGTAAACGGGTTCAATCCGGAGAACCTCATTGTAAATCGATAGGCGGATCGTGTTGCATTGAAAGCTAGCAGGGTAAGGCAAAGATGATCTATAAAAAGTGAAAGCCCTAAATATACTAACAAGAGGCAGATGTCATCTCCTGTAGCCAACTGTGCAAATATAAATCAATAAATATAATAAATAATGATTCCACATGTTGTGTTTTCAGGAATACCAGAAGTATTTAGCGTGGAGGCGCCACTACCAGCCTTCTACCATCGGCGGGGAGCGTAGCCTATGCCACCTCTGCGTTCGCCTTCACGATCCCAAATTTTACCAGCACCATGTGATCGATGACTTCTACGATTGGTTTGTAGCGCAGTCTCAACCCTCAGACGGCCGCGGACGATGTATATGAATACAGATTTCTTTTGAATTCACGTAGATTACGTGAGAAAAATGTCTGGATGCTATGAACTATTTATACGTACGTTGATGCTGGTGTTATCACTTATATATGTGTGTTGTACTGTACTATTATTGTAGGGATATGAAGTACGTGGCGAAGGAACACACTACTAGCCTCTTCATTGTTAATTAAGATGAGAAAGCATAGTGTGGGGTACAGGAGTGTTTAGATGGGAGGTGGAAACTTGGAGGCAACAGCATGAGTTGAGGGTAGAAATAGCCTAAGCTACTCTATCCCTTTGAGATGTATTTCTTTCTTGTCTCAATAAACATACTTGAACTTGAACTTGCAGCATGAGTTGGATCATGCAGAAGGTGACGTCACCCAAGGCAGGATGATGTGGTAGCGCTGTCGTTGCTGGAAGGCAGATGTAGGGGTGTGACTTGCCATAGAAGGCAGCTGTGAGGTGTGACTTGCCATGGAAGGCAGCTAGATGTAACTTGCCCCCTGGAAGGTAACCGTGAGGTGTGACTTGCTCCTGGAAGGCAGCTGTGAGGTGTGACTTGTTCCTGGAAGGCAGCTATGAGGCGTGACTTCTCTAGCACTGGGGTTGCAGATATGTGCCTACAGGCAGTCCCCATAATTAGACATACCTAATTTTACACTTAATAGATAAATATTTAACTTAATAAAGATTAAAGACTCAGTAGACCTTTCCTACCCTTCAACGTATGACACTTATTATGCACTAAATATTTAGAGAGTGAAAGATCTTACCATTACGAATGCATTTATGGCGAGGCTGTCCTCTTAAGTGCATAATTTGCATATGTATGCATGTCATGGTCTTCTCTTTTTTCTGTCTCTCACCCCTTCACCACTCTATGAACTAGGAAATACACAGGAATATGTCCTTAATCGTACCCTGTTTAATGTATTAATAAATGCGCTCCTGAGCTCCGTGCCTAGGAGGCCCAATGAACACTTAATTAACCATGCTGATATAATGATCCATATCAGCATCCAAAATATTCTTATCTCTGTCTTAGGCACATATTAGAATCTAGGCTCAGTCATCTCAGCTGAGAAAACAAAGATTTTGATTCAGCGTCCACCCAGACAAGAAGGAACTGTTTACAAGTAGCAGCTGTTTATTTATTTATTTATTTATTTATATACAAGAAGGTACATTGGGTATATGAAAGTACATAACATTAAATGTTGTCGGTGGAAGGCACTATATGATGGATCTCAGCTTGACAATGTAACCAGACTCAAATACCATGATCTTGAAGTCCCACTATATGGTCACGTTGTAGCCAAACTGGATTGTCAATGAAGAAAAAGATTCAAGTTCTCAAGGTTGCGGCAGGCTATCACCCCATCGCTAGGCGCAAATGGGAAAATAGTAAAAACTATGTATACCTTTTATATCAGAATATTAGTAGAGTATGCTGCACCTCCGCTTGCTTTAGTCTCCAAAAGAATGCTTGAAGGGCTATTAAGGGTGCAATCCTAGCCATGAAGATAATCCTCTAATGCCACCATACAAATTATTAAACATGAGGAAAACCTCAAGATCCCATCTGTAGGTAATCGAATAGCTGAAATCTATACCTTAATTAGTCTTAGGATTCTTAGGCTACCCCCTGTACTGACACCCTCTCAGCCTTCTTTATCCACGATCAGCATCCGTCAAAATGAATCAGAAAAACTGCAACTGAACTCAAGATATATCAGGTTCGTGATCAAGAACCAAGAGAGAGAGATAACGGCACTTTCCTGTACCATGGAAGATCACCCATTTCCATATAATTATCTCTCCACTTTCACCAAAGAAGATGATTAAAGAACAACCCATGCACAATATCAGTAAAGCGCAATGCCTGAAGTCAGAGTGATGCTCTGGTCCTAGAACTCTCCCTCCCCCAAACATTTACACTGATGGTTCCTACCCACTCCATTGGTACCGCCGGAAGTGCATTACGACAGCTGAATTTGTTTGATATGTAATACCTTGCCAATGTCCAATCTTCTATTGTCGCTCTATCTATCGATTATTTTGGTGTATCGACAAATTCGACCAGTCAGCGCGAAAGTGACGATCTGTTTTGTTTTCTGTAATACTACATATCTCCAGGCAACATTAACACAACCGCCCTAGTTTAACATTTCTCTTTTCTGCCAATAGATGACGTTGTTATAGTCGGGGGCTGGAGTGGCATCAACATATCACATATTTCGGTTATATTATGGGAAAGTGACTAGTCTTGCTCATTCCTTGAGTCTGATTATTATTATTAACTTGAGTCTGAGTAAACAAACACGACCTGAGGAGGACTGAAGGCTTTAGTGTGTCCTGCAGCCATCGGGAAGGAAAAACAGAAACTACGCCAACTGCAGATACCGTAAAGAAGAGTTAGCAGTTCAAGCAAACTTAAAGAAATGAAGGAGGAGGAAAAGAAAGAAGATAGGAACAAGACTAAGCAAAGGGAGTTAATGTATAAGCTGATAATCAGGTGAGCATTAGCATTGTTTCTGCGATACAGATTCATTAAATGGTCGTTTCGGAGTTCATTTATTATGCACCCCATACCCATCCTGTGGGCGGTTATCTTGAGATGATTTCGGGGCTTTAGTGTCCCCGAGGCCCGGTCCTCGACCAGGCTTCCACCCCCAGGAAGCAGCCCGTGACAGCTGACTAACACCCAGGTACCTATTTTACTGCTAGGTAACAGGGGCATAGGGTGAAAGAAACTCTGCCCATTGTTTCTCGCCGGCAGTAGTGGAAAGAGTCACAGAGGCACACAATGGGCTCAGGGACTGAACCCCAATTTAGATTTAACTTAGCTAAATGAACCATTTAACTAAGTAAGTTACAGTTTTGATGAGCTAGTTACAAAATTTAATGCACATAGTCACACCAATAATGGGTGCGAGACTGACCACAAGCATAGTCTTTAAATTAAGCAAGTTTTTACATATGTGGAGACATATGTGGAGACATAATTGACATCCAGGACATATGTGGGGAGACAATTGATATGTTTGTCTGGCACACCGCCCTTTAGCCAGTGGGCAGCAGTGAAAAGGTTATAATCGCCTGATTACTACTCTAGTTAATATTACTAGTTGGCACACTGGGGATATTTAGCCCAAATTTCTGGTAGCATAATTTTGAATATTTACTCATTTCTTGAACATTTATTATACAGTTGTCCCTGGATTCGCATATCTTTTCGCACTCCATCACACGGTGATGGAGGGTGTGGGACACAAGACGATATGATGAATCTAGTTTTTGTTTGCTTAAACCGTATATATTATGCTAGGATGGATTGGTTTAGATTAAGGTTTATTGGGCTTGGTTCGATTAGGTTGTGATGACCAAACCATAACTGGAGAAGCGATGACATTTCTGTCCGTCCTGGACCATTATCAAGTCGGGTCATTGTTACATGAGTGGATAATGGTCCAGGATGAACTGAAACGTTGTTGTTTCTCAATCTTCTGAGTTGTGGTTTGGTCGTCATTTCTTCAGCGATGCTATTGTGATTCATCATCAGCTTTTGGATTGTTAGGTTGACTCCGGTAACTAACTAATCTATGCTAACTCCAGCATAAGGATTAAAATCTTATAGGGGTGCCAACAACCCTAGGGCTGGCCTGCAGTCAGGTAAATACAAAGAAGTATATTTATTTCTAACTGAACTCCCTCTTTTTTTTTCAGTCAGCTGTTTTATGATGGACACCAGACATATGCTCAGGAACTGGCTACTGTGGTGGATCAAGAAGCTACTGCTGTCTCCCCCTCAGATCGGCTCATGAATTTATTGAATATTGGCTTGCAGCATGAACATGGTATTTCAATAATAATTTTTTAAGGTTTAGTATAATTGTATTTCTGTATCTTGCACCTCTAAATTACTTGTGCCTTTTTAATGCTAAAAGTTAAGGTAGTTGGTAAGAAACATGGATATTATTTCTGGGTTTTTGTTTAGAATGATTGGTTTGGTCATGATGGTAAAAATTTTTGTATTTGATCTTACATTCTGCAAAATGTCGGAGGGAATGTGAACTACTACATTGATATAAGGTCACAGGACTGTCAGGCATGATATATGTACAGCACTGATGTCACAGGTATTAAATTTCTTTAGCATCTCTGCAGGATCATTTGAAGTTACTTGGTTATCAGAAACAGAAGCAATCAAACCAGAATAAATGTAATGTATTATGAAATGTTAGTTAATCATTGCATTGAAAAGTTTATTTTTCTTTGCTGTTGAGTAATTGCTTATAATATCTAGAGGTGGAAAGGCCCCTTAATCGTTTGGAGTACACCCTTGGGCCTGGCCTTGACCTGGAGTATGAAACGGAACCCCAGACCAGTGCTCCAGAGCCAGCTATGTACGAGACAGCATATGTCACATCGCACAAGGATAAGTGTCGAGCTGCAGCCTTCTCGCTGGATGGTAATCTTGTGGCAACTGGAAGTGTTGATGCTTCTATTAAGGTACGAATGCACACAAGTTATATAAAAAGTGTTTACTTCATTTGCTACTTCATATGTTTAAATTTAGGAAAGACTTGGGTAAATACTGGTTCGGTAACAGGGTTGTTGATTTGTGGAACCAATTACCGCTTAACGTGGTGGAGGTGGGGTCCCTCGATTGTTTCAAGCGCGGGTTGTACATGTTTATGAGTGGGATTGGGTGGTTATAGATAGGAGCTGCCTCGTATGGGCCAATAGGCCTTCTGCAGTTGCCTTTGTTCTTATGTTCAATTGCCTTTATTCTTATGTTTATTTCTGGATGTGTTCCCTCGATAGCTGCCCGAGTTAAGTACAGTACTGGCCCAACGAAGACTTAAGGAGAGGCATTAGAATCCGAGACTCTCCCTTACCTATGGGAGCCAGGACCAGAAACTGGTTCTGTAAGTTGAGGGAAGCTTGATGATCAAAGAACAGCTCATAACAGAGACAAAACATACCAGAAAGCATAATGGCAAGAGAGCATGCAACCGTTTGAGGAAAATTAGAAACCCACGGGTAGTTTAGTTTAGTTCATTTATTATGCACCCCATACCCATCTTGTGGGCGGTAGTGGAAAGGGTTACAGAGGCACATAATGGGCTCAGGGACTGAACCCCACAATTCATTTAGCTAAGCAAGTTACAATCTTGATGAGCTAGTTATAAAATTCAATATAAGTCGTCACATCAACAATGGGTTTGAGATCGACCTCAAGTACAGGTTCTAAATTAAGCAACTGACATATGTGGAGAGCTAGTGTCACAATTTATATGTTTGTCCTGCACACCGCCCTCCAATCCAGTGGGCAGCGGTGGATAGGTTACAATCACTCGGTTACTACCTACAGTTAGCAAACTGGGGATATTTGGCTAAAATTTCTGGTAGCAGATCATTTTGAATGAAATATTTACACATCGCTGGAACATTGGTTATAGAATTGTCTCTAAATTCACGTATCTTTTCGCACTCCATCACATAGTGACGGAGGATGTGCGAATAATTTTGTTGACACAGTTTACATTTGGTCAGCTCTACATCAGCAGATAATGAGAATTCCCAGAGATACTTGTAACCGAGTCTAAGCCGAGCAGTAGCAACATCTAGCTACCCAAGGGTAGCAAGGCAAATGATCATTGCCTTGGGGTAAATGCCCAAACCATTGCTTGTTTTGTTTTTTTCTTGGTTTTGAGTTGATTTCTGATCCCCAAGCTTAAGATTTGGCAGGGCTAACACTTTACTTGGAGAGTAATTTGACGGGAGAAGCCCCATCAAAGAATGTGTTTCATTACATCCAGTGCTTGATTTTGTTAATCTTTTTATGAACCTGCCATTCCTCATACATATCATATTCATCTTGTTTTGTTATAAAAATATATTATGTTCTTATTCAGATTTTTACATTTTAATTCTCCCACTATGCAAATTTATTGTTTCAGTTTTCTTTCAGCCAAAATTAAAGATGGCAATATTGCTTCTGTTATCTCCCATATGACCTGTGCTGTTCCTATTGTATGTTTTGACACTAGCCAAGATATTGCTAACCAAATATCTTTTTCAAGCTTTAAAAATATCCAAATTTTACTTATTTTCATCTTACAGATTCTAGATGTAGATCGTATGCTGGCCAAGAGCGACCCAGATGCAGTAGAGCTTCATCCAGATGCTGTAGTGGGTCACCCTGTTATCCGTACCCTTTATGATCATTTGGATGAAATAACCTGTCTCGAATTCCACCCACGGGAACAAATTCTTATCTCTGGAAGCAGAGATACAAATGTTAAGATGTTTGATTTTAGCAAGACATCTGCAAAGAAAGCATTCAAAACTTTGACTGTAAGTTTTTTGTCAAATTTCTTTACATTTTCATTGCATAGTCTACTTATGCATTGGGTGGACCTGCAATATAATAGGTTGTTTCCCACTATGATGGCATTAAGAACTTATAATCTTAAGTGATGTCTCATTTGAATGGATTTAATCAGACAGGACCCCCTCCCCCTACCACTGGATGGAATTTTATTGTGTATGGTAGCAGTTTCTCTAAAGATCCTTCACAAAAACCTTCATGGTACAAGACCACACCAGGTACAGTATTGGGAAGTGAATAATGGTGTAGAATTGAGAATGGGTTGTATTACTTTTTTTAGCACATAATTTGGGATAATTTAAAAATTATGAAATGGCTTCCCACATATTAAACAATCATAAATACAGTATTTTGCTAGGAAAATTGTGAATTATTGGTGAACACTTTAAAATACAGTACATAACTAGGAAAATGGGATAAGGTACCACCTCCATTTACACTGATGGGCCAACATCCCATTATTATTGCACATATTGCCCATGTATAACATGAAACCAATCTATATTTATGTAATCATCAGGATGCTGAGCAAGTCACTAGTATGTCAATTCATCCTAGTGGGGATTTCTTGGCTGTGGCAACAGAGGGGGCTGTGGTGAGGTTTTATGACATAAACTCTGGTCAGTGTTATGTTTGCCCATACCCTCGTGAACACCACACTGGCCCACTCACATCTGTGCGATATTCAGCAGATGCCAGAGTCTGTACATCGGCTTCCAAAGATGGTGATGTTAAGGTGAACAATTCTGTTATTGATATGTAATTATAATTGCTATTTAGAAGATGGATTTGTAACCAAAAATATGAAGTGCCTTTTATTGAAGTTTGTCAAACATTTTGCATTATTTCAGCTTTAGCTTTATAAAGAATTTTTTTCTTGTTGGCCTTCTATAGTATAGAATAATTGAATAGTATAGAATATAGTTGGCCTTGTAATGTATATTATATTCCACCTCTAATGGATGTTTCAACAGGTATGGGATGGCATATCAGGACGTTGTGTTCAGACATTTTCAAAATGCCATGATGGGGCTGAGGTTTGCTCGGTTCTCTTCTCTCGTAATGGAAAGGTAAGATTATAAGTATTATTAGTATAAGTAGGCAGTGATTCATAGACTTTTGGAGAGTTATAGAAATGATTTGGTAATTTTTAAGTAAACGTATTATAATAGTGGTTAAGAGGGTGTATACTGTGCTAGTTATTGTAAAGATAGGAGGAGACGAAGGCGATGAAAAGGGACAGGCAGGGATTGTGTGTGAACAGTGTGTGAGAAGTGGTTGGTAATGAGGCTAGATGAATTGGTTTAAGAATGAATGTTTCAAATATTTATTAAATGGCAAATTGCAGGAAATACTGTACTTTAAACTGAGTTGGATGAAGCAGTGGGGTCCTGGTCCTGCAGGGAATGTATTGTTTAGCATCATGGGTTGTACATGATGCTGTAGTGTGTGGTACAGATATGGCAAATGGATGTGGTGTCTTTGAGTTCACTGTATAGTATTATTGGGCACTTAGTGGGCCAACAGCTGGAGTTGATGTTGCTTTAAAGGCATTTTCATAAAATGTTTTTCCTCGATATTTTTTAGACTACAGTAATTCTCTTTCTCGCTCTGTTTCCTGACTACTTCGTTGCCATTTGAACTCTGGAGGGGGGGGGGAAGGTGGGTGATGTTCTGGGTGGTCTATTTGGGCGTTGATCTTTGGCTGTGCCTGAGGGTGTCCCTGTATATTGCTGTGCTTGTTGCACTTTGATATCTGGCACCCTGTGAGTGCCCCCTTACCTCTGACCCTCTTATTCAAACATAGAATATTATGAAACACATTTCTCTCATGGGGACCCTCAGTTACTCCCTGTTTCTGCCTTATTCCTTTCCTTCCCATGAAAAAAAAGGAACAGGTTGGGGAGCTTGTGAAGGGGTCCATAACAATTAGTGTGCTTACACCTTGTTGATCATTTACCTTGTTACCTGAAGGGTACCTTATTTTCTTAAAGCAGTGGCTTGTTTTGAGTTGCTTCTGTACTGTTTTTTCTTAGCTTTGGGTTGATATCTGATTCTCCTTGATTAGTAAAGATAACCAAATTCTGGTACTGGCTCCAGGTAGGTGAGACTTGAGTCTTGGAGGCTTAGTGCATCTCCCCAAGGCTTGGCCAGACCAATGGTTTGCTTGGAAACCTGCAGTTGATCCCACTAGAAAAGGGCATTTCATTACATAATACAATAATTGATTTCTTGTTCTGGATTGGACAAGTATGTGCAAGGAATACCAAGAATTTGATTTGACCCAAAGTCAAATTCTTGGTATTCCCTCTTCCCTTACATATTTATTTTACTATTAAAAGTTTGTTATTCCTATGAGTGAAAACCTGTAGTTACTTGTACCCTATAATGTATCAGAATTTATTTTATGGACAATTATGATAAAAGTTGTTTTAGGGATTTTTTATTTATTTTTTGCTTTGTTTCCAGTACATTCTGTCTTCTGGCTTGGACAGTGTTGTGAAGTTATGGGAGCTCTCAACAGGGCGCTGTCTTATTGCATACACTGGTGCTGGATCCGTTGGTAAGTACATGTCGTTTACTTGAAGTGGAGAAGTTTGGCATAATTTGCTTTATAAAGAATTTTTTTCTATTCATTTTCACAACTATATACTGTCCCTATATCACAACTATATAATAGGTATGTTCTTGAACTTGTAAAATTATTAATTTTTTTATTTTGTTTGCTTCCAAGGATTTTGAGTATAGTTATTAACACTATTTTGTATACTACAACTAATACAGAACTAAACTAAAATATAAAGTGTTTTATTATACTGTATATTAGATAGGAATTAATCTTTATCATCGTATTTCCCATTTACATGGAATGGGACTGTTTACTGGGGTGGGCAACAGCCTATTGTAAACTTTCAATTTTGGGTCCCGGCTCCTAACTTTGAAATATTGTTCAGGGAGCCAAATCTTTCCAAATTTTTAAGGCTGTTATATCAACGTCCTGTTTTATCTACTTTCATTAGGCCGTCAAGAACACAGTGCCCATGCAATGTTCAACCATACAGAAGACTTTGTGATGTTTCCTGATGAAGCAACTACTTCACTGTGTGCCTGGGATGCTCGCAATGCTCAACGGAAAAATTTGCTCTCCTTGGGTAAGAAAATGTTGAATACACATATCCATTTATATATGTACGTGTGTAAAACAATTTGTAACTTTACTAAGCAGTACATTGAAATATATCTGTGGAACATTTCAGTGACATATTAGGGACATTTCAGGATATTATGAGCTGTGCAAGATCTTAAGAAGATTAGCAAATATTTATTAGGAAATTCATAATAGTTAGACTTTTTTAAATGGGAATTTTAACTCCATGTGTAAACATGTATGCATATGTACACATGAACACATACACACATGTGTACACAGGGGGCTCTGGTGGCAGTGTGGACAGCACGCTGGACACGCAATCCTGTGGCCTGGGTTCGATTCCTGGCGCCGGCAAGAAACAAAATGGGCAGAGTTTTTCACCCCGATGCACCTGTTACCTAGCAGTAAATAGGCACATGGGAGTTAGATAGCTGTTATAGGCTGTTTCCTGGGTGTGTGTGTTTATAATTACCTAAGTGTAGTTACAAGATGAGCTACGCTCGTGGTGTCCCGTCTTCCCAGCACCGTCATATAACGCTTTGAAACTACTGATGGTCTTGACCTCCACCACCTTCTCACCTAACTTGTTCCAACCTTCTATCACTCTGTTTGCAAAAGTAAATTTTCTTATATTTTTTCGGCATCTGTGTTTAGTTGGTTTAAATCTATGACCTCTTGTTCTTGAAGTTCCAGGTCTCAGGAAATCTTCCCTATCAATTTTATCAATTCCTGTTACTATTTTGTACATAGTGATCATAACACCTCTTTTTCGTCTGTCTTCTAGTTTTGGCATATTTAATGCCTCTAACTTCTCCTCGTAGCTCTTGTCCTTCAGTTCTGGGAGCCACTTAGTGGCATGTCTTTGCACCTTTTCCAGTTTGTTGATGTGCTTCTTTAGATATGGGCACCATACAACCACTGCATATTCCAGCTTTGGTATAACAAAAATCTTGAACAATTTCTTTAGTATTTCTCCATCCATGTATTTAAAAGCAATTCTGAAGTTAGAAAGTGTAGCATCTGCCCCTCACACAATGTTCTTAATGTGATCCTCAGGTGATAGTTTTCTATCTAGAACTACACCTAGATCTCTTTCTTTATCAGACTTCTTTAAAGATTTCTCACATAATTTATAGTTGTGTGGGGTCTGTTTTCCTATTCCACATTCCATAACATAGCATTTATTTACATTAAATTTCAATTGCCAAGTAGTGCTCCATATACATGTTCTGTCAAGGTCTTCTTGAAGGGTATGGCGATCATCTAAGTTACTTATATTCCCTATTATCTTGGCATCATCAGCAAACATGTTTGTATAATTCTGTATTCCATCTGGTAGAACGTTTATGTAGACAATGAACATTACTGGTGTACGAACTGAACCCTGTGGTACTCTGCTTGTGACATTTCTCCAGTCCGATACACTTCCTCTTATTAGTGCCCTCATTTTTCTATCGGTCAGAAAATTTTCATCTATGATAGCAGCGTACTTGTCACCCCTCCAATGTGTTCCAGTTTCCAGACCAACCTCGTAAGTAGAACTCTGCCGAAAACCCTTTTTTAGGTTCAGATAGATGCAGTCAACCCAACCATCCCTTTCCTCTAAAATCTCTGTGGCTTGATAACTAAGATAACTAGCTTGATACTTGGTAACTTAAGTAAATTTGTTACACAGGATCTTCCATATCGAAAACCATATTGACGATCTGATATTATATCGTTTGTCTCCAGGTGTTCTACCCATTTAGTTTTTATTATTTTTTCCAACATTTTGACTATTACACTTGTCAACGATACAGGTCTATAATTGAAGGGGTCTTCCCTGCCCCCCACTTTTGTAGATTGGAACTATGTTAGCCTTTTTCCACGTGTCTGCTACAACTATTGTACACACAGGGATGCCTGAAAAATCAGGTGAAGTGGAATGTTGAGTTCAGATGCACATTCTCTCAGAACCCATGGTGAAATTCCATCTGGACCAATTGCTTTGTTCTTACTTAGCTCCTTGAACATATCTTCCACTTCATCTCTAAGACACCTTTATGTGCTCTATGTTGTTCTCTAGAATTCTTATTGTCTGGTTCTCTGAAGATTTCATTTTGTACAAACACACTTTGGAACTTTCGTTTAATGTTTCACACATTTCCTTTTCCTTTTCCGTGAGTCTGTTTCCCATTTTCAATCTGGATATTATCCTTTACCTGCCATTTGTTGTTTATGAATTTGTAGAATAGGCCTGGTTCTGTTTTACATTTGTCCACTATCCCTTTTTTCAAAATTTCTTTCTGCCTCTCTCCTTACTGCTGTGTAGTTGTTTCTTGCATCTTTGTATCGCTGGTATGTTTGGGGGTTTGGCCATTTCCTATATTGATTCTGTTGTGTCTTTTGGTCTCTGGCCCTCTTGCAATTTCTATTGAAGCAATCCTGTTTCCTAGTTCTGCATCTCTGCTTTGGTACAAATTTTATTGTGCCTTTATCATATATATTTCACAAAAGTTGTGTGAAGATCTGTGTCACTAGGTTTTGGGAAGCCTCTGATTGATTCCTTCAGAATTTTTTTTTTGTTTTTATATAAAAATACTAGAACTTTGTAATGAACCTATGATCCATGTTCCACTGCAGTGTCTTCTAAATTTTTTTGTATGAAATCTAAATTTTTGAAGAGGAAATTCTGTGGGTGAACTTGATCTGTTTATAATGAAGTCCAGATTTTGGTGGTTGCAGGGTATATGCTGTATATATAAATGTGATAAACTATTAAATTATTTTTTTCAGGGCATAATGGACCAGTGAGACACATGGTTCATTCCCCATGTTCTCCAGCATTCATTACATGTTCTGACGACTACCGTGCACGGTTTTGGTACAGAAGGAATGTCCATTAATGTTTGCATAATTAAGACAACGTAATTTTCACCACATCTGATAACAAAGTAAGAATAGTACATTATCACCACTAGTAAAATGGTCTTAATTGACATTCATAGCTGTAATTAAGATTTAAATTGTATTAATTTAATTAAAAAATTATCCCTTTAATTACAAAAGTTGTTTTTTGACTAAAAATATTGCACATACGTGAATTAATTTGATCTTGTCTAGCCCTGGATTCTAAACATTATAGATACCAATTCCTAATGATGTTTACCCCTTTTGTTAAGGCATGTTAAATTTATACAGTGATGTGTATACTCTAAATATGATATACAGTATATATTTTTTTTTTTTATTTATGATGTAATGAATATTTTTCTTTGGCCCAATGCTAAACACACTAGACCTCTGAGACCCATCCATTGCCTACCAGTTGCCTGGGCCAGAATCTAGCTTACTATGAGGCATATACAAGAAAAGTACAGGGTATATGTATACAATTTGTAGTATGTACAGTATTGCAAAAAAGGATGTATGATGCAATGATTTAGAATTTCTATTTTGATTATCACTGTTTCCATCATATCATTTGTGATGTTTAGCAGCTCTGTGCAGATGATGTCTTTGATGTGCCGGGTGACACCCCCTTGTAGCCTGTTTCCTATCACATCTTAAAAAATTTAATTCTACTATTCATGTCTCACTTTTTAAGTCCTTTGTATGAGTTTCAGTTAAAGCTGCAAACATTGCTGTTGCCTCGCTTACAAGACCAGTTATAAAGGGTCGTTTTGTCGGTGGTGCGCATGTGAACCCGAGTTGATTTTAGGTCTAGCATTAGGTTTAAAATTCCTGTGGAGGAATCTTGGAAAGTGAAGTGTGAAGCAAGACCGTATGCCCCAACTTCAGGCACACACAGAAAATCACGTTTTGGTCCCGCCTCTCAACTGTGTATTTGAAGTTGGGGCGTATGGTGTTGAACTGCTTCAGCCTTCACCTGAGTGCTTGTAGGTCTTACGTAAGACGTTGACTCAAGGAGTGGCCTCAAAACTTGCTGTGATTTATGGGGAAATCCGGTTGTAAGACTTTTACAAAGTCAGTAATATACTGTGGTAGAGTATGCAGCTGCCAGTGCCTTGGGCAAGGGTTTACGTCGCCTCACAGCTCCAGTGGATTTTCTGCTTGGTGTATATCAGGTTGTGATTTTGTGTGTGTACCGTATTGTTATGATCGCCATCTGATAAGTCCTTTCTGGCCTCAAGAGTCATTGTTACCCACCTAGAAAGATTGCAGATGGCCAAAGCAGTTATTTAAGTTAAGAAGGGACAAGTCTTAAACAGAATTTTGCATAATATTTGACTGTAAAGGGGTAAATTGAGGTAGATTGAAAAACAAAATGGTGAACCGGGCAGGCGGTACTCACAATTAGGCGAGTACACTCGGGAACTTTTAAAGTGCAACCAAACATGCTTTAGGCTCTCACAACAAGAGGTGAGTGGTGGTGGCTCAGGTGCTCAGCCAATCAGAGCACCTAAGGAGGGAGGGCAGGAGTGAGAGGGGGGTGGTATGTGGAAGTTTGGTGACAGTTGTGTGTAGTTTGTTCATCTTCATTGTAAGTTTCATGGCTTGGTGTGCATTTCCCTAGTAAATTTAATTAGGGAAAAATTGAGGTGTTTGATTTTTTAAATCAACTTTTTAAATGTTGAGTTGTTAAAGCCTCAAAGTGCATGGAGTTGGTTTGGGAGTATGGCATCCTCATGCTGTTGCGTGCTCGCGTGAGGTAGCAAAGGTGATGTAAAGTTGTGGGGTGTACATGCTTGGGACGTCCTCTCTCGGGATGGCTGGTGTTAGACCTGCGTGTTTGTCGGTTGTTGAAAAGCCGTCATCCTTTGCTGTTGTGGTATTGATTTTACATTGTTCATCTTGTAATTAATACTGTAGTGCGATATCTAGGGCTACCATTTGTAGGTTTAAAATGTCTAATACAAACAGTTGTCCAATGAGTTTTAATAGGAAATATCATCCACCAAGCACCATTGTACAATTATATTAATTGATAGTATATGGATTGTGCAGAACTGCTTAGAATGATCTTTAACACTTTGCTATATTGGTCATGTCAAATACCTGCACGGTGAATGCTCAAAGACCCTTTCTTTATTCAGTGTTGTCACATACCTCATGGGGGTATGGATAGGCAAACACTCATTCGGTTATACTTGCCTTGTAGTACTTTCAGAGCTCAGTAATTTGGAATCTGGTTAGCACTTACCAAATAAATTGACCTTTAAAGTGAATTCCTATTTAGGTTTAAAACATTATACCGAATGAGAAAGTCGGATTATATAGCCGAACACCAGAAATGTTGTTATTCAATTTGGTTGCCTAAAGCACATTCAAGGACTACACATTACATGGCATTCCAGGATTGCTCTATACCTTGCCTTATGCTGTAAACATTGCCACAATCCTGTGTTTTATTGATTTAAATGGCCACAGGGAGGCATACAAAACTGCAGATTATGATGTCATTAGTTATCCACTGTGCTGACAAGTGGGCTGAGTGATGTTCGTTGACACCTGTATCGTGCTTCAATTTAATCGCCAGGAGATCACCCTCTCACTAGACTCGTCTGTAGGAAGTATAGTATAGTATCTCAAATTACCTTGGATCATAAATAGCATAAGACTTGGGGGTAGGAGAGGGTTGCAGTGTTTGTCATGGCTCTCAGTTGTTCCTGGTATTAGGCAATTTAGTTCTGGAATCATTTTTGTTGGCCAATGTTAAACTTTTTCGAAAGTAGATGTTTTTCTGAAAGGGAAGTTGGGGGGGGGGGGAGGGGAACCTGTATGCTTGGATACAGTTATCTAAGTGAATACTTAGATTTATACAGTAGAATAACTACCTTCTTTTCCTTAGTCAAAAAGGTTGCTTGTTTATTTCTAGGGACTTGTATTTTCTTTTATTTTTAACTGCAGCAACTTTCAGTGAATGATAGATTCTTACTGAAAGGACCTTTACTTCATTGTTGTTGCTTTATGGTCATCTCATTGTGTACAGGGATTCCGCGAAGCTTTTGGGGTTAGTCTTTGACACTCGTTTGTCTTGGTCAGCCCATATCTCTTGCCTCCGAGTTGAATGCTCTAAGGCCCTTAACCTCCTTAAGGTTTTGTCCCATACTTCTTGGGGAGCGGATAGGCGCACGCTCCTCTATTTACACTCCTCTCTCGTCCTGTCTAAACTCGATTATGGTTGCCCTGCATACTCTTCTGCTTCTCCTTCTACTCTTTGCCGTCTTGATGCTTTGCACCATACTGGGTTGCGTCTCGGCTCTGGTGCCTTTCGTTCAACTCCCGCCCTTAATTTGTATGTTGACACTGGCTTTCTCTTCAGGACTGCCGTGATCGCTACTATCTTCGCTATCTTGCACGGTCCTTCCAACATCCTTCCTCTCGCCTCTGTCGTGCATTGACTTTTCCTCCTCCTGTGGTTCCTCTTCATTGTCTCCCACTTTCTGTCCAGTTATCTCGCTTACAGGATTCTCTTTCTGTTCATATTTCTAATGTTTCTCCTCGTATTGTTCCTTCATTACCTCCGTGGAGAGTCCCCCTTCCCAAGTTTTGTACGTCCTTGACTTGTATTACTAAAGCCTTTACCCCTCCTACAATTCTGAAAAGCCTCTTCCTTGAGCACTTTTCTTCGCACTCCCACTCTATTTCCATCTTCCCTGATGGGTCTAAGTCTGCGGATGGTGTGGGCTACTCTGTTGTTTTTGCTGACCGTACTTACATGTGTCGCCTGCCTTCGGAGGCTAGCGTCTTTATGGCAGAACTTTATGCTATTCTCTATGCTCTTTGCTTTCTCATTCTCATTCCTCCTTTGTGGTTGTAGTTGATTCTCGTAGTTCCCTCATGGCTTTAGGGTCCTTTAATCCTGTCCATCCGGTGGTCATTGAGATTCAACATTAGGTGTTTCTTATTTCTAGTAAATTTAAATCAGTAGAGTTTTGCTGGGTTCCCAGCCATATTGGTGTTTCAATGAGCGTGCGGATGCTGCCGCTAAGGAAGCTATCCATTCTTGTCCCATCTCCCGTAAAGGTATTCCTTATTCCGACTTTTATCCTGTTATTCATTCTTCCCCGTTGGCAGGGTTGTTGGTAACAAGCTGCGTACTCTCAAACTTAGTGTGTCCCCGTGGCCTTCCACCGTAACCGGCGGTGGGACACTGCTTTGGCTCGGCTGTGGGTTGGTCATACCCGCTTAACCCACGGTCACTTAATGGAGCGCCGCCCTGCTCCTTATTGTCCGAATTGCGTTGTCCCTCTTACAGTTGTGCATATCCTTGTTGAATGTCCTGACTTCCAGGACGAGCGTGTGTCTTCCCTTCCGACCGTCCCTCGATAGAATTCTAGGTGAATCGGATACTTTTGATATCGTTCGCCTTATGCGTTTTTTGTTCTCGTATTGGCATTGTTGGTGATATTTAGCGCCCTCTGATTATTTCGCACTTTGATGGTGCTACATGGCCTTCCCAGTTTGGTGCCTTTTGGTAATTACCTTACCTTCATTGTTGTTTCATTTTAATGTGGTAGTTGTGATATGGATTGTTCTGGCTCACATGCAAGGTCTTGGATTTTTTTCTGTTTTATATTAAGAAATTGCCAGTCTTGTTACTATTTGTAGAGTTAGAGATCTGCATTAAGGCCTCAATATTATATTTATTTTTTTTTATAACATGTTATCAGCAATTGTTGTGGTTGGTAATATTTAGATTAATGTCAGTGATGTATATGACAAGGGTTAAGACCCCTTGTGGTATGACAGCATTTATCCCAGTCATTTCTTTAACAAATGAAAGGGTCCTCATAACCATTCTTTTGTCCTTTCTACCATGTACCTGTTTGTTGCTTCTTGGTCTTTCATTTGGTACTTTGGCTATTAAAACAATGGCCTTTGGTAATGTTGCAATTACCATTTCTAAAAAGAGCAGGTTCATTAGGCAGAGTTTGTTTTTAGCAAAGTTTTACAAAAAAAAATTCCATTCCTTCAGGACCTTGCAGATGTTAGGTCAAACTAATTGACAGTAATCTGTTTTGCCCTTTCAAACAATGGTTTTAATCTAGGTAAAATATTTCAGAATATCTGACAAGTTTGGCAGACAAATCATTTAAGAGCTTTGATTAAATTTAAGTTACCAAAGACTGAAAACCATGTTGTAGATGCTTCAGTGTCACTTTTCTAATGTTTTGTAGATTTAAAAATTATGATTAAATTAACTAAAGCTTAGGTGTTGCATAGCTTTAAATTTACTTTCAAATATGAAAACTAAAATATTGACTAAAGTTTCTTCCACTTTAATATTTCAGACTAATTTGCAATATTTGTTAGTTTATGTAAATTGAATAGGTAGTCCACTTTTACATCTTTTCAATGCATTTTGCATGCACCAATGTAAAGTTACAAATAGGTGTAAATTTTACCAAGTATTTATTTTCAAAGTAAAAAAAATTTCAGATGTTTAAACCATTGCATCAATAGTAGTAAACAATAATTTCCAGCATAATTTCAGGATAAGGTATATAAAGTAGTTTCATTAAAATTGTTTTATTTAATAAGTTTTACATAGTATTTATAATACATCTAATATTTATTACTGTTTCAGGTTGTGGGACAGAAGATCCAAAAGGCCAAGAAAACTCCAGAGACAATCACCTGTAAAAGAAAAATAAACATTAAACAGGGACACTACTTTTCTTATCACCAATGCCTAATAATAATCCCACAAAATCCTAACAGCCTATCTTTTAAGATAGGCTCAGCAAGGCCTATCCCTTACTCTGGTTTTAGTGCAGAGCTTGTTCCCTGAATGGGTGCATTACATCCACCACTTTAGTGCCAAACACATTGTACATATGCTTTACTGAAAGCACTGTACAATGCATGCCAGGCACTAAAGTTGTAGATGCATCCACCCATTCAGCAAACAAGCCCTGTGTGAATTAACAATGTAACCATTGTTAAGGGTCCCTAAACCTATGCAAATCTAGTCCATCTATTAGATGGGTAGTAGAGCAAAGCTCTGAAAAAGCCAAGCCAGGGAAATCTGCAAGACTGCCTGGTCCCCTTTTATGAAATGGGGTAGGATCAGTACAAACTGCATCTTCCCCTGTGGGTTGTAACAGTAGGACATGGTTACACACCTATAAATGGACTAGATAAGAGAATTAAGATTAGGTCATTGATATAGCTAAAACATCAAATGCAAACTCACCCACTTTTGCAGAGTAAGGGAGCCTCACTCCAAGCCAGTCCATGAATCATAATCACTTTCACCTGAAAAATATTTCAACAAATTAATTTCCAATTTAAACCCAATCTTTCTTTACTTTAACAATTAGCATTCAGTACTTTACAAATTCAGATGGAAAAAATTTCTTTAAGGAATTTTCCTTTCCTACATATTCTAGTAGTAAAGATCTAATTTAGCAATATAAATATATATGGCATCAATTTGCCAAGTTTCAGTAAATGTCATTTGAGAAACTATCCACAACTGCACTTCAATGCCAATTTACATTTATCTTTAGCCAATGCTATATTGTTTAAGTTATTACTATTTTTTTACTTTTATGCAAATCTATTCAGATTAACCTTTACTGCAACTGACAGAGGGACTTCTGGACTTTCCAAACCACATTCTGGAAAATATAAATTTAAAACCAAGCTAAAGTAAACATTTAATATTTTTTTTTACTTTCAAGGGAAAAATACCATCACTTAGAACAAAACTTTTCCTGCCATTAACTTTGACTCATGATTACCCTTAACAGTGTTATACATTTATAGATTAAAGCTTATTTAACAAACATTTAATGTTAACTAAACAAGATTTATATTTCATTAAAATTATTAAAACACCCTCAACTATGCTGTTTAAGATCTAATGCCCCACATTACAATTTCAATACATTCCTGAAAGGACTAAACTTGCAGATATAGTACCCACTAGCCTAAGCCTAGACTTCCATACCCTAATATTTTATAGGTTTTTAGCAATTAACCTCTACCCTCTAATTCCAATGTACACAACACTACTTACTGTAGATCTGCAAGTATTTTCCTGCAGCTCTTTGTTGCCAGGACCTTCCACAACCTGTCATGTGAACAGTAAATATTACTAAAAAGTTATTTGCATAGCAATGTTCTTGTTCATACCTGTACCACCAGTTTAACAGTTGCCATTTTACATGGCACACAAAGTATCTTTGTCCCATCTTTATTACAAACAAACCTATAGTCATTTCAAGTCAACATCCTATACAAATTTTATTTTCCAACAACTTTAGTCATTAACATTTTTCTGGAACATTGCAAACAAACTAATTTAACAACCATGTATAACATTTGAATAAAAGCTATACAAAATTTATATATACAAATTATTATTCTTTTGCAACCACTGCTTACTACTAGGGGCACAAATTTATTCTGTTGAATTGTGTACCAAGCTTTTTAGTCTTAATTCATAATTAACCCAACTATACTACCAAGACAATGTGATTTTACTAAATTTAGTAATATTTTTACACTAGCAACTATACAAGGCCATATTTTCTCCAGTTATCACCACACTTCTGCAGGTGTAAGGTCCTATCTCCCCCATCTGCAGCACTTATGACCACACTTGGTCTTTATTATAAATTTCTTTATGAACCTGATACAGTACTGTTAACGGATTAAATGTTGTGGGAACAATTTACCTACAGTTCTGCCAAAGGAATGATTAACTTTTGAAGGGGGCAACATTTTCGTTGCCATCAAAGATGCTCTGAGCTAACTTCCCCTAGTCATTAGTGAATGGTGGCCAGTAACTCTAGTAGGAACTTTACTGCCATTAGAATCCATGCAGAAAGTGTGCACTTCTGTATCTGCCAGTTTGCTAGAAATTGAAATTGGCATACTTGCTCAGCAACTACTTGCCCTCTTGTACCATGTTACTCAACCATAACATAACCACCACACCACCCATTCTTCTAAAATAACATCCCATATGATAAAAACTGTTTTTAATAAATATTTCTAACTTTAATATTAGTTGGCTTGCATGGTGTTAAGCTTGTCTACAGCATTTCGTTTTTAATTAACTATGTAAGGGGGAGATTCTGAATAGCAAGTGCCAATAGGCACTGCCACTGGCTTATGGCAAAACATTCTGTAGCAATAGAACTATAAGCCACACTTTCTCCCCCCCCCCTTCCTCCCAACTGTTCAGTGTCAAAAGGGAGGGGGGGGGGGAGTGTCCATTTACTGTACCACTTACATTTTAGTGTGGGCTTCATCCACTATTCTGATGTTAGCTGGAACATTTGTGCCAGCTGCTGGTTTGAAAGAGGCATACCATGTGCCAATTCAGGAAGCTTTCCACGTTCCTCACTGCATGTCAGTTCAGGACCTCACTACCATGTTGGGAGGCAGTTGAAGACTAACCAATCAACATCCCAGGCTGGAGAGCAGCGCCAGCTCGGGGACAATTTACCACCTGCAAAAAATTTAATACTCTTAACAATCTACACCATCTATCTCATCTTTACCTAGCCCCCAAACCTTACATTTGTCAGCATTAAACTGCATCTGGTAGTCTTAACCATTTCAAAACTATATAGGGCATCTGTATTTTTTATTTGCCAATTCTGCAACTATTGCAGTCTAAACCACAATCTTGCGAATAACCGAGGTCCAAGGAGAGCTTTTAGGCACTACTTACAACACTTCTCCCAACTTAACCCCATTTATACTAATTTCCTTTGGTATAGCTATGACCTAATCAACTTCAGTCAGCATTCCCAATGATCCGAGCCCCTATCAATTTTGCGCCACTATCAAAATCTCTGCCGAAGTCAAGGTACACAAAATCACAAACCTTATCACCATTTACTCAACTATGCAACCTAATCCATGAACATTTAGTAATAAAACTATGCGATTCATGTATCTAGTCATGTTTCTCAAAAAGAGTAGAGAAATGGCACTTGCAATGTTAGATTCTAGTAACTTTCCTCACAATAGACTAAGCTAATTGGTCACTAACTTAAGCGTTAAAGTTAACTCAAACTTTCTTTAAAAGTTGTATATTAGGAATTTTCCACGACCGGCCTTTACCCCACATAATAGGGTAAAAACGGTATATTAAATGCAGTAAAACTACGGTAAATTCAATATGATAAACTTGCATTCTTTAAGCATGGGCTGCATAGTAAGTGAACTAAACTAAATGTTAAGCACCCTGGCAAACCACTTCGTTCTATTCAATTTCTTTATTTAATCACTTTGTCCGGCTAGAATTTTTAGATTAGATTAAAGGAACACCCTCCCTGGTAACGGCTGAACTAGTTAACCAAATACATATATTTAGGTAAAATACTTTCATAAAACCCGTCTACTTCCCCCACCAGTAGACTTGTTCAGCTAAAGGCATAATGTAATGTTCCACTTTAGTAAATAAAGATTTAAAAAATACTACCCCATCTGTGTAGTTACCGGTTACCTGACATTCTACGTTTAAAATAACCCATCTATTCCCCATAATTGTTCGATAAAACTTACCTCTCACCCGCTGGTCGAGTACACAGCAGTATATAACCTCCTCCATCACTCACCGCGTGGATACTATTTCACTCTGGCCGCAAATTGCCTCAAATCACCTACGTTGTCCATAAACATATATAGAAGAGCAACTGACCGTAACACTCGTATAGTGATCATCACATAACGTGGGAACATTAGTAGTACTGCTGTCAAAACATAGATGGCGCCAGGACAAACGGTAATTCCTATGGACTCGCCTAGTTATGCGTAGGGAATTGAGCTTCAGCTGTTTGGTCCCGCCCCTCAGCAGTATTCACCTAGTTGTACTCACCTAATTTGTGCTTGCAGGGGTTGAGCTTTGGTTCTTTGGTCCTGACTCTCAACCGTCAATCAACAGGTGTACAGGTTCCTGAGCCTATTGGGCTCTATCACATCTACATTTGAAATTGTGTATGGAGTCAGCCTCCACCACATCACTGCTTAATACATTCCATTTGTTAACTACTCTGACACTGTAAAAATTCTTTCTAATATTTCTGTGGCTCATTTGGGTACTAAGTTCCCCTTGTTCGTGTTCCACCCGTGTTAAAGAGCTGTCTTTGTAACTATCAAAATGCATATATCTTTGCTTTCACTTCAGTTATATATATGACAAGGGATTTAAAATTTGTATATAATGTATATATATAATATATATATATATATATATATATATATATATATATATATATATATATATATATATATATATATATATATATATATATAAATATATATATATATATATATAAATTGTTGCAAGTCGAGCAACAAATATTTTACATTGAACAACAAATGGGATTGGAAAAGCAGTATTGCCACCTCTGCTATACAGAAAAAAATAGACCCCAGACACACCCTGTGGGTAGTAATGGACCCCCATACCGACACTATGAGGGGTAGTGGACCCCATAATAACAGTATGAGCGGTAGTAGACACTATACAAACACTATGGGCGGTATTGGACACTATGCACACACTATGGGAGGTAGTTAAAAATAAAAATAAAATAAAATAAAAGTTGACTTCATAGCGACCCTGTGGGCGGTAGTTGACTTCATAGCGACCCTGTGGGCGGTAGTTGACTTCATAGCGACCCTGTGGGCGGTAGTGGACCCCCTGCCGACCCTGTGGGCGGCAGTGGACCCCCTACCATTCCAACCCTGTGGGCGGTAGTGGACCCCTACCGACCCTGTGGGCGGTAGTGGATCCCCTACCGACCCTGTAGACCCCATATCGACCCTGTGGACGGTAGTGGACCCCCTACCGACCCTGTGGGCGGCAGTGGACACCCCTACCAACCCTGTGGGCGGCAGTGGACCCCCTACCGACCCTGTGGGCGGTAGTGGACCCCTACCGACCCTTGGACGGTAGTGGACGCCCTACCGACCCTCTGGGCGGTCGTGGACCCCATACCGACCCTGTGGGTGGTAGTGGACCCCATACCGACCCTGTGGGCGGTAGTGAACCCCCTACCGACCCTGTGGGCGGCAGTTGACCCCCTACCAACCCTGTGGGCGGTAGTGGACCCCCTACCGACCCTGTGGGCGGCAGTGGACCCTATATACTAATCCTGTGGGTGATACTGGACCTATACTCATTCTGTGGGCGGCAATGGACGCCATACACATCCAGTGGGTGTTATTGGACCCTATACTTATTCTGTGGGTGGTTGAAGCCCCATACCCATCCTGTGGGTGATAGTGGACGCCATACTCATCCTGTGGATGGTATTAAACCCCATACCCATCCTGTGGGTGGTTGTGAGCCCCATACCCATCCTGTGGGTGGTAGTGGACGCCATACACATCCAGTGGATGGTATTGGACCCCATACCCTTCCTGTGGGTGGAAGTGATCCCCATACCCTTCCTGTGGGTGGAAGTGATCCCCATACCCTTCCTGTGGGTGGAAGTGATCCCCATACCCTTCCTGTGGGTGGAAGTGATCCCCATACCCTTCCTGTGGGTGGAAGTGATCCCCATACCCATCCTGCGGGTGGAAGTGATCCCCATACCCTTCCTGTGGGTGGAAGTGATCCCCATACCCTTCCTGTGGGTGGAAGTGATCCCCATACCCATCCTGTGGGTGGATGTGATCCCTATACCCATCCTGCGGGTGGTATTGTACCCCTTACCCACCTAACAGGTGGTATTGGACCCTATACCCATCCAATATTTGGTATAGTAGACACCATATCATGCTGTTTGCAGTAGTTTACCCCCATAAACATTCCAACGTAACATCGTTTTCTGTTAGCGTTCCTACAAAACATTCTTTAAAGATTTTTAAAGCACCAACTATGGTATAAAATATTGATTGGTGAAGCACTGTTATTCTATGTAATAATTTATAGTGCTTATTATAATTTACTAAGAACAACTAATATTTCTCAAAACAAAACTACGAGCCTTCAGTAGGATATAGCTGATCTGTAATATTATAATAGCATGGACAATAGAAGGTAAATTTCACAACCCATGTGGGTTGTGAAAACTACAATTTTCATTATAATTGAACCAATCACGATTATTCTGCTATCTACGTTGATGGATGGGTACTGTGAGACGTAAATTGGTACGTGAGGAAGAGTTTGGGCCTTGGTAAAAAAGGTAACTGGGAATATATCACTTGTGTACTAAATCACATTCAACATATTGACTTTAAGCATTAAGTCATATATGTGCTGTCTTGTGTGAGAACGAGTTAGATAGCTATATACGTGCGAGTACAGTGTGATACCAGCAAAAACAGTATGTTTCATTGTTCTAATATTTTATTATGATGCACATATTAGTCATTCAAGTAGATCTGTGCATACCAATGTTCTACACATTCTGTGATTATTTATGATGTTATTGACAGCCAAATGCATTATTTCATTTGAAAAACCCGTGGTAAACAATATTAAAAATAAAATATACTCAATGCGTATACATACAACTTGGTGTAAAATGTGAGGCTAACTTTGAGTCAATGGTTGCGAGTGTCACAACTGCTTAGTAGTTCATAACGCATAAAACCAGTTATATATACGGTGTATGAAATGTGTATAGTGTCCTAATAGCAAAAACATTGATTTATTGTCCAAATCTATACACATGAATGTGTTTGTGTATAGTGTTGATATTCTGCATGTTTCATTACAGAAATTTCTCAAATTACACACTAATACATGGCAAAAAAAGTGAGAAAAAGTTGGTGGTATTGAAATAAACCAGTATAAGTGTATTTGCAGCAACTGCTGCTGCCTACCTGGCCCAGGAAACCTCCATAAGACATCTAGTCCATCCGTGAATTCGTGAATCAGTGACGTCATTGGGAAATTCCCTCCCTCCCATAGCTAAGGTAAGCTACATAATTTTTTTTTTTTAAATCTCCAGTGAACAGGGAGATCTTTTTAACAATATTAGAAGGAAAACATTGCAAATTTTTCGTGTGCACCACGGAGTTGTCATGAAATGGGTGCACAGTGCAGAGGCTAAGGGAGAAATTAAATACTCTAGTGTTTTGGTTTTATTTTAAGGAACAACTTTGTATCAACAAGTTCACACACACAGCCTCCACTGTCCAGTCCTGGTTGAAGTGCATAGGGATACTCAGATCCTGGAGGTTCCCTTCAGCTCTGCACTTGGTATAATAATTGGATTCATGACAAACTCTGTTGAGCAGCCAACCCTAAATACATAAAAGGTTGAGGAGGTATGAGGGTTTAAAAATGAAATTTTTGGCAAGATTTGTTCACATTTGAGAATTGACAAGTAATGAAAGGTCAGGATGATGGTAAGCTGAAAGGAAATGTGATCAAGCTCGGAGTATCGGATAAAGTGAGTAAATGAGCGTTCAATGTTGGATGGATGTTTGTTTATGTTGATGTTTTAATGGAGTTTTGTATGAATTAATATAGTAACATTTGCTATGAATTTGTCAATTTTGTAATGAAAACTAATATCTTTTGTCTGGTAACAGAATTATTAACTCTACCACAAATTATAGATTGCAACTTTGGAAATATGACTATCAATAGCTTAAGTATATGTACCATGACAAAATGCACATGTATTCAAAAATATTCAAACTAAATGACCGTATAGTTATAAATGAGTTTAATTTAGCACATCTATCATACTGAGCAAGTTTAATAAGTAATAGTTTAGTGAAGCATCTAATGACAAATGAGTGTAATGGATGAATATGAAAGTTAAAAGAGCACGGTTGCTAGTGGTGACCAAATTCTTCAAATATTCCTTGATATGCAGCTGCTATCACGCTAGATCTACCAGGTAGTAAAAACCAGGAGCAATTTGTGTGGATGTATTGTTAACACCAGGTTCATAACTGACAGACACAAGGGTACAGGGAGAGAAATGTAATTAAACCATACAAGCCATCTCATTTGAGAAATGTGTACAAAGACACATTTTAGGGGTTTAAGGCATCTTAGAGATGAATCAATGATTATTAGCTTGACCAAGATATTGAAAGTCACAGGAATGTGGGGGGGTTGGGGGGATGGTTGAGGTTGGCCACAAAAAGCTTCACACCTTTAGGCCTACTCTTACAAATATCCACCCTGTACATAAAATAGTAACAAATAACAATCCTAATAAACTTTCATAATTTCCTTTGTTAAAAATATCACATTTATTTCTTAAAAATAATTTTTGTTGTCCTTTGACACATTAAAACTTGGATGATAAAATAATGATACAAAATAATGTGCAGTGTGGACATTGGTGAAAGTATGTTTTCAAGTTTAATCCAATACAGCTCATTTTAAAACTTTACTGGGACTGTGATATATAAATAAAAATAATTTAGAAACACTGCATTATAACAAAGATCTCTTTAAAACATAATCAAAACAACTGACAATATATATGAATATTCTGAAGTGATGTTCAGTACATGCAGCATAGATTTCCAAATCAAACTTAGTATTTCATTAAAGGATCATTTTCCAACCAAGTCTTGGCAATGTTCATTGTGGCTTATTAATTTGCATGCATTTGTGTGTGCATGTGAGTAGTCATGTACAGAGCTTTATTTTAATACAACTTTAGGTGTACATGACTGCTAGATGTCTCTTGTGATATGCAAAAAAAATTATTTGCAACTCCGAAGGTGGCAGATACAAGAATGGGAGAACACACGAATTAAATTAAAAATGTATACATTGCACACATGCATGAACTCTAATGAATTTACCTGTTGGGTATGCATGACTTAAATGTTTTTGTGATGTCAGATGACAATGTGAAGCAGCGGTGGTGTGGACACATGAATGGTTGGACAGATAGATGATGAGAAAAGATGTGAAAATGAGAACAAAATGTGATAAAATATAATGAGCAAGAGGCAAGATACATAAGAGTGAAACCATAAGGATAGCCAAAAGAGGAGTGTGTTTACTGATAACAATACTAAGGAACTATAATAACAGATGGTGCCGACTTTCTGGGAGGCTGACGTCCAGTACAACTTGGGACTGAGGGAGTCAAGTTAGCATATTTTCTTGGAACAATTCCAACAAACTACAGAGAAAATGCCAACAGGTTATCCCAAAACTAGTTTAAACATTTGAGTTATATAATAAACAAACTGCTTTTCAGTGATCAATATTTTAACATGTTAATACATAGACCATGATTATATAAAAATGTAAATTTGATAATGTGTGCACTAGTGGCAACATTGTAGTCTTATAAATGGTATACAGTATATATAAATATATATTTTAAGAGAAGCAGATTTGTATATTTTTAAATGATCCACTGTTTTCTTTTTACGAGATGGCATGTTGTACCCAAGTGTGCTACAGAATTTGGCATCCATGGGGTTACTTCCCATCCGTAGCAGTGTGAGCAAGCACTACTGCATGGAATATTATATGAAAAGCTGATCTTTGTTAATGACAAATGAAACTATGGGAAGTACTAAAAATGCATGCATGCTGATGGTAATCTATAATGTTTAAGGACGGTGTAATAGTATTTATGTGATCGATGCTCTAGTAAGATCAGAAACTATGTAACTGAAGGCTGTAGGTGACCAGGACACCTCGAGATTACCAACGCCAGCACCTCAGTGTCAGGTCTCCCCAGGAACCATAGCGGTCACCATGTGCTACTCAAAATGTACACGACTCATGACTGTGTACATGGCCTGTGCACATAACATCCATCTCATGGAGTGAGTGTGCAAGCCTTCTCAACCGAATAACTTGCAGTCGTATCACAAGAACAGGGCTCGACAAACACTGGGACTAGGTAGATCTGCACCAGGGCACACAGGAACCTAAATGAAGAAAGTAATTTTCCTTGAAAAAAAGATCCCTCTATGAATGTTATATTTTTCTTATATGAAGACAGTTCCTCACCAGCACATAGCTTCATGCCCAGCAGGAGACTGGATCTTTAATAGCATTATGAAGGCTGTTTCACAGTCAAGAGATATACAATACATTAAGTAGTTTCAACAGCACAAGTAGAACCTTCATCAGAACCAGGAAAGTCCTCACCATCATGCAAAAGGCACTCAATTATTTTTGTGATGGGCCTTCACTAGCAGGAGGAATGGTCTTCGTCAAAATAAAAGGATCGTCAGATGTCACACCTGATATGACTGACTTTTAGAGTGATGCAAATAAATATTTTTTTTTTTTTGTAAAGTAGAAAATAGATTTCGTTGGTATAAACAAGGAGCTTTACCAAGTGAATAATGCCCCTTAGTAGCATAAGGAAGAGTAATGACTCAGAGGCCTCCAGATCCATGGGGAAAGATAACAATATAGCTTACCCTGGGAGCTAGGACCTGACTGGTCAAGGTCGGGCAGAGACGTGTGATGGCAGTACAGTATTCTCAACACAGCCAACTTAAGTTTTATATTCTTGACTAAATTTTTTTGTGGTAGATCCATTGCACTAAATGGTGAATGGCAGACAAAAAGTTGCATACACATCCTGCCCGACCAAGGCATGCAGGCTCCGCTGGACCACGGAGATTGGAACTTAACACGACCGTCCTTCTTAACACTTGAACTAAACTACAAATTAACGAAAGGAATTACTAAAAGTTTCCTATGGAAAACTAAATCAATATTGTGACTAGGCATTTAGTTTTCTAGCATGTGGAAATCCACAAAGATTTGGTGTTTAAACAGTACAAGAGTATTGGCCAGACCTGCAATGTGCCTCATCTTGAGGCATTTCTGTAGGTATCTGTACCATCTATGAGACCATTAATAAAATAAATAAGAGAAATAACATAAGTTAGAAACACAAAACAAAGTATAAAATGTAATATACTATGCACAACTGTACTGTCAATTACAATATTGTCTTGAGCTAATTAAAAGGCAAATGATCAAGCAGAAAAACATGTGCATCTCACATATCCCTCTATTAATTTATTAAAGCACTTAATATGGCTTTATAGAAAACTGAATATAGTTCAACTGGTTTCTCCTGCTCTTGCATTTGTATGCCTTGTGTCCCCTTTGACATTTACAGGGAGAGACCTGATGTGGTACAAATGCTTATCCACTGTACAACATTTCCTCTACACAGAAGTCAATATGACCTCTGCTCCACAAGAGGCAGTTATAATACACTTTAAAAAAATTAACCAGTACTAGAAATTACATTAGTATAAATCTGTACTGAACTTCACAAATAGTACCATAAGTGGATAGAAAATCTAGTGCCTATTATGCAAGTACGGCAAGTGCTCGCCGGGGCTGGGACAGCCACCATCATCCCAAGTCTAGAGAATTGGGTAGGTGGAGGCCACAGTAATGGTAGCAAAAGATGCAGTAATGTACATAGTTGCCCCGGATGCAGTGAGTTTGTGGTCAGGTGACGAAGGAAATGAGGCACAGCCAAAACACTCCACAAGGGACAAAGAGCTCATTCAGTCGGTTTTTTGTTCGCACACGATCCTCCATGGAGTCAAGGGGGTCGCTTTATCCTCTTCGTTTTCCTCCTCTTCATTGTTCTCCATCTTCTCCTCCTGCCTTCCCCCCTCCTTAGCCCCCGGGCCGCACAAGTCAGCTCAGGTCAGGCCAGATGGGTACGGCGTAAGCTCCAGGCCGTCCACCTGAGGACAGTAGCTGTGACGGCAGCGGCAGTACAAAATGGGACGGCTCACACATGGGCGGCAGGACACGGCACGAACCATAACAAAATAGAGATTCTGACAGCACACGTGAGCAGGCGAGTCGCAGGCGTAGTCTGCTGAGGAAGGCACGGGCGGCGGCCAACACGCAGGGACGCCCAGGGCTGCTGTTGTTTCTGCTGCTGCTGCTTTGGCACTCCCTGAGGGTGGGGCTGCGGCAGGCATAGCTCTCACGTGGCAGCGAGGGCAGCGGCCTGAAGAACCCGCGGCCTTGCTGGCTGCTACGACAATAGTTTGAAGAACATCAACGCCAGCGACAAGTTTAGGAAGAGGATGAGCATAACAAGGCGCTGCCGGGAGAACCAGTCCTGCAAAAGGATACCGTCATGAGAAAGTGATGTACAGTACAGTTTGTGTATACACAATGGTTTTAAGTAAATTACTAATGGCAGGCATGATAATGCAATGCTAGTGTCTGAAATGATGATACATCAATAAAATATCTTGAATGTGTAAATGAAAGTAATTAACCTCTACAAAATCATTATAGTTTTAGTATGAAAATAATTATTCTTCAAGGTGTCCACATTTCTAGCCAGTGGAGCTTATTGGAAATAAGGCACTAAAAGGGAGGGCACTGGAAGAATGGTGGGAGGGGGCTGGAAGGGAGTGATCTGAAAGGGAGGGAGCTGAAGAGCCTAAATAAGTAGGCCTGTTCCTCTATCTGATTCTGAATATTTAGTATATAAATATGAAACGGAAAATATGGTGTACGTGATGACCAAACCACACACCAGAAGATGAAGAGACGACGATGTTTCGGTCCATCCTGGACCATTATCACAATCGACTTAAAAATAGTCCAGGACAGACCGAAACAACGAATGAAACTTCATCTTCTGGCGTGTGGTTTGGTCATCATATCTTCAGCCACATTATTGCGACTCATCATCTGCATGTGGTATACATATCACAGGCAATGAGGCACAGTAGTCAAGTGTCATTAATAAAATAACTACTTTTGTGTTAAATATTAGATTTTTAGAGCATTCAGCATGGTTTTGTAATATTTAACCCCACCTTTCTCTATTCCCTCAAAGACCAAAGAGTGGTTTACAGTCATTAACACCCAGTTTACAATAAGAAGTACATGTACATTAGGCAGGAATAAATCTAGATACAGCACATGAACATAATTTAAAATCCTCAATAGTTTCTAGTTTATTAATTGGTTATATACAGTAACTGACTTAATTTTTTAATAAATGCTGGCCAAAAGTAAGTTAAACTGGTCTTATTCTTTCAATGATTTATCAAAGCTTTCCCCATGAAATTACAAATTTATAATTTGATTCCACATTAAAAGAATGCTGTCTTATATAACTAAAAAATGTTGTAAAAGTATCTAAAAAATTGCTGATATTGTACATGTATATCAAATTTGAATGAAGGGGCAAATTTAGATGTAGTATTGTATAGAACAACATATATTTTAAGTATCAAGTAGTTTTCTAACTTTTTTTTTATGCACTTGTATGCAAAATGTAGGAAAATGAGTGAATATTTATCGTTTCATTTGGTGGAGGCACTCTGCAAGGCTGCATCTGGCACTTGTCAACGCCCAGTCCTCGACTTTGTTGATGCTTCCCATTTTATCGTCAAAGGTTTCATTCATTGTTTTATAACTAGTTTGTCTTTATTTACATCTACATAGAGCTATTATATCTAAATTTTAATCATACATGTAAAATCCAGACAATAATTTGTTAAATCCTCATTTGGTGATAACTGCATTATTACCCTGTGAATCAAATACTGTAATTTATGATGTCTGCTGCCTTTAGGTTAAATAAATTTGTGTAGGCCTGCAAGCTAATTGCAGTATTAAAAACCATGCCAAGTAAACTAAACATGAATATAATACACACAAATGGACATAAAAAACTATAGTGCATATTATGATGCATGTGTCAGAGCTGGGCTTGTGACAGCCGACATGTGCCAAAGCCAATAAGTCGAGATCAGCGCATGTCGGCTCTCTTACCTGGACGGCAGGGCTGGTGAGGTAGAGGAGAGGGTTAGCCCGGTACAATTCTGCTTCCTCAGCCTGACGACGGAACGCGTGTCTCTGGGCTGAGCTGAGTACTGCAGCCTCTTCACGTGACATGATAGGTACGGGCAACGGCTGTACCTCAGGCAGTGACTTCTTCCTTTTCAATGCAGGGGCTGGTGCCGCCTACAGGGACATAAATCTTTGTATCAAGAGCAGTCAAATATGGCATTCGTTTAATGTTAAGAATGAGCAGCAAGCATAGATTGTTAAATTCCCTAGCATAGATCTAGCTAAGGATCGATCTAGCATAGATTGTTAAAAAAAATTTGTAGCATACATTTCTGATCTTAGCCAAAAGGCCAAGTAGTGATATTTTTTGTAGCAATGTGTATTGTAATAAAAGTACAGTACTGTATTAGATTTTATACCTGAATAATTTCCTTATACAGTGTACATCTAAAAAAAAAAAAAATTATTGAGCATGTTTGCAGTGGACAACACAAAGCAAATTCCTCATATTTCTAGGCCTACTTTATAAATCTTAGTTACAAATACAAACCGTATTCTACTGTAAATTTAATTTTGAATAAAAAACTAAAACGGACAATGGAGATTGTTAAAATGAAATATATATAGGAAATACAGAAAATATTGACCTATAACAATTGCAAGTGCATATAATAGAGAAAGTCTAGACAAATTTTTCTGAACATTTCAGTTGTAGTTTACCATATTTCAGTGAACAAAGTTTCTTTTCTGAGGGGGAGCCCCGTATGGATTGTTGAAGCTACAATATAGTTCAACCATATTGAACTATATGGTTCAAGTACATTTATTGAGACTATAAAATACATCTCAAAAGGATAGAGTAGCTGACTACTTATACCCTGACTACTTATACAATATGGTACCATCTATACCTTATATAGATGGTACCATCTACTAGGTCGCACCAGACATGTTCTATAGGCCTCCCAGGCACCAATGCTAGAACATACCCCATTCAAAGAGGTGCCGGGAGTGGCGGTATTTATTTTTGCCACCTCACTGGGAAAGGCAAATATCAGCAAGTCAAAATAAACCACTGCTGGCTTCAAGAGAGAACAAAGCTGCAAAACCCACCTAAATAACACTCCCAATTCTGTGAACAAACGATTGAATTGTTTACAAAATCGAGGTGTAATTTCAAATTATATTTTACCCTCTAACTATATTTAGAATTGCTTTCCTGGTGGGTAATTTACTTAATGACAATATGATAAAAATGTTGGACATCATTAGCTTAACTGGAGTTGATCATTCATTGGAAGAGGAAAGAATAAAAATAAGTGTCAATAAAGTTAGTTTGAAACTTCTATAGATAGTGAATGAAAGCAAGATGCTGGCTGCTAAATGGTTGTAATTTTTGTATGTGTTTCAGGCACCAATGCTGTGCTTGCATTAAATGCTTAATCTGAAAGCAAAATTTATCCAAGATACCTAACCCAAAGCTTAATATATAAATCATAGTTTATTCAACCATTAGGATAAAGTTCGAGAATTATAAAAATTCCTCATAAGATCAAATACTGGAATCTCATCAAATGAGCAATTTCCAATAAGGACTTGAATCCATTTAAAATTTACAGTGAAAATGATGCAACTTACCTTAACTTGCGCCTGACGCCTCACAATAGGGTTTATATACAGTGATTCTGTGCGCTTGACAGTGCCTTGGCCAGGGGTTGGGGGACAAATTGGGATCTCTTGGCCACAGGCTCGTTGTCGGAGTAGTGCCTCAGCTTCCTGCTGAGTAGATGGGATGGTATATGGCACTGTGAACCCACCTCCCACTGACCCATTCCCAGCAAAGAGGGGTATTTCACCAGATTTCATCGACGATGGGCGAGACGAGCGTCGAGAGCTGCCAGTGATGGGAACAGCTGTCTCGTCTACATCTACCCCTGAGTCGGGCGTCCAGTCTTGGGATATTATGCGCTGGGTTGATGGTGCCCGAGACCTAGGGTTTATCAATTCTGGGGGTATGGGAGTCTGCCCGCCAGAACCAAACCGATCTACTGATCGATCACGTGATTGTGCGCGTGATGAAGGTTTGTTGTAGTGGTCAAAACGATCATTTATTATATGGCCTGAAAAATCGTATTCCTGCCCTCCCCTGCTACCTGCTTTAACTGTATTCCGGCCAGGAGTGCGACCGCGCTCTAAAGTGTTGCTTTTTATGGTTTCATTCTGATTGAACTGCTGTGAGGGGTCATCATGGGCAAGGCTGCTACCAGGATTCACAGAGGTACGGCGAGATCCTGCAGGGTCTGTTGGTGGTAATTCCGCAGCATGATATTTTGTGTAACCAGGTCCTCCACCACCACTTGGCATAGGAGTTATTGAATCATGTCTACTATCCACGCCACGACTGTATTGTGAATTTGAGTGTGGTCCAGAGCTGTCATCCCGTGGATGTGAGGGTGACACTGTGTTCGCAACTGGCTGTACTGGACGTACCCCAGTTGGGGGTTTGATGATGTCCACACCTGCAATAGAATTTATATGTACAAAATGAGGTACTGTACATTTGAAGCACCTAAAGCATTTGCTAGTCTGGTTTTCACAGTCAAAATTTTGCCTCTTGTTTATATTATGACACAAAATTTAGGAACAAAATAGATTATGACATACAAGTACAACAGTATAGAAGGACACAAATCAGGTAGAACAGACAAAAGTCAGTATGGAAATACTGTATGAGGTAATATAACAATCAACCAGCAAGTGTTGTGTATGTTGAGAGAGAAACCATCGGGTCCCTCGCATTAGTGATTATGGTCAAGACCATTATTTCCAAGGTCTCGCTTCATGCAGATCGGCATTTAATCCCCAACTGTCTAAGTATTTAGGCACCATTCCTTCCCCTCGTCCCATTCCAAATCCTTATCCTGACCCCTTCTAAGTGCTATACAGTCGTAATGGCTTGGTGCTTTCTCGATAACTCCCTCCCATCCCTCCTTGTATGCGTTACATCTGACCTTTTAAAGAAGTGGTCTGGGTCAAGATCCAACAAATTGTTCAGTGTTTTAAAAATTTCAGTGAGATCAGCCCTATCATGTCTGGTTTACAGTGTTGTTAGTCCTATGGCCCTCAACCATTCCTGATACGAGAGTCTAGTTAGTTCTGGTATTTTTTTTTCTCTGTATTAAACTTTCTCAGAAGTAGATATGTCTTTCTGAAGATGAGATCTCCATGCTTAGATACAACAGTCTTTTGCCATGAATGTTTCTCCATGAAACGTTAAATTGTTTATAAGAGCATAAAACTGATGTGAAGTGTCCTGCTAAAGTGAACCATGCCAGGCTGAGGTAATTATAGCTGGCTGACATGACCCATACAGTGTGTTGAATCATACCTTATATTTCCCATAGTCTGGGACACAAAGCCAACTACTGATTTTCCACGGGATACAATGCATAACATCTGCCTGTCGAGTATCTATTTATTGCTGGGTAAACGGGCATCAGGTGAAAGGAAATTGCCAAAATGCTTCTATCCTGCCATAGGAATCAAAGCTGGGACTTTCGGCTTATTACTGCATCTCAGGATCTTTGAAGTTACCTATACCAGGATGAAGTAAACCCCTAAGAGCTGAAATGAACCATACCTGGTTGGTGAAAGTCTGGAGCATACTGTTTAGCAAAATCACGGGCCACATCTGAATCATCTCTCGCATGAACGGCTGAGATGTCTGCCTGTTCTGCCTTGCCACGGGCTGTTGCGGTTCTGCAAGAGCAAGAGTTTTATTATAAAAGTTCCAGAAGACTTATGTTGCTACAGAATAATGAAAATATTGATACTAAGGATACACGTAATACTCTTAAGTGCAAAACGTGGAAGCAGCGTAAATGATATGAAGGAAAATGGTGTCATGCAGATCTCCCACACTTCACTGAGCTTCAGAAATAGTCTACATAACTTAGTTTTCCAATGAAGGTATCATTGTAATCACTGCCATACCCAGTTTCCACACTCATGAGGCGTGCAGGACTGTGCCTGGAAAAGGCAATGGAGCAACCTATCAGACATAGTACTTTCCAAAAATTAAACCCAAATATTCACCAAATTTTACATCTTATACATCACTGATATAAAGTGGCATCACACGTTATGCATAAGAAGTGCTACAAACATTTAAACAGTTCATCTATCCATAGCAGCATACTCCTTCAGATGACTAGGATTGAAGTTTTACTAAGATGTTATGTACAAACAGATCAATCATTCTTCCCACCTCTTCAGAAAATGGCTGTTTACTCCCAATCCAAACTACCTCACACATTATATTTTATAATTTTCTGCATCAATTACCATATTCACATGTTTATCTTTTATATTCTCATTTTATTTTCATCAGTTGCAGTATTTCACTTTCATAGTTTCTAAAGGAGCATACAGCTTTCTGATTATTTTCTACAGATGTGTAATGCCTCATTCATCGTTTTTCTTTTTTTCAACTTATTTTTTACTTTAATCTTTTACTTTCATAATACAGTACAGTACTTCTATTTTTAGGCCATTTTTTTCCTCAATTTGTATCCACAAATCCACTTCCTTTTTTATCATCATCAAATGCTCTTGCTACTTTCTCAGTCCACTGAGCATTTTCTCTTGTTTTTCTACGTTTGTGTGACAATAAATTGTTTAAAGATCACTGTCAACTCACCTTTAATACTCAAAAACATTTTTTATTTTCTCTTTACTTATCAATTTTCAATGTCACCCCCACAGATCTGCACGAGGCACCATTCCTCATCTAGCATTCAATCTTATATATTACTGTCATGTAATCAGACAACACTCCAAATTTTCCTCTTACTGCTCTAAATCTGCATACATAATGTAACATGCTTCTGTCCACAGGTACTAGCTAAAGACTTTTATACTCTTTTGTATTTCACATAGTACCATGTATACTTTTATATACAGCATATGTTGTATAAATAAGTGGCCATAAAGAATTTTTTTTTCATTATCACTGCTGTCATGACAAGGAGTATGCACAATCAAAACATTCTTGAATTTCAAGTACAGTACTGTACAAGCATTTGCCAAAATAATTCATTCATTATATAATACCACTGTTTATTCACTAAGAAGTGGGTCCCTTCCTTACTCTACTTGAAAAAAATCAGCATGTTAATGAAAAATCTATGACTGATATTTATATTCAGCTGTGATTGTTAAATCTTCAATAATCATTTCACTTGTTCAACATTAACGTCCCTATCTCCCCCATCAGTTCTTCACTTTCTTTCTCTGCTTTTTTTTTCTTCTCCCCTAATCATTCCCCTCCTGGCCCCTCCTACATTCCCATCACTTGATATCCTCACCGAGAGATGGCGATGTCCTCCTTCTGCATGGCAATTTTTGCAGCTCTCTGTGCAGCAGCTACCGCTGCTTCGATTCGTTCTCGGAACTTGGCAGAGCGGATGAGGAACACGTGTTTCTTTTTGTTAGATGTTATGAGAACGTTGTTCTTGTATTTGCCCTCCTCCTTTGTGCCATCCTGCAGGAAGGAAGGAAGGTCTATTACTGCATAATTTACATGAGAGAAGGACTGTTACTGGATAGTTTACATATGACAGAAATACTGGCCATTTCACTGCCCCAGTTAAAAGGCTACCATAAAACAGTACCTGCAATGTATAGGTATCTAGTTTGAGATACAAAAGGTAGCTTATTCATGAAAAAATTAATATACAGAAAGATTTACTGTATATTGAATTTATATAAATTCTCATTTGATAGTTAAGTGAATGAATTCTCAAAGGATTTAAATTTTCACACAAGCTTTTGTGGAGTAAGCATTGTAGTACAGTACTAAATTTCAGTGACATCTTTAAATGTATAGTTACTGTTATAAAATCATTTAATTAAGCCTCAAAGAAGAATTGTAGTAAAGTGCCACTGGGACATTGTAAAATAACTCAAGATTTTGTCTTAAAATGGTGACTCACCTAGACAAAGGTAATTGTCCAGAGTTAATGTTCATTCAGATATTAAACACATTAGTTGAAACTGGCACCTTGACTATATACAATAAGCTGCAACTGACTTTCACCATCTAGATAGGCAAGAACGTTCCCATAGCATTGTTCTCTACTTATGTTTAGCAGTACAGTACTGTACTTTGGAACAAGTTGCCCAAGAACATTGGACAGTTTGGTAGCCAGTATTTAAGCCAGGTGTTTCTTAGATGCTGTCCACACCTGACCTGGTCACCATGCTTCCTTGACAAACACTAAATTACTCATACACACAATACCAGTAATAATACACCTTTTTTAATCAATTTGTGCTGTGCTTTCTAGTGAAAGTTTTAATGTATGATAATTATGTAAACCCCATTATTCGGTGAACTAATATAAATAGCTTTCCAGATCCTATGTATTTAATTACCCCAGCTGCTTCTGCATTATCTATCACTTTTAATTTGTATTTGAAATTCCATCATTCTTCATAATGAGTATTTCTAGAAGTATTATAAATTATATCTATTAGCTTCAATGGTCAGACGGTTCCAAAAGATTAGTATTCTTAGGAAGATGGTCTCTTGTTCGCTTTGGAATGTGTTTTTTCAAACTTTCATGTGTCCTGCTGAATCTCTAAGCAGTTGAGATAAATATTATACACATCAATAACATTTTATCCTTGTGTTAACCATCTATGAAATTTGCCCTGTTTTGCTTTATTTGAAGAGTTATCAATACTGTCTTGCTAAGTTTATCCTGGTAAACAAGCTTACTTAACTTTGGAGAGGTGGAAGAGGAATGCTTGAAGACAGTTTATCACCCTTCTATCAATTGCATATTAGCCTCATTAGTCTTTAGTGTTTTTCCTGCCCGAAACGCTTCGCATAATAGTGGCTTTAGGCATTGTATGTACTAGCTCTATCTATAAATTCATCAATATCTGTATCACCCCTTGTATGTATGTACTTTACCTAAATAAACATTTGAATTTGAATATCTTAATATAATTTTATGATTTTTTCCACTACTTCTCTTCCAGGAATTTTGTTTATCCCTCAACCACTGAACTGTTTCCAGATCATGGAACAAGAACCAAGAGCCATTACCATAATACACGCACACTTCTCAGCTCTTGTATGTATAGTGTTATTGAAGGTCGAGTTGGCAAGTTAATAATCACTTTGATCTGGCCCAACCTTCACCTCCCTGACCCTCGCCCAACCTTCACCTCCCTGACCCTCGCCCAACCTTCACCTCCCTGACCCTCGCCCAACCTTCACCTCCCTGATCCTCGCCCAACCTTCACCTCCCTGACCCTCGCCCAACCTTCACCTCCCTGACCCTCGCCCAACCTTCACCTCCCTGACCCTCGCCCAACCTTCACCTCCCTGACCCTCGCCCAACCTTCACCTCCCTGACCCTCGCCCAACCTTAACCTCCCTGACCCTCGCCCAACCTTTACTCCCTTGACCACCTCGTCCTTCATCCCACCTTTATCAGAAAGATCTGATAAAGGTTTGAAATAAATGGTTGTCACCATATATATATAATTTACTTTCAACTGTGTTTCTCTGCATTACACTGTACAACTGTACAACTGTTCAAATCTGTAAGTATGGTAAATACACAAATCTTGTATACAATCTCCTTTGCTATTTACACTTACAGATCTTACTGCAATTTTTACTCTGACTTAAAAGTTAGACCATAGAGGAATGGTACAGAATACACAGAGCTCTCACAAGAAAGAAAATAGCTTTGAAATTCCTGAGTCAAATTGAACCCAAGTTAAATTGTTTATGCCAATAAAGTACTGTATATGAAACAGTCTTCCAAATGAATTAAAAAAAAAGTTACAAAACATTTAAAATACCTGTATTGTAATTACATATACAGTACAGCACTGTATATGGTTACCCATAGTCATGGATAGGAAGCCTGTTAGGCTTATTAAGATCTCCCTAGGTCAACAACTAACCTTTACCAGGATGCAATTCTGGGAACTTTACGATCAGGTTGGATGTTATATTAAGGAAAAATATCGGAGTTACATTGAGTACCATGTATGTATGTATGTATGTAGGTGTGTGTGTGTATATTCTCTTTTTGTCCTTTTGGATTCTCTTATTTGTTTCTTTAAGTTTGTTGGTAGAGTATACTATGCTGGCCTTAAGCTTACAGATGAGCTGTCAATTGTGGAATTCAGGACAAAGCCAGCTGTCTGTTTCAATGGTAAACATATTTCCATTTCTGTGATGCACTAGGTTAGGTGGTATATTTAGGACCAAATCAATTATCAGGTCAATTAAGGGTACAAACTCGTAGCTTCTACAATTGGTTAACGCAGTTGGCTGCAAAGTAATTGAATTCGAGTTCGATTCCCAAGCAGGTCAAATAGTTTCAGCATGTTAGGAGACTGTTGTGGGTTGCTCCCTGGAAAAGATCAGTTATTGGCATAGAGAGACCATGATAATCCAAATAGGCTTCCCATCCCTGACAGTAGGAGACTGTAATACAGTTGTTACGAGCGAACATTCCTGAAGTTCCACCAGAGTGATTGATTAATTACATTACTGTACAGTATTTTAATCAGCTGAGCTGATGTAATTGGTTGGTCTGATGCAGTTGGCTGATTTGAAATTGAATGAGTTGGTTTCTTATTGCATCTAGAAGGACCTGTAATGCTTCAACTTTCAAATGGTAACAGACCTATGTTCTGCCACCACATCCTGAATTCTTGAAGGAAACACTGCACTTCACCTTCATACACCCATTCCACACTCGGCCCAATTTTGTCCTTCCCTCCCATTAGCTTTACAACTGTCGCATGTATTTGAAAACGAACAAACGTGTGTCGAGTTATAATGTAATCCATTTGGTTAAAAAGCAATATTGTTAAAATCATAAAGTGCTGTATTGTTTACAAGTCATCATAAAATAAGTTTGTTCTGTTATTCTCTTGCTAAGAAATATGCTTGACTGACTTACCTTGAAGGTGGTGACTCCATAGCCATACTTCTTGTTGTTGTACCACTCGCCCTCATACTTAAGCCCGTCCGTCCGTTCGGCAACTCCAAAGCCAGTCCGCTTGTCATTCTTCCACTCCCCCATGTAGTTCTCCAGAACGCTGGCATCCAACTGCTCATCCTAGTCATGGTAAATTCATTATTAGGAGAAAGTGCTAAACCAATACAACTATAGAATTTGGAATTGGAAGTGATAGGAGAATAGAGTTGGAATATGGGGATGGTGTGGAAGAATTGTGTCCAGACACTTTGATCATCGAAAATGCTGACCTTCCAAGAAATGTTTACTGACCATTCCAAGTGAATGGCCATAATCGTCCTAATGAAGGAACCACTCATTTAACAACCAGTATTCATATTTAGAGGGACATACTGACACTTTTACTAATGTATTTGATTTGGGAATAGATGAGTTTTAGATTCGAAGTGCAGTTATTCAGAGGGATTCAGTGGCATAAAATGTAACTTTTAAGAGACTGGAAGACTTTAATGACTCGCTGAGACCCCTCCCTTTTCAAGGAAGAGGCTGTGAATCCCTCTTTGAATATATATATTTTTTGTACACGTTTCAATATTGAAATTACCTTACTGTCAAATGCAGCTGCAAGGACCACTCATTGCGTGTCATAATACAACAGAGGTAATGGCACGAGACCAGTTTATATCTAGATGCTTATCCAAAAGTAATGCTATGCTATCCTACAGCCTTACCTTGCAATAATCAGATCTTACTTGTACAGTTTTGGTCACCATACTACTGAACACAAATATTTTTGAAAACATACAGTACAACGTAAAATGACTGAGCCAATTCCTAATTAAAATCTTTTTCTTACAAAGATAAATGATGAGTCCTGGTTACATTTTCCTGAAAGCTGAAGAACAAGTCGAGTTTTAAAATCATAATACAGTACTGTATACTGTACACGTGAATAAATGCAGCTAGTGTTGCAAAGACCAGTAGATTTATTGCACTTAGTCTCTATTTTTATGTTATTACTAAATACCGAAGTTTCAGTTAGCTATAAGAAACTGCTGTAAAAATGAAGCAGGAAATATGGCATCAAGCTGACTGTAGTAGCATCTTTTCCTCATTTTCCTCTACATGTCTCAACACTGCCTAGCTATCCTTCAAGACTCAAATTCAGATTTCAATACCTATTTAAAATTTATATAAATGAAAATAGGATACATAACACTTCTACAATCACACAAATTAGTATTACTTTTGATTTTACTTTTGTACTCATATTTTTTTCTTAATTTTTTTTAAGTTATTAATTAAAAATATTGATTTAGTACTGTTACAATTTTGTTTAAGTTAGATCTAACCATCATTTTAATATACAGTAACTAAATGTTTATGCCCTATTAAACTGAATAGGAATAAGAAGAATTATAACACAAACAAGAAAAGTAATAATAATTACTGTATAATAATAATATTGGTCAACAAATCTTTATATAATTAGCTGAGATCACAACATGGATGGATGAGGGACAGGTCCTCTGAGCAATAGGACTCTTTATAAGTACATTTATGTTGTACTTGTTAAGGTCACAGGACTTTATATGAACCTTTTAATGCAATAAGTTACTTGGGGTGTACAGGCGAGTAGCAGGTAGAATGATAGATTTAATTAGTTAAAGGTTTTGAATATGATGAAATATATCAAACTTTAGCAGTCTTTTGTTGGAAATGAATGGCGTGTGTTCTCCAGTTCGGCAATTTGGCAATGTATATTAATAATATGTAACACCAATTCACATGCAGCAGTGAATCTCAAATTATTTGCTGTTATACCACTGTACGCGTATTTGATTCTGCCCCAGCACAGAGAAGATAGTTACATGTGTAAACATTCATATTGATTAATTATACCTCCGACTTATTTCAAATAATGTAAATATTCCACTGAACCCTTGTAATAATGAATGAAACCCACGTGTTTGTCTAATGAAAGTTGTGCTAACAGCATCAAATGTAAATAATGAGCTGTATTGAGGGGTTCTAGCATTGAGAATAACAGTTGTGTTATGTAACAGTGATAGAGCACTGAACAACACCTCAGTCATTCCCAAGTCTAAAACCATTAATAAAGTCCATCATTTGTATCTAACATCCAAGATATGCTTCAAATACAGCATTGCTTGATTCCAGCATGGCATCAGTTCAAACCCAGGAATTTTGCATTTTTAATTCCTTTGAATTTAAGACATTAAGTAACTATGGTAATTACATTTCTTCTGAAGATCTTGTGTACAAAACTACAAATCAGACTTGGGGATTCATAGAATCTATATTAATCTATATTAATAAACAAGAATATCTCTGTCTGTCTGTCTGTCCAAGGATGCAGGCTAGACTCTTTGAGGCTAGTCTTGTCCAACTTTTCAAGATGACAATTCCTCATTGCTACCCCTAATAAAATATCGGCTTCTAGAGTGACCCCATGATTCTTATGAATTCTGAAATCTGAGATTTACTTTTCAGAGAGTTGTTTAGCAGTTTTTCAGGTGTTTGTAGTATTAAAATTTCTGAGAGAGAGAGAGAGAGAGAGAGATGAGAAGGAAGGTGATAATGGGAGAAAGGTAAGGAGAGGGTGATAATGGGGAGAGGTAAGGAGAAATGTGGAGAGGGTGGGATATGAGAGGAGGGGAAAATATTGGGGGAGGTGAGGAGGAGATAGAAGAAGAGTGGGGGAGATTGGGAAAGAGACCCCAAGCACAACTGGATACCCCATCTAGTTAAGAAAAAAAATGGAGATACAGGCTTCTGCTTCTGCTAAAAATGTACATTTTAAGAGAGCCATTTTCCAACAAATAGATCACAGTGACTGACCTCTACGGTAATAACACTGGCATATATATTAGATCAGAGTGATGTGTCCAAGGTTATAGCAGCTGGGCTATACAGTGCAATACCTCAAACTAATATTCAGTATTTGGGTAAAACAATCAGGTTATGGCTCATTTTCTTCTTTTTAGTTTAACAAGATTTGCAGACTCTGCATAACTTAAAAGCAACATACATGTGAAAAAGTGTTTTTGCTCAAATCTTAGTAGCAAGACATTCTTACGTGGCTTTCACTTAGCATTTGAACTCAGAATCTTGACGATAAACGTCTTCAATGTTCAATCCTGTCACTTTTCCTAGCTCAGTTGGTCAAATATTCAACTTAAAACCACATGTAAAACCAACATCATCCTTAATAACATAAGCATAAAGGAACCTAGATACACTATATAAATATACTAGAATCAATTGTACTTAATATTCCAGAGGCTCAGCTTCTTAATTCTATGATCATTATTATATATCAAATAAATATACAAATAAATAAATTAAATATATGTAAAATGAGAAAATAATATAGAGAACGTAAAGAGGAAACATTGCAAACAAAAATAAAAATTTGTGTTATTGTTAAAATAAAATCTAGTAAAAAATACAGGAGAACTACATCTTAAGAAATAATATTAACAATTATTATTAAACTCCACAATAACATGACTATTTCTACACAGCGAATACATTTCTAATGTGTGTGAAGCTGTAAGCCAGTCTATGTAGGTAAGAGTAACATACTAGGGACGTCCTATTAGAGCGACTGAGGCGATGCTAGATGAGGCATAGATGCGGGGGCCCTGATGACCTTGTCTAACCTCTACTAGGTTCCCCTGGTAGTGCCTGCTCCAACTTAAGTGCTGCCAATCTAAGGAATCACTGGTAACATACCAGGGAGCTCTATTAATGAGGATGTTAATTATACTCTCATTGACAAAAATAATGTCATACCGCATGCAGAACGGAGAAAATACTGGTGAGGGTGGTAATACTCCAAGCTACAGAAGAAGCTCTATGTTAGTGCTGTGGCTGATGCAGCAGAAGCACAGGCTCCGTGAAGGACGTCTACAGCGGCGACTACTAAGCTACACGTACCAACCCTACCTCGATGATGAAGGAAGCATTGGAGCCCTCGTCTGGAACGTCGCCTACTGTATATGCTGACTGACCAGAGTCCGTCGACATCCATGAAGCTGAAGATCCTGTAGAACGAATGGAGCCAGATGCGCGACCCGTCTGAATGTCTCCTGTGCTCCGTTGGCGACGAATCTTCAGCCCCTGTACATTGTATTCACATTGTGGAATCACTCGGTTTATATAAACGACAGGTAATGGAAGCATTCTACCTCTAATGACAACAATTATTGTAACTCCGTTGAAAGCAAGAAAATTGCGTGGAAAAGTTATCAACTAACCATGATTTACAAACTGCATTTGCAGTTGTAGATTATATTATACACTGCTGATATGCATACAAATGTTTGTGAATACATTAGTTATCATGAAATTGTGCGCATGAATTGGTGTGTATGAGTAAGTGAGTCTTAACTGTATCGAGCTTGATTGCACCCGATAGTTGCATGTATCTGTGCATATACATGTTTACCTGTGTACTAGTGTGCATCTAGTGGAGAGGGAGGGAAGGAGAGGGGAAGAGGTAAGGAGACTGCTGCTTGCATGACTGCTTTTTCAGAGACTGCTGAGACTGCTGCTGCATGACTGCTTTTTCAGTCATGTTCCCCCTTTTTTTTTTATCTTTATTTGTATTTGTTCTCAACATCTTTTATTCTTTATGCTCAATTAGTATTAAGTTCTAGATATTAATGTTTTTCTTGCCCGAAACGCATTGCGTAATAGTGGCTTTAGGCATTGTATGTACTAGCTCTATCTATATATCAATCCATTAATGTAACATCACTTGTATGTATATACCTTACCTGAATAAACATCTGAATCTGAATCTGAATCTGAGAGGTTACAACGCTCTAATAATATTAATCATTATTAATGGATGTACCTAGACAAGTATGGGACTCACCTTGAAGACATTCCTGATATTACTGGGGCGCTCGCCAAGGCTACCTCTCCTCCTGGGGATGTCATCGCTCCTCGCCCGTAGCACGAAGCCCCCACGCCCATCGTCTACCTGCAGACCACCAGGATCCGTTTGTGAGTGACACAAAAGCGGGACCAAAGAGCCAAAGCTCAACCCCCGCAAACACAACTAGGTGAGTACACCCACCTCTTTAAGCCCCAATTTCTGCGCAAGCCTCTTTACCCACTCCTAAGTCTATCGTGTTATCCCCATTCATTTGAAACTTTAAGTTAACACTCTTACTTACATCTGCACCCACACCCATGACATTTACTGCTCCAGTGATTTCCTCTGCCAAAGAAATGTTATTCCCAGGCTGATTGCAAATTATGAGCTTGCAAGACCAGCGAATTTGTAACATACTAGTTCAGAGAGAGACCGTGAGATAGATACAGAGAAAGATATATATTATATATATCTTTCATATATATATTATATATATATATATAACTGTCAGACCACGGAGGAAGAATTGAAACAGGAATTTCCTCAAGTACTTACGTATTTTCATAATACATCTTCAGAAGGAATGATTTACAAGTCAGTAAGTTTGGACATATATAGGCAGGAGAGAGAGGTGAATAATAATTGAATAATTATTGTTCATTTAGTGAATAATAGTGATAATTGTGTCATTTATAAAATACCTTGTAAAGACTGTAATAGGTTCTATGTTGGACAAACATCTAAAGATTTGAAATGTAGAATTTCGCAACATAAATACTCTGTAAGACATGGCCAATTGTCTAATGCTTTGTTCATTTGTCAGAAAAATCACACCAAATGTATTGGGAGATGGCTTCTTCAATAACAAATTGTAAAATCACTTTCAATAAGAACATAATTGGATCTGCTTTAATACAGATTACAAAATCATGTAATTTGAACATTAGCAGTGATTTATATAGTTTAGAACCATTTTTGATTGATCAGTTAAAGGGCAATTTCAGTAGGATCATTGATACGCATTTGTCTCACTAATTCATTGTTAATATCCACTATCTTATTATCCATGTATGGGCCTATTAGCCCATATGATGCAGCTCTTATTTAAATCCATCTAATCCCATCTATATATTTGTCATTGTTCCTCACTTCACTTTACCCCTCTCTCCTGCCTATATATGTCCAAACTTACTGATTTATAAATCATTCCTTCTGAAGATGTATTATTAAGATACGAAAGTACTTAAGGAAATTCCTGTTTCAAATTTTCCTCCGTGATCTGACACTCACATTTTTCATCACGTTAATTATCGTGATTTACACACACACACACACACACACACACACACACACACACACACACACACACACACACACACACACACACACACACACACACACACAGAGAGAGAGAGAGAGAGAGAGAGAGAGAGAGAGAGAGAGAGAGAGAGAGAGAGAGAGAGAGAGAGAGAGAGAGAGAGAGAGAGAGAGAGAGAGAGAGAGATACACAAAGTAGTCCATCTTACCTTCCTGTCTCTGTCTGCGAGGGGATCTCCGGCACCGTCTGATCGGAGGGAGGTGGTAGAACCGTGGTTGTTGGCTCTGGGTCTGCTGACGGAAGCCTGGCCGAACTGAGCCGAGGTGCGCACTCCATACCCGTGTCTCAGACCCCTCATCCACTGGCCCTTGTACGTTCCTGTGGCGGGGCAGAAAAGGATGAAACTTTCGTCAGAAAAGATAAAATTCATTGGGAGAATGAAGGACTAGGCACGGATGAACTAGATCAGTTCCATTCCAAAACTGATCGGAAAATTCCAGTTTGGCAGTAGAAGGCTGCTTCTGGAAACTTTTCTTATTTAGACTACTCTTATCCCAATAGATAGAACTTCGACCTCACAAGCGTGGGGTCCACGGTTCGAGACCAATACAGCCCAGGTGAATGGAACTAGATCAGTTTCCACTTCTGTTCTACGTAATGCAGTAAATGAAAGAGATTAAACTCATCTATATTACACCATTGGTACACCGACAACTTCTCCTTGTTGTAACTCCGAACTTGAACACAAAGAGGAGAAGGTTAACATCGTAACATCGCTCTCAAAGTCCAATGATGATAATACAAAATTATAGTGGAAAATAACTATGTCGTAACTTAATTATATATTTACCAAGACTCCGGTAATGGAAGATGGCGTCTTTGTTTATTATTAGTACACAAAATTAATATTATGGAACCAGTAATTAGTAATAAAAACAAGCATACATTTATGTTAAGAGAAGTGCTGTAAATTAGATATATTTAATTTGTGCTGCGCACCGGGTTGCCGGGTACAAAGAGAACCACACACATATACCATTATAGTATACATTATGATTATACAGCCCCAACGACACCCAGAAGCGTCCAGACGGGGTCACCATGCTTCTCTGGAAGGATGGCAAGCTAGGGTGGGGGACTACCATGCGCATCCACATAGTATACATTAGGTATACAGCCCCAACGACACTCAGAAGCGTCCAGACGGGGTCACATGCTTCTCTGGAAGGATGGCAAGCTAGTGGTGAGGGACTACACATGCGCATCCATATAGTATACATTATGATTATACAGCCCCAACGACACTCAGAAGCGTCCAGACGGGGTCACCATGCTTCTCTGGAAGGATGGCAAGCTAGTGGTGAGGGACTACACATGCGCATCCACATAGTATACATTATGATTATACAGCCCCAACGACACTCAGAAGCGTCCAGACGGGGTCACCATGCTTCTCTGGAAGGATGGCAAGCTAGTGGTGAGGGACTACACATGCGCATCCACATAGTATACATTATGATTATACAGCCCCAACGACACTCAGAAGCGTCCAGACGGAGTCACCATGCTTCTCTGGAAGGATTAGTGGTGAGGGACTACACATGCGCATCCACATAGTATACATTATGATTATACAGCACCAACGACACTCAGAAGCGTCCAGACGGGGTCACCATGCTTCTCTGGAAGGATGGCAAGCTAGTGGTGGGGGACTACACATGCGCATCCACATAGTATACATTATGATTATACAGCCCCAACGACACTCAGAAGCGTCCAGACGGGGTCACCATGCTTCTCTGGAAGGATGGCAAGCTAGTGGTGAGGGACTACACATGCGCATCCACATTGGCCAATATCTACCTTCAATGCAGTGCAATCGAAGAGGGGTGGCGCTGCTTCTTTCAGGGGAAACGCAGAAAGCCATAAAATACAGAGGTCGGACACATTAATATAGCTTTGCTCCGATCGGCTTGGAAACCATTGATTCATGGGTAAATGAATCAATGGTTTCCCTTGGAGTTCCTGAAGGGACTGGGCGACAAACTAATCAGTCACAAAAGACCAAAGAGCAACAATTTTTTTTGTTCCAGTGCTTCAGTGTTGAGGGGGGGGGGGTGACAAACAGGAATATAGACAGAAAAAACACAGTTAAACAGACAGTTATGGAGGGTCACCCCGCATGACAAAGCTTGAATGGTCCCCAAGCTGTAAATCATTATAAACCTAGATTCGAGTCTGGCCGGTCAGGGATCACCCCACAGGCTACCACGATTAAACCATGTAACTTAACTTATCAAGACTAATTAACTTAGCTTACTGAATTTTGGGATCGTGTTCCTGAGCCCATTATGTTTGAGAGTTTGACCCCCCATGCACTTGGACTGGTCGGCACAGCCACATTCTGACTTCTTGCAGGTCAGCGCTCAATTCCCAACGGTTCAAGTAGTTGGGCATTGTTCCTTCTCTGTGTCATATCTCTCGGTTCGTTGTTCTCACATTCCTTTTAAGTGCTATTTAGTCCAACTGGCTTACCGATTTACCCTGATAATGACCTTACATTGTTTAAAAAATATAGTGATAATATTCTAAGTTAAGGGACTATGCAAGTTACAGGTACAGGAAGATTACAGCTGCAAGAAACTACAGGGATAGCAGAACATATAGCGAAAATAAGCTACTGGTACAGAATCTACAGGTACAGAAGCTATATATATACAAAAGCTACAAATACAGAAGCTACAGATGCAAAACGTTATAGCTAATCAAGGTTACAGGCGCAAGCTGCAACAGTTAAATAACATTACAGATGCAAGACACTACAGATACAACAATTAACATAAAAGCTAGAACAGGTGTACGAATCTTTAATTACAGCAGGTTATCGATGTAAGGTGCTTCAAATACAGAAATATACAGATGCGAAACTCCACAGGTACAGCAAATTAGATTTAATAAACTACATACACAGAAGGTTATCGATTCCACACGCAACAGTTACGTCATGTTATCGGTTCTACACGCAACAGTTACGTCATGTTATCGGTTCTACACGCAACAGTTACGTCAGGTTATCGGTTCAACACGCAACAGTTACGCCAGCTTATCGGTTCAGCACGCAACAGTTACGCCAGCTTATCGGTTCCACACGCAACAGTTACGCCAGGTTATCGGTTCAACACGCAACAGTTACGTCATGTTATCGGTTCCACACGCAACAGTTACGTCATGTTATCGGTTCAATACGCAACAGTTACGTCATGTTATCGGTTCAACACGGACGAGTTACGCCAGGTTATCGGTTCAACACGCAACAGTTACGTCATGTTATCGGTTCAACACGGACGAGTTACGCCAGGTTATCGGTTCAACACGCAACAGTTACGTCATGTTATCGGTTCAACACGGACGAGTTACGCCAGGTTATCGGTTCAACACGCAACAGTTACGTCATGTTATCGGTGCAACACGGACGAGGTACGCCAGGTTATCGGTTCAACACGCAACAGTTACGTCATGTTATCGGTGCAACACGGACGAGGTACGCCAGGTTATCGGTTCAACACGCAACAGTTACGTCATGTTATCGGTCCAACACGGACGAGTTACGCCAGGTTACGAGTGCCAAAAGAATCAGGTGCAACAGGCGACCTCTCGGTCTAATTTAACATGACAGGGCCTCATGTTTGGCCAGGCGGTGCGAGTATGCTGTGGATACCTGCCATTACCGATGTGAATATGACGAAGCTACGCGCCACAGATATTAATATACCTAGTGACGGTTTGGCATAGATATCAAAGTTAATTCAATTATTAATACTTGATACGTGTCTTTAGGCATTGTATGTACTAGCTCTATAAATCCATCAATATTGTATTTCACCTTGTATGTATGTACTTTACCTGAATAAATATTTGTATTTGTATTTGTATTTTGTCCATTAGACATTTTGACGCAGTCACCCTTCAACCCACTGCTAATGGGACTTTGTCCACAGAAAACAGTGATACTGAAATCATAGATGCACTGAAATGAAGTCAAATTGGTCGTTTCTTCTTTTAATTGTTGTTTAAGATGTGTTGGTATGCAAACGATGAGTCGCAGAAACGTGGCTGAAGATATATTGACCAAATCACGCATCAGAAGATGGAGAAACAACGACATTTCGGTCCGCCCTGGACCATTATGAAGTCGTGTGATCTATATGTTTCAGGAAGGACCGAAACGTCGTCTTGTCTCCATCTTCTGATGTGTGGTTTGGTTATCATGTGTTGGCACGTTTTAGACTATTTTGTATGGTTGGTCTTTCATAGTAACTCTTTTTCCATTCATCCGTATCCTTATACAACTACACAAAGATGTGCGTGTGTGTGCATTTATTATTTGTATTTACTATTTGTGTCTACAGAATCGAGCTATTAGTTCTTGAACCCCGTCTTTTAAACCAGTTTATTTTTCTCTATTATAGGCACTACATATATTTCTCTCTAACACACGCACGCAGCAGCCTGTAGCAGCTGTCTAACTCCCAGGTAACTATTTACTGCTAGGTGAACGGGGCATCAGGGTGAAAGAAACTCTGCCCATTTATTTCCGCTTCTCCCGGAATCGAACCCGGGCCATTAGGACTGCGACTTCCGAGCACTGTCCACGCTGCCGCGAGGCCTCCTATAATGTATGTGTGTGTGTGTGTGAGAGAGAGAGAGAGAGAGAGAGAGAGAGAGAGAGAGAGAGAGAGAGAGAGAGAGAGAGAGAGAGAGAGAGAGAGAGAGAGAGAGTGTGCCCCGCCCACTCATTTGGTCACATTTACTTACATCCAACGCCTCTGTTCACCTCACAGCAAATAAGTACCTGGGAGTCAGGCAACTGGTGTGGGTTGCATCCTGGTAAAGGTCTGTCGTTGGCTTAATGGGCCCTCGATAAGACCAGCAGGCGTCTTATCCCCGACAAGATGGATAAAGTTTAGTCTCCAGTCTCTCATGACCTCGTTCGATGCTCATATAACACAAGTCACACAGTCATAAGTCCAGTTACAGCCTCGCTCCTGTGTCAGGTAAGTCCACTACGGGCTCACGACCAAAGATCACATTCACTCCAAAAAATCTACCACTAAGAATGCCACTAAGGTGGCATTCATGCCCGTGCCACCTCTCGGGTGGCTTAATCTTCATTAATCAGTCACAAGTTCCTCCTGGCCTTGACGACTGTTCAACAACACGGGCAGTCGATCATTGACTGACATCAGGCGTCGCTACAGGCGCACGTTTCGCTCTATTCCAAGACCAGCGGTGTGTGATCTTCCCCACAAAGCCCTGTTATGCGTCCATTGACGCACCAGAGATCACCTGAGCCTCAATCAACTTGTATGAGCATGCAA